GGCAAGGCTCATGTAAGTTGAGAGTAGTGGCCGGTGCAGAATGTGTGCGTCCGGGAAGCACACTCCCATGAGCAAGGCTCAGGTAAGTCATGAGTTGCGGCCGGTGCAGAGTGCATGCGTCCAGGAAGCACAACCTCATGGGCAAGGCTCATGTAAGTTGAGAGTAGTGGTCAGTGCAGAATGTGTGCGTCCGGGAAGCATGCCCTCACGAACGACACTTGTTAGAAAGCCGCCTCCGACTCTTTCCATCCATAGTCTGGCATTATGCGTCCGGGACGTACATGCACGGCCCCTAGGCCTTTTCTTACCCTCTTTCTTGCACCTCTTTCTGTGTCTTCCCTACACTCGCTCTTTGTACACTCTCCCTAGGGCTTTCCCTGCGGCCTTTCCTACGGCCTTTCCTACACCTTTCCTACAGCCTTTCTTATGATTTCTCCTACAGCCTTTCCTACACGTTTGCTACGGCCTTTCCTACGGCCTTCCCTATGGCCTTTCCTACAGCCTTCCCTAGGGTTTTCCCTAGTGGAATCCCCTACCTAGTCTTCCCTACCCAGTCCCATTAACCCTAAGGTTGTGCGTTTAGGTTCAGGAAATAGCACCCCCGGACCCAGTAGTATACTATACTCATTATCATGAGACCGCCCACAAACCTAATAGCAATTCATGACCACAGGGAATGCATACACAAAGCAGGTTGTGCCATTGCTGCATATGTGCCTTCTGACCGCCCATGATGGCATGCTGCATACTTCAGTCCACCTTCGGGAATCATCTATACATGCCGTCTGCCCACCAGTAGCCACCTCCGCATCTCCGCGAGTAGCATGCCTGAGCGCAAATGAGCGCCTTCAACGGCTGAATACGCGTGCACCCCCACGACGATGCATCGGAGCAATCCTGTGCAGCTTGAGTCGTGTAAACCTGTATGGAAGCTACCACATAGTAGCGGAGGTTAAGCTTGAGATTGCCGATGAGCCTATGCGTCACCGTCTCCTTCCCTGTCGCCGTCGCTGCTATCCTTTGCATCCGCGTAGACCAGCTCCATCAACTCCTGCACGACCCCGCGGAGATCCCGCAACTCCTCATCCCTTGCCTCCAGCTCCTGGCGCGCGTCGTCCAGCTCCCGCTCCAGCGCATCTAGCCTTGCCATTGTACCCTCCACCGCACCCATATCCACGCCTCCTGGTTCATGCGCGCTCTGCCTTTGAATCCCATCCGTCTCCCCACTTCTGCTGACAGTGCCTTCCGCGCTGAGCAGCGACGGTGGCGTGCGCAGCTCCGCCCACCAACCTGGCATCTCACCTTCGTGCATCGCCAGCACCATGCTCAGCGAAAACGGCAGCGGCGCCTCTGAGTCGACCGACGGCAGCAGCCATGACGGGAACTCTGGCGATGACGGGGAGTCCGGCAAGGGGACAAGTGGAGGCTCGGGCGCGGCCATGGATGGGAGATTCGCATGCGCCTGAATGGGGGGCACAGAATGAGGGCCGTCAGAGGACACCTCGTCCATGCGGATGGAGAGAATTGTCGGCTGGAGCGGTGTGGCGAGCTCCATCGAACGCTCTGCATCATCATTCGCGTCGAGGAGGGCGGGCGTGGAGGCTGCTAGATCCGCATTTGCGCATGGACGGAGAGTAACGTCACCATCGGGCGGCGGGGACGCATAGTCAGCGATGGCGACGGCGGAAATGGACGCTTGTAGAGGCGGAGCGGGTACTTCGCAGGGATTCTGTAGTGTGCTTGTTGTGCTGGACGGCTGCTGCGCTAACAGCCGAGCGACTTCCACGCGCAAGCGGTCATTCTCGCGCTGCAGCCAGTCCTCGCGCTCCCTCCTAGCTCCGCACACGTTCTCCATATCCCCTTGAAGCGTTTTGATCGTCTCGCGCAGCCTATATATCGATCCACCGCTCGTGAGCTGACATCGCTACAGCAGCAATCACAGCCTGAGCCTACCTCTCCACCCCGCCATCTCCAGTTCCCTCAGCGCCAGCTTGACGCTGACTGCCACGCCCGCGCTCACCGTCCCGCGACTCGTGTATCACATCATGATGATCCTGAAAACAATGAAGGATCGCACGGAAGCATCAGCCCCGCCACCGTCAAGGGTCTCCGCGCTCTCGGAGGCGCGCGCAGGCACAAAGACAGCCACATACCTCCGTATGATCATTCGATGCTATGCAAGCGCGCCCTTGGGTGCCCGCGCCACTGTCAATTTGACCCTCGGTGTCGGCCAGTGGAGACCCGAGCGGCGCTTGCGAGAACGGAGGGGGCGATCGAGGTGTTTGCGGCAGGTGCGCTGTGATGGTGCGCCGCGGGGATAGCGTATACGGCGAGGGAGAGATTTGGGTTGAACGGGGCCGTAAGCTGGGGCTGCGCGGCGTCACAACCGTGCTCTGGTGTGCTGATACCGACGCACCACGGCTGGATGCGCGAGAAGGGGGCTGCTGATCGGTCTTGGACCCTGCCCGGTCAATGAGTGCCTGTCGAGGTGATTGCGACTGCGTCAAATTTGTTTTGTATTTGTCCATGTGCTCATTTCTGTCACACTCGTGGTCGTAATGTCGAGGGTGTGGTGAATCAGGATGACGAACCGCGCTCCCCTCGAGACGCACCTGCTCGAGCTACATACCATCAGAATCAGTGCCATTGAAACAAAAGCCATATCGCAAATCCGTGTTCCAGAGCGTCGAGCCTCGGACTCGGCGAAGTCAGAGCGAACGGCAACTAAACAAGCGCCCGAAACTGCAAACTTGGAAAACATGGCTTGCAATGAAACACTCACACGTTCCAACAGGACCCTTACCTCCGCCTCGAGCGCCCTGTTTCGCGACGCAGAGAAGTCTAGGATCCGGACCGCGTCGTCCTGCGTTAGTGTCGGTGTTGAGCGCTGCGACGACGACGAATGCGCGTCTAACCCATTTCCCGCGACGCCCATGAAATCCGCGCGTCTCGCATGGCCCGCGTGTTCCGAGGGACCCGAGGGTGCGGAATGAGAGTCTTTGATCGGCGGGACTTCAGCCGGAGGATGTACATGTGCTTGCGCGACACACGCCTCGAGCTCGGCCTCGCGCCGCGCTAGACGCGCGGACAGCGAGAGGATCTCTGATTCTGTTTGTTGGCGCGTGTGCGCGTGCGCGGTGCGCTCGGACTCGAGCTCAGCACGCAGGGTGAGGATGATGGCCTGCGCATGTGCATACAGCGCGCGGTGGCTGTCCTGGTTCTCGCGAGCCTTTTTGCACGTCATCGTGCGGGCGTTCAGTGGTTCTGCGTGGACGGTAAAAGAGATGAGGTAGTAGATGTCAGATGGAGGGAACGGCATAGAGTTGTACGTGCACGGACGGACCGAGGGGGCTGGCCAGGTGGATCTGGTTATGCGGCCACAGGGCGTAATCATTCACGAGCTCGACTGTGGCGAATCCAAACATAAGATACAGATTGAGTACACTGAATCTATGGCATGACGCCTGCATGCTCCAGGCTTACCTTTCTCGACGACGGCGCTGAGCGCCTCGCGCATGTCGTCCCAATCGGCCTGCGCCTCCCTGATGTACCTGCGCGCTGCTTCAAGCTTGCGTGCGAGAGCGGCGGCGGCGCGGCGCTCCACGACGATCTCCGCGCGATGTTGTGCGCGAAGGGCGTCGGTGGCGTCGAGGGCGGAGAGAAGGCGGGAGTGCCAGTGGGAGGCGCGGGCGGCATGGAGGGCGAGTTGCCGCGCCATCTGCTCGAGTGATGTACTATCGATCAGATCTCGCAGCGAGGCACAATTCACTCACCTCCGAGTCCCTCGCCTGATCCAAATCATCCCGTTTGTTTCCCATAAATACACAGCCCCTATTCACGTGATGTGGCGTGGCTAAGCTAGTACAAGATATCCAAGCAAGAGAGTACAAGATACACAAAGAGATCAAAGAGGGCGCATATACGAATAAGATAAAGCAGAGCAGTGACCAGGGCGTGTCTACGTTCGTCATCCCAACTCTCGCATCCGACGCCCACACACGCAAACAACACCAAGCACGCCTGTTGATAGGCGCCCGGAAGCGCGGATTCAGCATACTGAATTTAGTTCTACGATAATAGTACATGGCTTGGAAATAGCACACAGGGTTCGTCTGAAGCCAGCGCCGCAGGACGCCCGCGTAGACATGGACGTCTTCGCAAATGGAATTGCATACAAATGTCAAAATGATAGAACCTGCCATCGCTATCGCTGCAGTTCCGCTGTCAGACCTATGATATAGGGAATGTCGACATCTCCTCCTGGGCCATGGAGAGCGTCCCAGCGGCGAAACGCCATGACGGCCCAGTTCCATCTCTAGATCAACCAATCAAGGCCTCGTCCCGCACATGGACCTAGCGCGCCACTCACGAGATACCTGACTAGCTCCTTATCCCGGGGCATGACCGCCTTCCATTCGTCCTCCCCCGCGCAGAAAATCCTATACGAATCTAGCGCATACGGCCCGCTCCCCGGCAGATGCGAGGCCTCTGTCGGGGGATACCGCTGCCTTTGCGCCCCGACGCCCACGTCCACGTAGCACCGCGATGGGCGCACGTTCCCGCGCACCGGCGGGTCCGCACAGTATGCTTGCGACAGCGCAATGAGGCGTTCCGAGCGCGAGCGGCCCAGCCCGAGATGCGCGATGCGCGCCTGCAGGACGCCCTGCGGAGCTGTAAACAACGCACAATGTGTCAGCAGCACGCGAGTATATGGCGGGCGCGGTCGCATGAAAGGGCACGCATGTGAGACTGACCTCGTGCGAGGGCGTGCGCCGTGGGCCACGCGTCGGTGAGTGCTAGGAATGCCGGCACAGCGTGGGTGCCCGCGGTCTTGTTCAGAAGGGTCACGGCGACGAGGAGCTTCCATGGGTCGTGCGCGACGTACTCTGCAGCGTGCCATAGTGTCATGGGGTGCGGTGCATTCACGGGGAAACGAAGCGCGGCGTACCCTGAATGAGAATGGGCTTCGCATCGTACAGCCCGCGGTACGCGCGCGTAAAGTCAGAGCAGAAGTGGGAGAACGCTGCGTCGTGGAGGAGTGTGGCCGGCGCGATGTCCACCTGGTCGTTGGCACTTCTCTCACCTCCGGCGGCGGCGCCGAACAGCGGCAGGGCGCCCTCCAACTCCGCGCCATCGGACCAGGTGAGAAGGCGTGCGGACGCTTCTGTGACCGCACTATTCGCCGCGGACTTCCCAGAAGGCGAATGCTGGAAGTAGCAAGAAGGGTTGCCTGGCGAGGCAGCATCGGAGTGCGAATGATCCTGTCCTGCAGGCTTCACATTCTCAGCATGCTGGCATGTCCGCCGCTTGCCATTGCTCTTCCTGAAGTACGGCGAGCGGACGATGTCGCGCGCCGACGGGGTCGCTTTGTCTATAGAATTCACAGCTCCCTGCATAGGGGTCGGCCATCCAGTGGATGTCGTACTTGGTGAAGAGACGCCCGTTGGGCGCCAAGTCGGGGCCGTGCAGGCGTGGGTACTTTGTCCTACCCAAGTAGTGTATCTGCTCGGCTAGCGTCGAGATCACAGATACATCCAAACCTTGTATATCAGATACAAGATGTATCACCGCCTAACAAATTTCCCATAATCACTCATCACATATTTCTCCGCCCCTGGCCGCTTCTATCATCATGAATGTGATGTCTGCATACAGCGTATTGCATCCTTCAACTGGTGCCGTAAGATTCATCAGCATGACGCGAGCTTATAGCGGTGAGGAGAGTGCCGAGCGCCGCCTTCAGTGCACGGGCACGTATCGTTATCTCGCCACTTCCATACCGTCCCAGAAGCCGCGGACACGGGACACACGCTCGAATCGAGGGTCCCGTCAGTAGATGGCATCGCCCGCGCACCTGTTCTACTAGAGTTCAAACCTTCCCGCTGCATACGCACACCGCATCCATGGGCCCTACTTTCCTCCCATCTTGCCCCATCTGATCCCTGATACCGAGCCCCATGCACCCCAATCTCGCCGCGCCTTCCCAGGATATCCGTCAGACATTATCATCCTCCAACTTCATTCCCATGTCGCAACAGATCACGAGCGCGCGATTCAATTCCGCGCGCTGCGGCCCCCACTCAGATCCGACACGCCGTAACAGTTGGTCAACCCGCCGGGTCATGCTCGCATCACGCGCCACGACGGCCTCGCACCGTGCTCGTCCTGCACTCCGACCCGCTACGACAATTCCCCGATCACCGCGCCCACAGTGCGCACGACGTCATCGCAACCTGGTGCCATCCAGACCGCCTCCAGTCGGAGCGCAGGGCGAATACCCACATGCGCGCGCAGCATGTGCCCAGGAACGCTGTCTGCGAAGCCGAAGCGTGTGAGGCGCGCGGGGGCGATGCTATTCCAGGTATCCAGCACATACTGGACGTGGTGGCTGTAGTCTCAGGGACCCTGTGCGCCCGAGCTGAATGGAGCTTGAGGGATTCAAAGGCCGGTGCTGGGAACGTGCGGGGAACACCGACTTGCAGTTGAACTTTGTGGCACAGGCCGCGTCAGACACAAGCGTGTGACGGCGGGCTCTGGCCCGGAAGCTGCCGTCACGCGCGAGAACGAGAATAGCAAAGCCCGCGGGCCCAGTGTGAGCCCTGAGTTCCGGACAGACGGCACGCTCTGCACGCCATTTGAACAGGTTGTCCATGTACTCATACGCAACGCGAGATGCTTGAGGCCTGGCTGACCGCCATGCTGAGATGAACGCTGTAAGACCGTCCAAGGCCCTCTATTTGTAAGCTGGCAAGGCATTATCTTCGACCGACAGGACTGAATACAACGCGAGCAGAATGCCCCGCACGACCATGAAGATGCGTATACAGCCGCACCAATCACACAGATTAGCGAGGCGAGTAATCCCAAGGCGCAGTCCTGTCGCGCGGAACAGCGATCCTATGCCAAGGAACCGAGCACGGACGCCGTCATCGATCGCGGGCAGTTGCTTGCGCGCGATGGCCCGATAGGCGAAATGGCTCATCGCGCACCTGTGACCGCCAGACCACATTGACTAGTAGCCCGCCTTTAATCGACCTGACCGGCTGACCGACCGAGGGGATCCCTATGTGGATGATAACGACACCCTCTCGTCAATGTGGACTGACTGCCCGGGGCAAACCGCACAGATCTGCCGACCGAGCACGCAAACCTGGGTACGACCACAGCGGTCGGTTGGCCCTGGAGCGATCAACATGAGTGCCCGCGAGAAGTCACAGAGTGGCTTAGCGGACGCCTGCACTCGCGAAATACGCGCTGGTAGCCGCGCTGTCCATCAATGACCAGGCGGCGGACGAGACCAGTAGGCCATAGCGGCATGCGGCCGTTGGGGCGCTCGAGGTGCGCAGGCTACCATTCATTGAGGCTGGCGGTTGTGCCGGCTGCAAGCAGGAGTGCAGGGCGTTGGTGAGTGAGAATGGACACCGTGGTATGCCGAAAAGACTGAACTCGAGCCCCCGGGCCTCTGAAGATCGCACACATGGGGCGACAACGCAAGAGCTCCGGTCGTGACTCCCGCACTATGATTCACCCGTTTCGGCACACTGCTGCTGTCTCGCCTCAGCCGTCAGTTGACCGGCCGAGCACGATGCGGACTTGAAGCGTCTTTCGCACTCCACACTCTGAATGCCTCATTCCGACGCGCGACCGAGGGGGCTCCTACATTGTAGCCGTTCATCAGATTATCACGCTGGACGCATGATGATCATGCCTCCGGCCGTGCGACAGGCTGCCAATGCGGCAGCGGTGCAGGCGGCAACGATGGATGAGAGCACGAGGGGAAGCAGGAGAGGGCCTTCCTCGCGATGCGATAGATGGACCCGAGAATGGCGGGCACTGATGACGAAAGGGGAGAATGCTCGATGCGGGATGCGAGACGGGAGATGCCAACGGGCGTGCGAACATGGGGGACGTGTCTGCTGTTTGGGTTAGTGTTCGCGTTCGGGTTCATCTCATCCGTGACACCCTCCTTGTCAGAATGTGTCTATTCGTGGATGCTGCGAAACGCCCCTCCAGGCGCGCGGCGCGGGTCGAGCTCGAGGCGAGACATAGATCGCAACAGCCACCGTGGTAAAGCCATGTCTCTCAGCGCCTCGCAAGCGTTGGCAGCGCGACGATCCAGGGTGGCCATTCCTGAGGACGCACATTTCGTTGGGGTCGCCGGGAACAAGAAAGAAATGACCACAGTGGGCCGTTTCCCGGGCGTCGCTGCCACCGCGTGCCTGCTGCGAATGCGAAGAACAGCCTGACCCGAAGAGAAGCGTCCCTTTGACGCAACCTTGTGCTAATGCGTCCGCGCACACGGTTCCCCGCCGCTGGCCCCTTCAAAATTATGAATATATATTCTGGCCGCACGGCCTGCGAGCGGCGCCACAGGAGCGATCGGGGCGGCATCTGACGGTCATTATGCCCGAAATGAAGACTGGAGCGCGTGCGCACATGCGCCACACGACGACGGCTCGGGGGCGGCCGCCGCCGACGCGCCGTCCGTATGCGGCAACTCGACCAACGCATGTCGCAGCTCGCGATGAGAAGCTCGCCGCGTGATCCGAGCTCAGCGCAGAATCGCGGCAAGGGAGCGCGCCCGAATTGGGATGAATGGCTTCGTGGATGGTGATGGTGATACAGGGGAGCATGGCCCGCGGGATGGCATCAGCACATCGTCGTGGCGCCGGGCAACTCCTCCCATTCCAGGGGCGCGAGCAGCCTTCTGCGATGCTGCTCTGATAGCGACGCCAGACCTGCTTCGCGATGCCGCAGAGACATGACGATGGCGCGATGGCACCGCACGCCGCGGCGGACGACGCGCCCGAGATGCGCGCGCAGATACCGTACTGTGCAGATGCGGCCAGAGGCGACGAGCGTGTTGGCCCCCGTTGTAGGCCCCGTTTACGATGTATGATTTGTCGTTTGCGTTCGCGTTATTGAAATGGGATGCGTATCAGCATCAAGCGAGCACGTATTGGGCACCGTGCGAGGGGTGCGAGTGGTGCCGTGGTGGGATGATACGATACCAGGGAGACGTTTCATCACCTGCCCGTCAGCAGGGCCGCAACGGGATTGGACGCTGCGCAGATAGAGTTCGGGGGACGCTCAGCGATGCGAGATGCGAGATACAGGTGTGCGCGGGGAGACGGGGCATCTGGTGCAGACAGGTTCAAGCGGCGACACACAGCGGGGAACCGGACTGGGCCTATCGCTATCTGGGCGCGCGTGACGTGCCATACTGTGGAATTGGCATATTCGGATGCGATGCGCTGCAGTGCCCTGGCGTACGCCGTGTGTCCGTGTGCCGGCGGCGACCACAGTGGACGGATTCTTATTAGCGTGCATGGGCGCAGAATGGAAGGTGGTCGTGGGCCGCGAGGCTCCCCGCGCGCAGCCTCATGAGGCCGCGACGGGCAGCGACGAGTGCGGGGGATGCGCCGAGTGTAGCCGGCGGGGGAGCGCGCGGGGCGACCGGGGCTCTAGATCAGTCAGGCGGGGCTGCGTGCGTGCGTGTGATCAGCCGGGCGGAGGCGGAGGCGTGTCCGTGGGAGCGGGCAGGCCGCGGAGGGACGAGAGGCCATCGATCAGAGATGCCGAAAGCGCAAGGCTAAGCAAGGCACGGAGTTTGGCGGATGTCGTCGGGGGCTGTCATGGCGCGTTGGGTGCGAGCATGATGGCCTGATTCCGATTCGTGATCCAAGATGCGTGATTCGTGATACAGCCTGGACGAATTGGACCTGATTTCAATTATGTATCGCAGACGCAGCGGCGCAGGAGTGATGCCATCCAGATAAGGGGTGTGCCCGGATTAGGCGCTGCGGTGCAGCTTCCCGGGGGTGCATCACAAGGACGGGGGGGCACTCGCGCGCTGACGGATCATGGCAGGCCTTCCAAGGAGCCCTTCAGACGGACCACCACAGTCCACCAGACGCCGGCGTATCAGCCGGCGCGGACGCGGCGCCCGCGACGCCCGAGCCCGGTGCTCACTCGTGGGGGCGCCGACGACGCAGCGAGGGCGAGATGCGAGGGCGAGAAGAGTGATGCGCGAAGGCGGGGGCATAATGAATTTTTTATCTGAGATCGCGCGCGGACGGAATCTCGCCATCAGGGAGCCGGTCATTCAGGGTCGCAGTGATAAGGTGTGAGTACGAGGACGGCCGGCGCTCACCGGGTGCGATCATGGGACAGGACGCGGGCGGCGCTGATGCCGCGCGCGCACACGGTGATAGCGCAGCTGCAGTATGAAGCAGTAAGGCAGGTTATAGTGGTCGTGGACGCTATACAACGGCGTCGAGGGGCAGGAGAGCGGGCGTCTGTGTAGGGGCCGGGGATGATGGCCGAGGGGGGAGCCGAGGGGATGCGTGGGAAGGATCGCGGAGATTGGAAGGGATATGCGGAGCTTGAAAAGGAAGAAAACTGATGATGGGATTTGGGAGGAGAGGGGACGGACTGGCTGCAGCGTCCCTCTTCCTTTCCTGATCGTCTTCCCGCACAGCAAGCCGGACAGCCTTGAGAATATGCACCACCCGTCCGTACTTCCTCATCTCTATATATACCCCCCATCATCCCTCCCTGACGCCACCGCTTCTACAGCTCTGACCCTCCCCGCCCCCCTCCCCCCGCCAGCAGCTGCCCTCCCAGTCCACAGAGTCCCGCGACTCCCCCAACGACCTCCACCACCAGCCCCCGCCTCACCACCAGCTCCCGCCGCAACAGCAGCAGCAGCAACAGCAACAACCTCAGCAACATCCGCCGCCGCCTGCAGACGCGTTCGCCAGGCCCGCGTCCCCGGTCCACAAGGAGCGCATCAAGGCAGACACCGCTCCGCCCCAATCGGCCCCGTACGATCACCGCTGGGTCCGTGCCGTCCTCTTCGATCCTGATGCCCTGCTGACCATTGATCTCATCCTCTGATCCCGCGATCATCCCGCCCCACTGCATTACACATACTCTCTCTCCATACTACACATGTCCGCCGCCGCCGCCGCCGCCACCGTCGCTCGCCGCCAACAGCAGTTCGCCCCGTCGCTCCACCCCGCCCACTTCTACCCCCTCGAAGAGTACCGTAACATGCCCCACCGCGTCCACTCCGCCGACGCCCACAGGAACCCCGGGTCCGTGCACTATCCCCCTCCCCCCGACTACCATCGCGGCGCTGACCACAGCGGCTTCAGTCACCACCCCGACGACGCCCACTACCCCCGCATGGCCTCCCAGCCCACCCCGCCCCCCATCGCCACCCTCCACCACTCCCCTGCCATGTCCACTTCCTCCCTCGCCAGCTCCTCCATCTCCCCGTCCCCCCCGGTGCGCGCCCATTTCCTCCCCCCCTCTCATGCACACCTCACTTACCCGCCCCCCTACCCGCACCAGACCTCCCAGCCGCCCACCCCGTACTACCAGCACGCCCAGGCCGCCCCCATGAGCGCGCCCCCGTACCCGTACAACCCCAACGCCTCCATGCCCGCTCGCTACGGTGACCCCGGTGCGCCCTACACCACCGCTGCGCACCCCGTCTCCGTCTCGACGCGCTCCATCCGGCCCTCGTACGTCCCCACCCAGCCGTACCCCGGCCAGGCCAACTATATCATCCACACCGACGACGCCGCGACCAAGCTCTCTGACCGCGTCCGCCGCAAGTGCTACAACTGCCGCACGACCGACACGTCCACCTGGCGCCGCTCCAGCCTCACCCCGGGCAAAGTGGTACGTAGCCGTTTTCTTCTCTTCCCCCTCCCCCTCACCTTCTGGTGTGCGCCGCGCAGCTCTGCAACAAGTGCGGCCTCTTTGAGCGCACGCACTCGCGCCCGCGCCCCGAGCAATTCCCGCACAAGCGCGGCCCGCTCGTCACCGCGACCTTCAAGTCTGCGCGCACTCCCCCGCCCGGGTCCTCTGGTGGGGTACAGCGCCTCCCGCCCATCGCCGCGCACCACATGCACGCGATGCCGCCGCACCACTCGAACCACCCCTCCATCGCGCCGCTCATGCCCCGCGCGGACGGGTCCCCGCATCAGCACCCCGCGCAGATCCCTCAGCCGCCGCCGCCGGGCCAAGGCCAAGGCCAGCAGGGCTACCCGAGCGCGAGCACCGTTCCTGAGATCCGCTCGCTGCTGAACACGCCCGCGGGGCATGCGCAGGAATCTGCAGACGGGACGCGCCCGCCGTCGCCCGAGCAGCAGCAGCAACAGCAGGTGCAGGCGGCGCCCGAGAGCCCGCGTGGGGAGCGCCGCGATGCGTATCGCGCGGCCAACTAAGTGTGCGTAGCGCTATACCCGCCCTGGTCGGCCGGGCCGCGCTGTCTGCTATTTATGTGTATTTTTTGCTCCGTCTGAGTCGCCCCCCGCGAGGCGGGCGGCGCGGTTGAAAAGGCCCGTGCGAGCGAGCGAGCGAGAGGGGGACGCTGCTTGGTGCTTGGTGCTTGTGCTGGATGCTTGAAGCGCGGGGCCGAGCCCTGCGCCGTGCTATTGGTTGCCGTGACTGGCTGCTGGTTATTTGGGTACGCGTATTGAACCTTTTGCTGAATCATAAATCGCCGGCTGATGTCTGCGTGCTCGCCCCTTTTCTGTGTCTGCATCTGCGTATGGTATCGTGTCTAGTGTATGCGCTTTCGTGTATGATGACTTTTTCTTGTTGCCACTGCCTTGGTTTTGCTTTCTTTTGCCTGTCGCGTTGCTCGCTCGCTGTTATGGCCACGCTCGCATACATAGTTCATAGTTCATATTCAACCAACATTCGATCATTATGCTCGCATCCTGTGATTGTTGTGTCAAGTCGACAGCGGACGATTGCGCGATGAAGACATTATCGACATGGCTCAATACAACAAAGCAATTATGGAGTCAATCTCCTTTGAGCGTTGGGACCCCATTTCTGCTGGTTCGGGCGCTGGAAGACGACGCGTGTGTGGCAGGCGTGGGCGTGGCTGCAGGGGTGTATTGCACATGCCACGGTACACGGCCGATGATGCGCCGCCCGCGTATCATTCGATGCGCCCACACGGCCGTGCCTGGCACACGCGCCTTCCATTCCGAGACACCATTGAGCGGCGACCTCGCCGGGTGCCAGCTGCCGTTAATGGAACCCTGGTGCCGCAGAATGACCTGTATCGGCACGGGCTGCGAAGCGAGCCCTTGGTGCGCGCAAGCCCAGGCGCACCGGCGACGTGGAAGGTGGCATCATGCGCCGGGGGGAAGTCGAAGCAGCCGCACACGTCCATATTGCCCTCGGCCGTCCCCTCTGTCCGAGGACCATCGCCTGCCATCCACCGCCTGACACCGTCCAAATGGGCAGCCGCTTCTCCGACGCGCAGTCCGACTGGCTCCCTTCCATTTCCAGCCATCAACGCCGCGAGCTGAGAACCCGGGCCCCTCCCCCGATGGGACCTGGCCATTTCCAATTTCGGCAGGCGGTGCGAACCATTGATAAGTGATGACTGATGGCCTGATCTGGGGCCCATCACTGACGCGCGGATGCAAATTCGATTCCACGGCCGCAGCCTGCTGACGCCCGCTGTGCACGACCGACGGCACGTCGAGCGCGAGCCCAAACGAGCAGCTCCCCGCGCCGTGGCGAGCACCGTCGTCCGAGGATCACGCCAAGACGGACGTGATGACACCCGTCCGGCATGGCTGCCCCGGCCTTGACGCGCCTTCGAACGTGCCATGAGCAATGAATCCCCTTCCCGTCTAGGATGACGCACCCTCCACCCGGCGAGCCCAGGCTTGTCATCAGCGGCGCGTGATAAGCTGGCCCTGCCGGACGAGAGCCGTCCGCGAACGCCTTCGCCATTTCGAATGGGGAGGCCCATCAGGCTTCTCCCGCGTATGTGAGTGCGCGCGCACGATGTGTCAGATCTCGCACGCCGGCCTCGTCCACTGACAATCCTGGGAACTGTTGGATGATCTGGGAAAATACTGCCCTTTCTCGTCCCACTAGCCGAGCAGACGCAGCGCTTACGTGCCGACTTGATCCTTGGATCTAGTTCGTAGGCGCTATTCAATCCAACCTGTGCGGCCGTTGTACTGTGGACCGCTCTGATCACGCCCAGATCCCTCACCTGTGTGCTGAACTGCCTACTGCGTGTGCCCTCAGGCATCGACATGCATGCGTACGGGAACGTCCGCCGGGCGCCCAGTCGCAACGAGCCAATCCCAAAGGCTTGTTTATAATCGGCCAAACGGGCGGCCTCACTTGATGAAATTACATGACGCCATGCTATCATGCGCACATGTTCACAACGTGGGAGCTTGTTGGAACGCGGGATGCACAGTACGGCACCCTGGCAGGAACAACATCGCATCGCCGTGGCAACACAAAGGAAGAGCACGTTAATATGAGATGGCTTGCAGATCGAAGCGCAAGAACGCGCCGCGAACCATCAGCGCAAATGACCGCGGGAGGCCTCATCAGCTTCACCGGGCACCACGGTCTTCGTGCGATGCACAGTCGCTTCTTTCTCGCCAGCGCCCGCCGTGGCGTCATATCTTCAGTGGTCCGTAGAATGGCGGTCGTACGAGAGGCGGGAAATCCAACCGCACGATTTCCCGACGCCGCTCGGTGCTAGAATTGGCTGGTGTCCGCGGCCCACAATTATCTGTCGCGCAGCGCTCAGCATCAGTTGGGGGGTCTCAAAGGCGGAGATCACTCACGACCCTGTCATAGAACATCTCCGGCCTGCGGTCAGTACGAAGGCCTTGCGTAGATGTCGCGCGAGCGCCATCGACAGACCGAGACCCGCGCATTCTGTGCGGGCGAAAATCGCGAGCGCACCATCAGATGGACCGAGGCCCCCCCAACCCCCGCCGCCATCTGGCGCGTCAGACGCAGATGCATCCACGCTCGCACCCCCGAAAAACAAAGTTCGCGCTGTCTTCCGGCGCCAGCGCGACGTGACGCGGGAACGAGCCGTATCACGTCGACATTGTCAGAGTTGCCTTGATTGATAGGCATGCAGACAAGTCGCCGCGCACCTACTCGTGTTGTCCCATGTTCTGGCCGTGCTGTGAGCTACCCGTCTTGCGCGCAGAGGTCCGCGTAGGGTACCCCGCTCCGCCTAGAAACGCAGGTTCCCGGGGAGGTCTGTGTACCGGTATGCAGCTAGGCCCGATTGTGCTCGCGAAGTCTAACAAACCGAGCGGCGTCATCAACAGACGCCACAGCATGATCGGGCCCCCTGTTTGTGGCTTCCGTGATTACAAAGACTGACCTAGATTCCCTGCATCCACCCGGCGTTCATGTCTCTCCTAATGGCAGGTATTGGCAAAATCAGTAAATTACCGGGAGATCTATACAAGCGCATTGACACACGGCCCACCTCTCGGCGGAGGAAACAGCCTCATATGATATATGCTGCTGAATGGCGTAGAGCAGGGTTCGTGCTGACATTGACAGCATCAGAGAAGGGGGCTTGGTCAGATGAATCACACCGTCTGTCAGACGCCGAACAGACCGTGGTTGATACAGATGCAATCTCATGCTTCTCGCCGAATTGGGGCGCCTTGGGAGCTAACGCGGAGCCATCCTTTCTGTGCGCTCGCTAGCCAGATCGAGGTCCTCGTCCCCATCTAGCACCACAGAACAGATTGGCAAGGCACCGTATCGCATCCTACAACGTATTCGACAGATCAATGGTTAGCTGTACCCAAGGCGGGCGCACAGCACTGACCGACGCGCATCTGCGCGTTTCACATAGTGCACCGGTCAGAGTCGACGGGCTCCCGCCGCCGACCCGGAGACTCGCGCCGACGGCGAGATCACTCACAAAGTGGCAGAATCGATTCATCTATCGCTCGCGCTTCGCAGATGGCAGTAGTCCGAGGACGACACCTTAGCCAACGTTACTGCACGCCTGCCCGCCGCCGACAAGCACGGGGATGACATGCATATTAGCACCTCCCCATATGTCACACACCTGGGCCCGGTGCTACTGACAGCCGCGGAGCATCCCCAAAGACCAAAGCTTGAGCTTGATTTTGAATTTGATCAACTCTATCTGACACGCGCGTAGCTTGCAGTCGCCATAACTGTTGGTCAAAGATCTCAGTTCAATATCGTGCAATCCGGGAGAATGTCGCTGATACACGCACAACCAGGGAACTCACGAAGGATGCTCACATGCACATCCCACGACCTATTACACGGCCAGAAGATACTTTAGCCTACGTTTGAACGGCCTGCAGATGCCCGGGGGACAAATGTCAAGTTTGCACCCCGGTCAAAATTGCTTGATCCTCGTGCAAATCTATCGATTTGACCTACGGCTGGCATGCACGGGTGACCAGCAGCTACCCATATCGCAGTTTAACCTGCGGGCAAACACTGCATATCATGTGACTTGCACAAGACACGACAAGGCATGCGCGACAAAGCTGAGAAGTTTTTCATCTTGCCCACCCACGTCTCAAATGTCTCAATATCATCTTGCATGTATTTTGAGCCCCGTGCTCCTGGTGAATGTACCAGTACCCTGATCTCATGATCAGGAGCCTGTTATTCTAATCTTTTCTGCCTTAGATCCATATGCCAGCTCTTCATTCTGAACCATCTGCAGAGTTTGGTGAGTTACTTGTTATTTTTGTATTGCTTTCTCTTAGAAGCTACAGTCTGGTATCTTAGGAGTTGAATGTATATGTACCTTATTAAGCAATTACATCTGCGACTAGCCATTCTCTGTATGTTCTCGCGCGACAATATGGTCAATGGGACCCTGGGAGACCGCGCTTGTATCACGTGAGCAGAAATTTGCTTTGCACGGGGGTTGAACAAATTTGCCCGCGGGGCAAGCGTGTGAGTGGTTGCACCAGGCATAAACTGTCGTGGTTTGCACAGGGCGCAAAGCGCTTTGACCGACGTGCAGCTTGTCAGCGGTTAAACCCAGTTTATACGGATCTTCTGGCCATGTAGTTCAACGCGACTGAACGCAATGCTCACTGAAGTGACCTGCCGAGTGATCCATCTTTCATACAGTAGCTCAGAAACATGTGAAGCTGTGATAGACATTTGTTTGCATTGCAGACACGAAAGTACGACACAAGCACTCTAACTACAACAAAAGATGTGTCGAAAGCTGATTAGTCGCTCGCAAGTAGACAACAGAAGCGAACGACATGCCCAGCTCATGACAACTCAATCTGCTCAGCCATACACCAAATGGCCGAAGCTCGACGCAGTCCTAGAAGACATCTCTCCGACGCCGACTCCAGGCTGAGGTGACTGTAAAGAAAAGAGACAGGCGCGCACAAGCCACTATATAGCCCGTTGTCCGGCACTTCCCGAGCCGTGAATATAACCAGCGCTCGAGCGCGAAATGTTTTCTCTTTGAAAGTTGCACCTCGCGGATATTTGGGATGCTCTCTTTGTGGTCTCGCTCTCGGGCAGCTGCTGTGGGTGCGTCTTGAACCATATGCGTAGGGAGATTGACTCCTCCATCTCAAGATCGTGCCGACATTCGTTTTGCGTTGGACGCGACCCGTGTTGGAGGTACACACGTCTATTACTTTTTTGCAACGTGTGGTCCGTGTGGATGTATTTCGCGTACGTCAATGCAGATCTCTGTTAGACCTTGAAGTTCGTGGGCATTATGATCACCTGTTAGCCGAGCATAGCCACTGGGCGCAAGTGACGAAGTTGACTGTGCCGTCGTCCCGTGGCCTTGTCGGATCACTGATTCTTAGCTTACCGCTCACGATCGGAAACGGCCTAGCCATGCATGGCGTAGCAAGCTGCAGTCATTGCACGCTTCCGTTGTGGTAGGGCCAGACGACCCACTGGCGGAATCTGCTGGAAGGCGCCGGCCAGGCGTAGTCTGCCCACACGGACATTTTCTTCTCTTTCTAGGTTTGCTCATAGGATGCGAAGCACCCTGATCAGCCCGCGAAGATGGCTCGATGCGCTCCACGCGCAGATCAATCTCTCCTCGCGATTGGACAGACCGACGGCCAGGCACGCGCATCAGGCATGCAGGAGAATCAGTATGCGATTTTGTTATTCATGGACCCCTCTTCCAGGACGCCCAGAACAATGCCGAGCGCACGCAGGACGTAGCGTCGAGCGAGCGAGCGCGGCTCCTCCGCTTGTAGGGGGGACAACGTGTTCGTAAATAGAGTCGAGCGCGGTCGACTGTGACTCTCCGAGGCATCGCCTGCGGCGCGCTCCTTCTGGCACATTGCACCTGATCCGCATGTACCATGCTATGAAGTTAGCATGAGGCGGGACGTTTTTACTTACGAGTTCGGGCCAGTACTTTCCTCCGTCTCATTGCACACTATCGGGACAGAATCCATGAACTATATTTGTATCTAGATCTAAGACTACCCTAAGACAAGCAGCGGACCTCCTACCGCGTTACACTGTCTGTCGTTACCGCTACTGCGGGGGGCTTTTGCTTCTTATCCACCATATCTTGCTCCACGCGAGGTCCTCCGACCACCCGACCATCCTCCGAGGAACGGCCCCACCAGTAGCAAACTGCTACTTCTACACCGTCCCAGTGTAAACTCGGAGTTGATGTCGCCCAGATGTCGTCTCCACGAGACACGCGTCTCCACGAGACACAAACGACAGTACAACTGAGATAGCGTTTCGCGAAATGGAACGCGAAAGCAAACGACGGGCTCACGCCGCACCGTCGATGACCTGGCTCGGGCGCTGTCGTACCATGAGCACGCCGTGATAGACACTGCCCTGCGAACGTTCACGAGCACATGATGTCCATCCTGTCCGACACTCAGAGCTACGCATCAAGGCGTATAGGAGCGCAAACGGAGTCCATGGAGACGCGCCAAGACCCCTCTGGCCGACGATACACGGCTGTACAGGATGCTCACGTATGATACTTGTGTTCCAATTTCATTCAACGGCTGTATGCATGACGCGTCCCGCGATCACCCAGCATCTAGCCGCGATGCCTCCGTCAACACAGGGTGGACATGCGTCAGACGAAGGTCGAGTTCCGTACGACAGAGGGCTTGCGGGCCTTGACGCTGGAGAAGGCCAGTACATTCGGCCGACATGCGAAAGCGCCGTCCATGGTCCACACTGTGTTAGAGTGTTATCTCCGACGCTCGATGGGCATGGCCCGACATCGTGTGCCCAGATGAGCCGGTGCAGCCTTGTGCAGTTCGCAGACCGCCTCCGCATTGATCTCCTGCATCGGAGGAGCATTGGCATACCCAGCGTGTATCGATGCCACGGAGGAGCCCTATTGGTGGTAGATCGCGGCCTTGATCCATGCCGCAGAAGTCTGCACGCACGAAGGGCTTCTCTCGAGACACCCTGTATACAGGATTTGGGGCCGTACCGGGAGGCAGTGGACGGACGCGGCGTGCGTGTTAAACACGCGTCCTTTCCAGCAGCCAGAACCACGCAGTGCGATGAGACGGCGGTGAGGGCGGGCGAAGATGAATGGGGCAGAGACGCATCGGGGATCGGGAAGGAAGTCTGAGTTGACGACTATATTGAAGGACACGAGGTGAGACTGAGGCACTGCCACGTTACTCTGTCATATAAAGAAGGCGAGGTTGCGCACACCTGTCCCGAGTCCTCTCCGACCTCCGTACACCGCGTGCGAGAACTATGGAACGCTTGTCAGCGATCACACTATCACCTCGCATAGGGATGGCGAATTCGAGCAATCGATCATCGGAGGATTCTGGGGATTCCGAGAGACGAAATGGACTATTTGAGAGTCGCGCCAAAGCCCCGATTTCTGTGCTCCTCGATTGAATCATCGTCTCATACCTTCTACAATGACGGCGGTGTTGTTTACCTTTGTCAGGGACGTACGTCGCAACCGTCCAGGGCCTTTCAGACTTCCACTCGACGCCCAGGTTGTAATGTATAATACAACGAGGTGCATGGGGGTGTCAACACAGAGAAGTATCTGCTGGACTCACCTTGCACAGTATTACCACAGGCATAGTCCCGAAGGTCATGCTTCGGCCTCTGCCGGTGGAGATCTGGTTGCTGATTATCAATGAGCTCGGCGCCAAACGCGAATACGATGCGTTGAAAGCGTGCGCAGAGGCATGTGAAGGATTGATTCAAGAGAGAGCGATAGAGTGCATTCCAGACCAACTCACATTCAGGACGCCGGAGGAGGTTGGGAGCATCAATGTGAGGCAGCGCTGTGCGGGACCAGAGAAAGTGCACATCGAGGGAGGGAGGCGTCGTGGCGAGGGCAGGATCTCGATCTGCCTCTGCCTGTGTGACGTCACGCCCAACGCACTCGGCTGGGCTGCTTCGGGCCATGATGTCCCTCTGCGCCCCCACATGCTATCGGAGTTGACAAATGTTCACTTGGGCATGGACTTCTCCCTGTGCTCTGATCCCCGGTCTGTGCATGACCTCCTCATTCTATTTCCCAGTCGCCGCCTGGAAGAGATCAAAGCTTGCCTGTCCACGTCCTTGTGTTAGCAACGAGCATAGATGCTGCTCTCAATAAACTCGTCAAGCATGCTAACCGACCACTGCTGCGCCTCACACTCGAAGTACTCCCGCAAGACAGCTCACCGCCGTTCAATGAAGCATCCACATATGCAGCTCCGAGCACAGGTGCGCCCCATAACATGGTCCTTGCAAGGTTATCCACAGTAACACACCGTCCCTCCGGCCCGCTGCTTTGATGTTTCGGCGAATACTAATCTCAAGTTCCTTGACTGTTCAGTTGAAATCACCCAGGAGGGCAGTTCATCGATTGCTCCTCTACTGGAGCTTCTTCATCAGGTCATACCAGCACGCCTATCTGACATCAATTGATCTTCATTGTCATGGACAAAGCAAGCCTCGCAAAGTTGTGGGCTGGCCTCCCACATCTCGATGCCGCTCTCTCTTAAACTTCATTTAACAACCTTGATTGTATCTGGATGCGTTTTCATCTCGTAAATGCATCCACAGATATTCCCGACGCTAATCATGCTTACCAAAGCTGGATGCACGGCGTATCCTGGGGTGCGTACCTCCGTGGCGTCCTCACTGCCGCTCTGATGGACATGGCTTTTTATTCTTTATTTCTTTTTATATTCAGTGTTACATACGCTGGAGGCTATTAGCGGGTATGGCTTGTTTATAGAATTGCCGTGGATTATCAATTAGGTACAATGCATACCGAGCTCGAATTGATGAAACAATTACTGATGACCGGCATCGGCAGGTACATGGCATGGGTTATATAGGTCCCTCGCTCGCGCTGGGTGCGGAGAAAGACCCCTTCACGACCTCAGGACGCCCCTGCACACACACAGTATTCTCCTCAGACGAAAGTTGGCCTCTATCGGCGCCGATTTATACACCTGGTCTATCTCAATCACTCCGTCGTTCTGTGCGACAAGAGGCTCTGCAGGTCTGAGACTGGCCATTGACCCTTTTCCCCCTGAGTGCGATCAGCCATCGAGACTGTCGGCACGCTCATGGCCTCCCCCCCACACTGCTCGATCTTTCCAAGGACGTCTCGACCTCCCTCTCTACGCGCATGCGTGTGCCTCGTTCGCGACGATACCATCCCTCCCGCCAAATTATGGCCCAGGGCGTGCGTTCATCCGCTTTGCCCTTGCTCCATCCTAGCGGGGGCGAGTTCAACTTTGCCCACTTTCGTCAAGGGACGTTCCCGTACTTGCGCGTTTCTCCGTCCCGCAGCTCCTCTCGAACATGTAGCCCCACTACGTGCGCCCGCGCGACCGGCCTGCGCGTTATACTATGCTGCTTGCTACTGCAGCACTGCTTGTTCTCTGCTGCTCTGCGTGTTTTGTACATACCACTACTCGCTCCCGCTCTCGCTATCTGTCGTTCTGCGTATGCTGTGGCCCGCTCCCCCGCTATACGTGTTTCGCTCGCATATGCTATCTACTTTGCTCAGCTACCGGTGCTCGTTATCTCGTTGCTTGCATATGATAGACGCTGTTCCCTGGACCATTGCATCGTATGGATATATCCGTGGTACGCATCATCGACCCTTTATCTGTCAGGGCAGGTAGGTTCCGCATGCGCAGGGCGGCCCAGAACCCGTGATTCCGAGTGTCGCGCAGTTCCATGCTAGTGGGCAGACGGGGTTATAGTAGGAGGTGCTGCGCTCGGAACGCAGTGGCGAGAACAACGTCGAAGAGCGCCGCATCTACTGTACTCTGGCCACGAGACGGGCGGCGAAGTGATTGCGTTCAACCGCGTGCAGCGGCTTCGCGCGAGCTGTTCTACGTCGGGACCAGGGTTCTCTTCCTACAATGATGCGAGTCAGGTCATTGCAAGCGTGATGACTTGGACCAGCCAGAGCACGAGATCTGACTGGGTTATTACTGGAATTAACATGTGTTCGAACTGGATTAAGTCACACTTCGCTGCTATGTATATGGTCCGCTCACTACTCATCACCATGTGGATGTGTCCCTCATTCGTTGAAATCCAGCTCCCAGCGTTTTTAGCCACACACCTTGGTCCTCCTCGGTTGCTCTACAGGTGACAACCCCGACATATACACGACGGAGATTGTGCCGACGGCGATGAGATAGGATCAGATCAAGAGCGACGAAAGCAGTACGCAATCTTGGTATAGCATGGCGGTCGCTGGCGTTGGCGTTGGCGTTGGCATCGCTCGGCGATATGCCTATGCAAGGGGAATAGCAGCAACATGGACGGGAGGCGAGTGTGTATGGAGTGGGAAGACACCTGGGGCTTCCTTGCTTATGCTTGTCGATGAGGAAGTGAACAGATAGATCTTTCAAGTGCTGCGGGAGCTCGCAGGGCACTTTCAGAAGCCACACATGATAGAAGACAGGCTCGTCAAGGTATATCGTAAGATCGAAGGATATGAGGCTCGGATTATGCGCGAATAGCTTGTGGGTGATTATGGGAGAAAGAGGATGCGCTGGATAATAAAGCTCAGCTGAGTCTCTTGTCACAACGGAAGGTGAGGTAAAATGGTCACCTATGCTTCCATATATTTCCAGACTCAGGTCCTGAAGTGCTAGTCCCGTCGCTTTGAGGAGATGAGTGAGACCTAGCGCAGGCTTCTCGGGAGGCACTAAGCCCGTCCTGCGCAATCGCAGTCTAAGAACTGGGCTAGATGTGGCAGCAAGCACACAGTCCGCGAGTACACGGAGTGAACATGTATCCAGATCTAGAATAAGAAGATCATAGCATTTCGACCTCGCATTGCTCTGAGGAAGAACACTCGGAGGAGGTGAAGCGCTGTCAACCCGAACCTGGGACAGAGAAATCCGGGGGAGGGATCTCGCACCACAGAGCTGTTGAAGAATCAAGCCCGAGGTCAACGTTATGTCATGAAGTTTCAGGCGATTGAGCTTGTGGCAGCTGAGATAGCGGAAGACGTCGAAGTGGAAGTCACCTGTGCGCCAATTGCCATGTGTGATCGTAAGGGCATTCAGCTCTAGATTCCACGCATACATGGCTAGAACGGCGGTGAGATGCGAAAGCGATCGCCTTCTATCCTCGCCTGTCACGATGATTTCCGGCGGTGTCCATGATCGCGAGTCGTTTCGCCGCATGCGCGAGACGTCGTGACAATTACGAAACGTTAGGACGCTACTTCGTGGGAGATGTTTTTTGATTCGGTAGGACCCAGATTTGCACACCGTTTCGCAGCTGTGCAGCGTGCTGGGGTCGTAGCGCAAGAGATCTATGATCATATCCCAGAGCTCCATGGGAAGCAATGGTCCAAGCGGACGTCGCTGATGGTAATTTGAGTCACCGGGTACCTGCACACTTATTTTCCAGCCAGTGACACTATGTTCAGTGATGCTCCAATACCGACATACCAGTCCTCGCACTTACCACTGAGTTGGTGCAATATCTTTTACTGGCGACATTTTTTCCATGGCATTATATTGTATCTGCACGCTGTCGTCCTGAAGGCTCTCTCTTTGCCAGAGTAGCGCTGACCGGCCAGTATTTTCACGACTGACATGAGGATACTGCACAGAATCCGGGCTATCAGCATCGTCATGCTATGCATGAAGCTGGTCCCATCGCCTCTGACGTCCATGTTTTCGAGTTTGACACTGCCATTATCGACAGATGACCACTCTTTCATTGATCCCGTTGCTTTGAACCCGACAGCACAGCTGCAATTGCTACAAAATTGTTCATTCAATTCAAATGGCAACACATATTTCCTCTCTGTCCTCTTGTTATGCGTATGCTGTTGCGATTATGACTCATGCAATCAGCGGAGACGTATACAAGACGAGGCAAGACGCACCCGAGCTTTCCTTATGCAGAGATACCTGCATTGGAATGTCTTCTCCAGTGCCCAACGTCCAAGCCTCACCTTGGCCAGATTCTTTGATATGGCGGCGCGCATTCAGCCTGATGAAAGGTTCATGTAACAGTATGCCATTCAAGATTTTTACTCACATTGCGAGTGCGGAATTGACGTATGCTGAAAAGTCATCTGTCAGAGATTGACGTTGCATCGGTGAATTATTGAACTTGCAGGTACTGGCGGGAAAGTGAAATGCAAGTGATACTAAGGTTCCTTGCTTCAAGTCTATGATAAACTGCGAACGGTGGTGAGGTATCATAAGACCTGTTGATAAATGAACTTCACCATCGCCATCTGTGCCGACTGTAGGACACTGAAGAACTAGTTGTGTGAGATGTTGAGGCGTTGAACTGGTCGGACGCACCACAGTAGAATTCCACGATTGATACAGTAGATGGCTACGCCGTCATTTGAGTGAAATACTGTCAATACGAAGCGCAGAAAGCCTGAGTGTACATCCTACTTGCAGCACCGCTGCGTGGGAATTGGTGGCAAGCATCCGCATTTGTCGTAGAATTCAGCATCCCAGCAGAGGACTGCGTGCTCACTCACAATTTTCAGGTTACTACATAGGCAGCGCCGTGAAGAGCAAAGGTCGTATCCCATCATCTGACAATATCGAGGAAGAAGGATTGGCACGATGAGTCACACCATCCATCAGCCACTCAACATATTGTATCTGGAAAAAGATGTTATCTGGTGCGTCTCGCCGAATGTGGCGCATCTCACCGTACCCGGTGCTCTCAGGCGAAAGAATTGTGTTCCTGAGTTCAACTATAGTCTGCGCGTTAACATTGGCAGATTCAATATCCTAGTTCCCATACAGTATCAGAGACAAGAAAGATGCAGCACCCTGTAAGGGCCAGCTGACATGCTGTACTTACCAGTCCCATCCGTGAATGACTTCACCGCCGAGGTGATAGTCAACGAACTGCGCTGCCGCCAGATGGCCACTCAGGCTCATTCATCTATCACGAATGTCAGAGCCAAAACCATTTGAGGACGGCGGTAGCTCTACCGCCGGCGATACTGAGACGATATGACTGGTTGCTACTTCTTCTCCCTCGCAGGATCTGAAACCTGAGCGCTGAGCGCTGAACACTCAATTTCAGTCAAAAAAATAGATCCGTGCAGCATCCAGAGAACAGAGTATAAATATGTTTTTCGATCAAAAGCATCTCGCGTTTAAAGGGTGCCCAGCCTGAGGGCTTCAAGCTGTCATCACGTTGGTCGAGTGATGTTTCTCGTGTATGCTCCAACAGGATGAGGACGCAGTAAATGCACTTACAATTGGCCATATCATACACGCTCACACCTCACGCAACCGAGCGCATCAGCTTAACGCAACCCACATTGGGTGGTCCCGTCCATCTTTCGCATGGTGACCCAACTGTCAGTGAAGCCACGATAGTCATTTGTTTATTGAAACCACGAAGGTACAGCACAAGTACTCTGACTACAACAAAAGATGTGCCGAAAGCTGATTAGTCGTTCGCAAGTAAACAACAGAAGCGAACGACATGCCCAGCTCATGACAACTCAATCTGCTCAGCCATACACCAAATGGCCGAAGCTCGACGCAGTCCTAGAAGACATCTCTCCGACGCCGACTCCAGGCTGAGGTGACTGTAAAGAAAAGAAACCCAGCAGGCGCGCACAAGCCACTATATAGCCCGTCATCCGGCAATCCCCGAGCCGTGGATATAACCAGCGCTAGAGCGCGAAATGTTTTCTCTTTGAAAGTTGCACCTCGCGGATATTTGGGATGCTTTCTTCGTGGTTTCGCTCTCGGGCAGCTGCTGTGGGTGCGTCTTGAACCATATGCGTAGGGAGATCAATTCCTCCATCTCAAGATCGTGCCGACATTCGTTTTGCGTTGGACGCGACCCGTGTTGGAGGTACACACGTCTATTACTTTTTCGCAACGTGTGGTCTGTGTGGATGTATTTCGCGTACGACAATCCAGGTTTCGTTCGTCATCAAACAATGTTGGGCGCAATTGCCGTCGTCGATAATGCCGTCGTGAACTCTGCAACCCTGTTCGCCGATTTGTCTTATCCCACAGCTCGCCATCTGGGACCATTCAGCGAAGTAACACTGCGGCTTGCAGCAAGCTGCAGTCATCATGCGTTTCTGTCAACCAATCGTACCGTTGAGGCGTATACGAATTTGAACGAAGCGGGTGACCTATTGATGCACTTGGCGCAGACACGGTCATAGTGTGCATGTGCGTGCTTCTTATGAGTTCAACTCATGCACCGTTGGCCTCTGCGTTCCAGTCTTACCGTCGCAGAGCGCTAGCTCCGATGAGTTTTGCTATACGATGCACCCTCAGCCGCTGCCCATCTGCACCCAGCCGTCGGTTGTCATGCTCAGGTGTACCTGTGCTCACGCTGAGGGATCCTACTCTACGACTGACTACCAGTCTTACGTCAACCGAGCATGTCGTCGTGCTCATACATTCGAATGCTGCTCCTCACCAGCTTCTTTGGAATATGATGATGGAATGCGTATTAGACCGTCTGGATTCTGGGCCAGATAAGTAGTTATCTCGTTCAAACCTCCTGCGTAAGGAACACAGCTTGAATCGTCAGCCCGGTCGACAATCTGCTGTATAGTCTGTGTACGAAGGTGTCGACATCGAGGGTCGCTGTATCGCGTGCGGGGTAACGAGCGGAAGCCAGGTGGCAGAGAGATACAGAGCGAACCGTGCAAGCTGCAGAGCGGGGGATACGCGCGATGTTAGAGAGCAATTGTGCTTAGATTGGTGATCACAAACAGGTGTAGTAGTCAGAAGAGTATTGTGGATTGTTCAAATTTACAGCGACTCGTGTCTCATGTGCAGGCCGCGCATACCGGAATCCTGTTTCCAGCTGAACGCACGTTAAGGTCGAAGAAACCGCTACGCAGCCAAGGCATCTTTCGATAAAATATGCGATCATATGCTCCGGTCAAGTCGCAACAACAAAATGTAAATGATACTGTATAATCTAGAACTGCACCCTCGAGTAGCACGCTCCGCTCGTCTCTTCGCTGAAGGCACGATAAATGATTCATTTGTGAGGTACTAGCCCATGAGAAACCCATGGCCAAGATACATTACAAGCGCACCCGCGAGGCCTGCATGTATGTGTACATGCTCAACGAGAGGGGGATTCGTGAGCAGGAGGGTGATCACAACTTACTCTCCTGGGTATCACGTCAGTGACAAAGACGCACCCACGCGACAAGGTAGAGTGTATGCGTAGTAAGGCATGCCAGGTCGTCGAAGCCATCATCTGCGAGCAGCAAGGGGTGAAAGTGAACAGCACTCACACTCACGGATTGGTTGTGTGAAGACCATTATGAGGCGGGCTGCTCCTTATTCTGTTTCCCCTTGTCTCTCCGACCCTTCCCTTCCCCGCGCCCTTTTATTGGCGAGGGCACGTACGTCGCGCGTCCTCCCCGCAGGTTAGTCCACGGGTTGTCTACACCTACATCCATGGCCGAATGCACAACCACTTGCGGGGGTGGCGGTACGCGGCGCTCGTCCTCCTCATCAGTCCTCTCCTTCCCCTTCCCTTTGCCCTGCGGACGAGCGGCAGGCGACGGTGCACGATACGAGGCCACTGTGACGCGCTTCGTCTTCGAGTTCAGCGAGAGGACCTTATGCGATTGGTTGGCAGGATGTGCGGCGAGCCTGTCGGCACCGGGTGCGTTGAAAGTAGGAGCGAGGACAGGGAAGGCGCCCGCGGCAGTCCGTGCCTCCTCTGCGGCGCGCTCTCGCGCGGCTTCTTCCCGCGCGAGGGTGTCGACAATCGACGCAGTAATTGTTGCGAGGAGTGCGTCGCGCGCGGCCGGGATGAGAAGCGGGGCGGCGCAGTGTGGACAGGCAAAGTGGGGGAGGTTCAGCGTGCATAGGATGAGTCCGCAGGAGCGGCAGATAGGCGCGTGCTGAGAGAGAGGGTGCATGCGAGCTGGGTGCGGTATCGGTATAGTAATACAGACGCAACGTTGAGGACGGTCAGGCAACAAGCGGGGAACACGCCAACGACAGACCTTGACAGAAACACCCGCCCTTGGGGTCTTTCTCTCGCCCGGACGAGCTCTGGAGGGCATCGCATAGCTCTTCGAGCCTGCGTACTTCCTCGCTCTTGGGTGGTTCCTGGGGTTTGTGCTCGCCCTTCGACGGGGCAGGCTGACGTTTGAGCTTGGGAGGCGGGATGCGGTCTGATGTGAGAGTCCAGGCAGTGTGATGCATAGCACAAAGATGAGGTGGCTGTTGATGAAGATGGCGCGCGCAAGAACAAGTTGACGACGCTGCGAGGAGACTCGGAGGAGGCACAGAGTATTTGTCCCAGCCAAACACAGCTTTCTCGCCCGCTCAATGACGCAACTAGGTCACATCTTTCTAAACTACTACCGCGGACAGCACTAGTATCATTATAGATCTCTCTCACCTCGGGTTTGCCGTGTGTTTCAACGAACTCAATCACGTCTTCCGTCGTGTCAGAAATTCTCCACTTGAAGCATCTTACTTCGCAGATGGCAGTCGCGTTAACTTGTGTCGCTGATGGCGGTTCTGTTGAAGGTGGGAGACGTACTACTAGAGCTGAACACAATCGACTTGGACAGAATTCCAAAGAAGATCACTAGCATCTGTGATGCGACACAGCAGGACATTACCGTCTCTCTCACATAATAACACCTCGCTCGCCTCGGTATGTGCTGTATCCGATCTCTAATTTCTAGAGAAGTCTACGCGAGTGCGTACATGGACTCTGGATGCATAGAGCAAGCGATAGTTGCTCTTCAGAAGGCGCGGAGCGCTCCAAAAGCCGTCCTCTGCAAAAAATACCATCATGATCTAACCTTCGCTACGCACATCCCTTGCGTGCATCAGGAATGTCCTATGCCCCAATAGATCTCAGCTTCGAGAGTGTATTTTATCTCTACTTTGCTCGTCTATTACCAATCTTGTGCAGCCCACTATCTTGATGCCAAGCTAAGTTCATTCAAAGGGTATTGCCTCACCAACGCTCCGGGTAATGTGGATTCCTAACCAATGTATGTTGTCTCTATTATTCGGCTAGTGTTCACCGGGCTCCGGCTTTCTTTGCCATAATGCAGAGCAGCGAGCTCCGAGTCGGTCGGCAGTTCATGCCCAGTTCATGCCAGTGGACTGTATAGCTTTGGCCTTCCGTAGTCGTGCACAGTTCGTATATGCGCCAGGCGAGCGTCCAGCAAGCTCCTGAACCCATCTACTATCTACTCGGTTGACCTACAGGAACAATCGAAACGCAAGTAAGTGGGCAAATAACTAATGCAAGCCTGTTGAATACGTATTAGTTGCGTTACACGGCGTCTATACAGCTCATATCGTGATGATGAAACCCGATGCTCGGGCTCCAAGCTGGCCCTTCGCATGTCTTTACAAATGGCGCAACGTCTCAGGGCCAGGCCATGCCGGACTGGGCAGGACTTGGTCTGAGGAACCCGGCCTTGGTCATCGATATACTCAGCGGATGTGCGATCATCGGCAACATAAGCTCTATTGTTGGCGCGGATGTCCTGCTCATATATATGCGTGTTGCCCCGTGCGGGGTTCATTGATCGCTCGTCCATCCTGCGAGGATCGTCCCACTAGAGGACGCCCCTGCTTCCACATCGTGCTCCTCGACTGAAAGTCCACAAGTTAGTGTGTGTTAGGGTCGATTTCCCTAAGATCACAGGGCGAAACAAAACCGTGTGGTCTACTGCATAATTCGTAAACGGTAGGTCTCGTCAACTCCGGATCTCTTCCGTTCGAGAGTGCCTGACTCAAACTGTCGTAGATTCGAGCTCCAGGAAACATTTAGCACTCGTAAGAACAATGTACGACGCTCTTCATGTGTCTAAGATACCCGAGTCCGGGTCCCAAGAGATGATGCTATAGTGCGTTTACTCTACACCTACTCCGCTGCTATGACAATAACGCGTACTACTTGGGTTCTGTAACGAGGTTGTAGCGCTGGCGTTCTCAAGTGGAGGACGCCAGGACTATAACCTTATTATGATCTCACTTGTCGTTGCATGTTCCTCTCACATACTTTCTGCGTATTCGTCACGGCATCACAACCTTGTCCGCTTGGGTTTATATTCCGATGATGCTTAGTGTTTAGCATCCAGAACCTTGAAACTACATAGGTTTTGCGCAATGCTCATGTGATTGTCGAACAATGCACCGATATCTTTCTGAACTTCGCACCGATGCATGCTGGCAGATTGTGGCTCCGAGACAGCACATTCCGTTGCAGGCCAACAACCATTCAACCTACTCACAATCGAGCACGTTCCCAGTACTTGACGAATCTGGTGTCAACTTGGATTGAGATCGGGGTCTTGGGTCGTTCTTCCGGGGCGGTGCCGACTTGTGGCAAATCTCAGCGCCTGAGCATGTTCCTGAAAGAATTAAGAGCTAAGACATGCCTTAGACGAGCTGACATGGATGAATAGGGTTCACTTTATATATGCTCGGTGTATGACTGTTTTCCCTTCCGCATATCCATCTTCCGTGACTTCGAGGCAACGCTTCAAGCTTGCTCTTTCCTATGTACATCGTGATTCTCGAGCGATCAAGTACATCCGTAGTTTAGGGAATTCTTGGTTTGGTTATATAGCGCTGTTGTTAAGTCAGAGTGTGTGCGTCGGTGAGCCTCGCGAGATCGGCCGCTGTGGCGGCCCTCTTGAGCGGCGGCATAATACCCGGATTGATCCAGTCATCGAAATGCGTGGGTCAAAGGTCTGCGAGATGTGTCAGCGCGTTACTGAGAATACTCTCAATCTTGTACTTGTGGTCGAGCTGGACCAACGATGCGACATGAGGGAATCGCGTTTTTGCGCGTGTCTGCAGTATCCTGAGCAATTTACATAGCATGCTCTGCAGTAGGGAGAAGGACCGAGTACTTTCCACCGTTGTAGGGCGCTGACGCTAAGGTTGATGTCGTACCAACTGGGTTGGTGGCGGCGCTGTATACTGAAGCCCTGAGACACTCAAGGCTATGGATTACTCCGTGGCTGTGTGCTTTCGATATATTTCGTTCCATCTCTGGAGCCTCTCGGTTCAAAGTCATTCTAGTATTGGCTTTTGGACTGCAAGAATATACGCGTGGCGCGAACGCGATGAGAATACACCCCGAAGCATAACAAGGCGAAAATGCTAACATTATAATTGGCATACGAATTCAGCCCTGTGTACATGATGGTTTAAACATGCCGACCCGCGTGGTCAGGAACAAGCTCGAAAGCTCGGGCGCGCGAATAGCCGGGGGCTGTAGTATATAACGACCCAGCGCGATGTACGTACTGGACGCGATTGTCCCTTACGGGCATCGCTACGCCTGTGGACAAATGCGCCCCGCGCCGGTCGCACTCTTGGTTCCAACACATAAAGCAGGTGCAGTTGTGCAGAATGACCGACTCAGAGAAGGATAGGGTCAGCAATAGAAACTCCAAATCTGGGCGGAGTCTCAATCATATGTGGCTGGCATGATTCGCTGACTTCGCTCAGTATCAATTCAGGATCTGCGCAAGACGTGTGCTCTCCATACATCCTTGATGCTATTGCATGACGGTGGCATCTGACATCTGTTGCCCAGCTCGACCGCACATCCCGGGGATGTCGCATCGTGTGCGTGTGACACAACGCGGCGATGGCGTTACACCTGCTTACTCCGACAGGTCACGGTCGCTTCTGCTGTCTTATTTCTCCATTTCGCATGGTCTGTATTCAGCACTTTTCAATCTGCATCACATTCGACCTTCAGGACCACATAGAAATTGAACAACCCAAGAATGGGAGTCTCGGCACTTCTCTACAGCAAGACATCGTGCTCTGCCGGAGTCCCCCATATGGGGCGCGCAAAGCATTTGTCTCTGCGGAACATATACATGCGTAACTTTGGATGGCAGTTAGTCATGAACCCGTGCGCATAGGTAAGTACACCTCAAAAATTAGCCGATAAAAGATTTCATATATATATATATATATATATATATATATATATATATATATATATATATATTAGGGAGATCGAGACACAAAACTATTACACCATTCGCGTACAGTGGACCAGAAACGAGTAGCATATGCAATCATAAAATGGCGGAAGCGACATACAACACATCCAAGCCGTTGACGAGAAAAGAGGTCCCAAAAGTGAGCTTTCACTGGTTATTGATGGTTACGCTGTATTCCAGGTCATGCAGAAACATGGCGAATTCGGATGTGTGGTGGCCGTGCACTTCTATGAAATGAGTCAGGTACACATCGTGCGCTTTGTATGAAAATGAACACAGCAGGCACCCCAGTTCCTGCTGTCTTCTGCCAGCGCATTCGTAGATGACGTGAGCCCACCGTACGTGATCGAGAGGAAATCCTTGACCGCAGAACATGCACCAGTGGGGAATCGTGACCAGCCTTTGCTGAGGCTGTTGCGACTCGCCAGCGGGCTGATTGACATATGGGTGGAATTGCCGCTGCTGCTTCGTGATGGCAGAAACAAGACAAGCTACCCTGTCTGCAACTGCCTGCGTGTTCGGTTTGATTCCGCCGCGAGATGTTGTGCCTCGTGAGCGCAGCAGCCGCCTTATAATGAAATTCATTTCTCCTTCATCGGGCGTCGTCATTTCCAAGCGGCTGCTGTTGTTGCGCCGCAGATGCCTCAGGATCGTATTTGCTCCTACTGTATTGCGGTCCATCGTCTGCACGCGTTTCTTGTAGTCGCGCAGCAGCCGCGAAACAGCGGCTCTTCCATAGGGACCTTCCTTCTCCAACCCGTAGCGCTCCAGCTGCGCAACAATGGCATCCACTGCTCTCGCATAGCGGAACGTCATCTCCAAGCGACCGCCGTATTCACGCCACAGCCGTTCCGCGATGGCATCCAACGCTCTTGCATGGTGCTCCGTCAATTCCCAGCGCCTGCCGTCGTCGGCTCCGCGGTGCTGGTTGACTCCAGCCCTGCGCTCGACGCTCGTCGTGGTGTCATTTCTTCTGTCACCGTTTGGCTCCGGAAGTACGGGCGGTGGTGGGGGACTTGTTGGCCTGGCATACCCAAAGGATGAATTATTGGAATCTTGCGGCGGGAAGGTGGGAGCGCTGCCGTAGAGCAATGATTCCCAGTCTGCTGGAGTGTCCATGGCATGCGATGTGGTGTGTATGTGTGTGGTGGCTGTTCCGTGTCCGCGGAATGACCCTGATGAGAGAAGGAAATAGAGGAGATGCGCCTACGACAGAGCTCGTGCAGTGCTTTTATAAGCGTGTTAGGGGCATCACCAGCCACAAACTTGCTGCCAGGAGGATCATGCGTGGCTGGCGGCCCTCGACACGTGTCTCACAAAACAATGTCCGGCCGTAAGTGGACAAGGTGCGGGACAAGCGTGAAGGCATCTTGTTGTGGAACCTGCTTGTGATGGCGTGGCGAGCCACCCTGCATTTCCCCATTGAGCAGATGCTCTGCCACTCTCTGAGTGGCAAATTCACTGAGGCGACCCCGTAGCTTCCGGCAACGCTGCAGCGCCTCTCTTTCTGTTTTTCTCGAGGACGATTTTCACCTACATGCCACTCGCGATGTGAGAGTGTCGACACCCGTGACATAGAATAAATACACCGCTCACAGAGCTAAACTATGTTTCTGATTAATCATCTCGCCCACGGACGTTCTCCATCAAGCGCGCTGTCTGTCGAGGCCCCATCCCGTGAACGTCTCTGCAGTGTGTCCACACCCATTTTAGCGCACCCTGTTTCTGGCACAACGGACACCCATACGCCTCTCCCTCGCGGCCCTTGCAGTAAGTAACGACATGGAGGAGTACGCTCTCGAGATACGAAAACTTCGCGCCACAATACACGCAGGAGAACTCCTGCTCCTTTGGCGTCCTCTTTTTGGTTCTCGACTTCGCTCCAAGAGGCCTAGCACGCGGCCCACCGACCGGGGGTCGGCGCCCCGCTGTTGTCGCAGACCGCCGCCGGCGGTCGGCTCCATGGGGACCAGGAGTGTGGCGGCCACACGCGGCGACGTCTTGTGGCGCCTCCTCGATCTTCAGCTCCGGCGCAGGACTCGCAGCATCCAGATCCAGATCCAGATCCGATGCGTCGCCGGCATCGTCTGGCTCTGAATTTGGTGGAACACTAGGCGGCCACTCCGGGGCGGACTCGGGGGCAAGGTACGTGTCCATGGGGCGGACGCCGAAGTTGGACTGCTGCGCGGCGATGGCGTTCAGCAGCCGGGTGCGCCAGACGAACGGCGGGCTGTAGAATCCCAGAATCGCGGAGCGAGACCAGGACGAGGGTGGCCCGCGCAGCCAGTTCTCAGTCTTCTTCGCGATGCCGCTGGGGCTGTGGGCGGCGTGCTGGTGCTGGTGGTGGTGCTTTACAGGTCCGCCAGGGGATCGCGAGCGCAGGCCATAAGGGTCAGTGTCCGGAAAGAGCGACTCGATGCTGACTTGCGACTCCAGGTCGGCAAGGTCGGCATGTGCGGCGGACCAGTCCTTCTCCATGGTGGCTCGGTCCGCAGCGTCAAGGATACCTAACGTTACTGAGAAAGAAGGTGGGAAGGTGAATGCTGCCCCAAGAGCTGTGCACCGATACTTATACGCCCATGGACTAGTGCGGACCATCGGAAAACTAGTCAGTCACCTTTGCCACCACACCGTCGGCACGGAGTAGCTCACAATGGCCGCGTAAACAATCCCATCACGCACCATATACAACGTGGTTTAACCGTCGTCCGCAGCACGAACGTACACTTCTTTGGATGAGTGGCGTGGTCTATCATGAGTTGACCTCAAGCCGCCTGGACCACAAAACAAGGGTCCTCGCTCGTGCATGTGCGCGTGCTGTACCTTGATCGAGGCCGACTCTTTTTCGTGGTCACTTACACGAGGCATACGTGCAGTGCGTCTTAGAGCACGCAAACTCGGCACAGCCTGTATGCTTACACGCAGGTGCGAGCATTGCTTAAGTGACGACCCCGAAGCCCTCTCAACCCTCTCCGACTACATCAAAGCCACCGGCTGCGAGGACCAATCGCTCTCGCTAGCACAGCCGTCGAAAAGAGGTGCGCTCAATTCCCGAATCTCGCCATTCCGGTCAAGATGCTTTTCCGGTGCATATGCACCCTTTCATTCCGACTCACAATACTGTACGGACCATAGTTACATACGTATCCCCTCCTACCTCTATCCCACCTCGCGCTTGCGCCCTCTCCCCCGCCATCACCCGGCCCTGTTGTTCAACCAGACATCATCCTCCATGCTCACTGACATTGAGCCCCTAACGACAGATTGCTCGCGCACCGTCACTCCATACAACCGGATAGCCCACTGAAGGCCCGGTACGATACGTACGAGCATGTATTATCCGACATAGGGCGTAGCCCTCTAACCGACTTGAATTGGGCTCACTCAATAACGATAATAAAATTGTTCAAAGTAAACTCAATTCTGCATTCCTTTCTGATCGAGTACAGGATTATTACATTTCCACCATGGGATGTATCACGTATGTTTTACAAAGACACTAACGACACCCTGATTGTATGCGACAATGTGAAGGCAGTCCAACCGTTTAGATCGCGCCTTTGTCCTCGAGGACATCGCGTGCGTGTTCCTTTGCCTCCTCGCTAACGTTAGGGTCTGTTTCAAAGGGTGCACTAATGAATATCAGCGTCCTTGAACAGAAGCGAGATATCACGCACTCTTGAGCGTCGCCTTAAAGCCCGCGTTGACGCGGGTCTCGTCCTTGTCGTCGCTGTAACCCTGGCGAGTCTGCTGAGTCTCGGGCTGCTGCTCGAGGTCTTCAACTGCCTGGCGCGAGTGTTCCTTCGCCTCCTCAGAGACGTTCGGGTTCTTCAGCGCAGCCTTTGTGCGCTGTGTTAGATGCACTGTCGTCATCGGTACATGTCCAGCGATGGCGTACCTTGTGGCCACCGATCTGACGAGTGGGGAGAGACATGGTTGATGATTGCGTGGTTGAAGCGTAGGGTAAAGTGCGCAGAGGGTGATTGGGAGAGGAAAGAGGTATGAGGAGCGAGAGGGCGGGGCGGCTGTCCTTATATACATATACGACGAGGTCAATGAAGTCATGATGACGAGCAGCGTGAAGGCCTTATGACGACGCTCCCCGCACGCCTTCCGTTCTGGGAAGGGGGGCTTCCTGCTATGGCATGGCGTCGGTGGAGGGATGCGCCGCGGGGGGGACCTGCCTCACGTGACGCAAATCAAGGGAAGTGTCACATGTGAAATGGACGCCGAGTGAGAGGCCGGCGGTGAACATTCGTGTGATAGTCGATATCACATGCAGCGTCCCCATGGGCGCCTCCAGAGGGCGAACACGCGATCAAAAGTCGATCGCGGTACGTCTCTGTCTGCTACCCCCATCGTCTCTCTCGCCATGTCTGCTGTCTTGCAAGCCGTCTCCAACCTCGCCTCATCGTCTGGAAAAGAAAAGGTCCTTTCCAAGCACGACAACGACGTCGTCATCGTCTCTGCAGTCCGCTCTGCTCTAACAAAGGTCAGTCGTTACTTCCTCCGTCTTCTCCATCTCTCGCGGGGTTCCCGAGTCAGTTTCTTCTAAACACCATATTGTCTTGTTCATTCAAGAATAAGGGCTTAGCGCCACGCACCTCTATGCAAGAGCCGGCTGCTAGTGACACCACCGTGGTCGCTGCTCTGTCTAACTATCTCGTCTCACAATCCTGTGCCGCTAGAGGTGGCTTCGCATAGTCTGGGCGCACGAAATAACCGCGTGATATCAGACCGCGGAGGTTATAGTGGCCCATTTCAGAGACGGCATGCGCTGACCCAAAAGGTAATCCTTGCACCGCGCAGCGACTGCAGCCACCCATCATGCTAACTTCGGGAAATCTCCGAGTGTCCTAGGACATTGTGTGCTATGGATCGCCCTAAGGAGTCTCACATTGAATATCTATCGCACTACTTCGCCGGTGATATTGCCTGCATAAGGCCTGCATTCACGGCTGAGACCTATGCGTCTATCGTAGGCAGTGTTGCAGGGCATCCCGTCACATGGTCTGCCCTGTTTCTAGGTGCATGCGACCCTCTTCTTTGAGCGTGGGGCAACTCATAGGGCTTGGATCTCATACGCCTCACTTGCATGATCTGATCACTCGCTTATTCGCACTTTGTAGTCCAAGAAGGGCGGTTTCAAGGACACACGGCCAGAGGAGATTCTCTCCGGCGTGCTGCGTGCGGCATACACCAAGATCGGCCTCGACCCAGCACTCATCGAGGACATCACCGTCGGCAATGTCCTTCCCCCTGGCAGCGGCGCGAACGCAGCGCGCATGGCCGGCTTCCACGCCGGCATTCCTGTTTCAACCCCCGTCAGCACCGTCAACCGACAATGTTCGTCAGGTCTGGCTGCCGTCAACAACATCGCGGCGCTGATCACCTCAGGGCAGATCGACATCGGCCTGGGTACGTCGCCGCACCGACTGCAGGCTCACACTCTGCTGACCTCCGTGCAGGTGCGGGCGTCGAGTCTATGACCTTCGGCTACAACGCGGGCGCAAACCCCGACGGCTTCTCCGAGGAGGTGCTCGCCAACCCGCTCGCCGCCGACTGCCTCGTCCCCATGGGCATCACCTCCGAGAACGTCGCCGCCGACTTCCACATCCCGCGCGCAGACCAGGACGCGTTCGCCGCGGCGTCCTTCCAGAAGGCCGCCCGCGCGCAGAAGGAGGGCCGCTTCGCGCCCGAGATCGTGCCGCTGACCGTGCCGTGGGTCGACCCGAAGACGGAGAAGGAGAGCCGGGTCGTCGTCGACTTCGACGACGGCGTGCGCGACGGCGTCACCGCGGAGAGCCTCGCGAAGCTCCGGCCCGCGTTCGCGAAGGACGGCACGACGCACGCGGGGAACGCGTCGCAGGTGTCCGACGGCGCCGCCGCGGTGGTCCTCGCGCGGCGGAGCGTCGCGGCGAAGCTCGGGCTGCGCGTGCTGGGCAAGTTCGTGGGCGCGGCGGCCGTCGGGGTGCCGCCGCGCATCATGGGCGTCGGCCCGCTGTACGCGATCCCGAAGGTGCTGCAGAAGGCGGGGCTGAGCACGGAGGACGTGGACTTCTACGAGATCAACGAGGCGTTCGCGAGCCAGGCGGTGTACTGCGTGAAGGAGCTCGGGATCGACGTTGCGAAGGTGAACGTGTGGGGCGGTGCGATCGCGCTCGGGCACCCGCTGGGGGCGAGTGAGTGGCTGCTTGCCTGTGCGTTTGTCGTGGCATTACTGACCACGTCTTCAGCCGGGGCGCGTCAAATTGTGACTGGGCTCAACATCGCGAAGCAGACTGGCGGGAAGATCTTCGTCACCAGTATGTGCATTGGCTCGGGCATGGGCATGGCCGCGGTCTTCGTCAGCGAGCAGTGAGCAGTGAGCACTTTCTTCAATAACGCCGCTCTCGGATGGCCACGCGGTGCTGCTTGTAACCTTATGGTCTGTGTATGTACTCTAGTCAGGGAGGATCGGAATGGCATGCTCCGGCGCTTTCTTGCACTGGTTATATGGGATATGGAAGTTCAAGCAACGACGTAAGCTCACGCATACCCCCACTCAAGTTTGGGTCTAGAAAGAACAAGGTCTCGTCTGTGGCGCCTCCCACTGACTGACATACGTTAAGAATGACTGAAAATTGCCTTTGCAGCCATGAACGCCAGAAGATGCACGCTACAACGACTGCGACATGATCATTGGCTGCCTCTCCACCGACATCAAGACTTGCGCCTTGGTCTGCCCGCACCGTCCTATTATGCTACGGCCGTCTCGACGTGGCCTTCCGCCCCGCTCACCATGCGACGTCATTCACTCAACGCAGACAGTCTCTGCGCGGTGGTGGGGGGACGAGACCGTCACGGTCCACGGCGACATGTTCTCGCGAGCCTTGTCCTTGTGTCCCTCGGAAATGCTAGGGAGAACCGTCATATACAGACGGCCGGCGGGTGCGGCGATTGTGCGTGATGGGACATGAGGCGTGGCCGAGGCACATCTCCCACTGCTGGACACTCTCGGTGTCGCGTTTGGCGCGTCCGTCAATAGTCACGGCCCTCGCCCACGATTGCGCCGTCCTCGCATCCGAGTCTGCCGCCGTCTTCGCCGGCCTCCTCGCCGTGTCTCCCGGGCGTCCTGCCGCAATGCCGCCTCTGAGGACGCAACCCTCGATCTCTGATCTGCGTGCATCCCGCCACGCCACAAGACTGCCCGTGTTGCGCCCGTACATCGTGGCACGTTCATCGGCCGTGCTCGCATCCGCGTTGCGTGCAGTCGACTGCGCGACACGTGCAGATGCGATTGACATCGCATGGGATGACCTGCGCTTCCAAGGCGAGCCGACGCCACAGACGACGCTAGTAGAATGAGCCAGCACCGCATTCATGTTGCAGGCTGCAGGCGTGTCCTGGCGTGCACTGGAAATCTCTATTCCCCATAAGGACGGTGCGCCACAATCAGCTCACCCACCCTTGCGTGCTAAGCCACGCTGCCCGTGTACTAGACCGCGTGCTCTTTGCTCTTCAAAGTATTGTCTGTTTCTCCACACGCTGACGGGGCCTAGGCCGTGCGCGCATTGGAGACCATCATCACCTCCCCTATTCAACACCAAATCAACCTCAACTTCGACGTGAGCGCGCGCGACGTCGGCGTCCATCGCAGCTTGAAGCTTTCGCTGTTTCCCGTCCTTTACACTGTACTTGCTGACACGCTTGCTCCACGAACGTCGCTAGATGACGTCGAGGTGAAGGTGGAGCACCCGAATCACACAGACCATATTGGTTTTGGGCCGCCTCGCGGGGTAGGGTGCTGCCTCCCGGAACGTGAGAAGCGGAGGATGATAAGGCGTGCGGTGGCATGTGCTACGGGAGGCTGTGTGATGTTGGATATGGTGGCTTTGCAGAAGTGCGTGTTACCGTCAAGTGCGTGTTCGCGCGCTCATTATAGTCCATGTATGAGTGCACTCTGTGTGCATTCTCTTGTCGTTCTTATGTTGTCAAAAGTATCACATAGGCGTCCAATGGCCAGAATGTTAATGTCACAATCAGGGGTGGCTTGACGAATGTGGGTCCGCCACCAAGTCACGCCAGTACGTGACCATAGGCGCCGTGACAACCCCGGGCCCGCCACATGAGCGTGTCTTCAGTTCATTGTGCCTCTCGGGGGACGAGCTATGACCGCGTGTGCTTTGATCGTTCTACTATGTGGCGCTGTGGACGTTTATAAGTCCGACGAACTCAGAGAGCTGGCCTCACATAACTCTCCTATCCTCCGCTATCAGCCACTCTCTCCTCTGGCCCGCCATGTTTCTTCCTCTCCCGATGGTGATCGACGGGACCCTACTGAGTTTGGTCGACAGGACCCTACTGAGTTTGGCAGACAGGACGCGCACAAGGGCCATCTGCCCACCACCCGAGGTAGGTGTATTACATCCTTCGATTGCATTCATCCTCTCACGTCACGTATCCAAGGCCACTCAGTCTGGATTCCTCAAGCTAAACCGTGACGTCCTATGGGTTATCACATCCTTCCTTACGCCCCTTGAAGCCCTCAGTCTGTCGAGGACAACTCCGAGTGGCAATGTCCGAGACGTAGCCAGAGCCCGAGCGTTCTCTTCTTTGACGGTGCACAAAACCAACAATTATCGCCACGACTTCCGCAAAATTAAGAGAGTTTGCGAATTCTTGCTTGATGACATTCCCGATCGCGTGGTCCACCTCCGGAAGCTTAATCTGCAAATCAACCACGGCCCAGATATAGAAAGTCTTGACGAACTCCGTCAGCAACAGGACCTGAAGGACGCAACATCCCGTCTGACAGAACTTCTCTATTTTGCAAGGGGCCTCCAGTCCATTAGGCTGGAAAACTTCGCCACACTGATAGGCATAGAACCACGCATAACAGATGCTATCGTTACTATGCCCAACCTGCGTAACCTTGACATCTATCTGCTCCGCGACGGTAAACTGGTGTGGGAATTTCTCTCGCGTATGCGGCGCAATCTGCATAAATTGCGGATTGCGGACTTGGCCCTCCCGACCCGGATCAGGCCCAACGTGTACGAGATAATCTGCGCAATCAAAAACATACAAATCAAGACCCTTGAGCTGGACGGAATAGTATACTCTTTACCCAGCAAATGCGCCACCACCCTTGCTTTTTCGTTGCCATCCGTGCACGAGCTGCTCATCAATCGATCCCGTTTCTCGATGGCATTGCTTGTAAATGCATTTCCTAATCTGCGAGTGCTGCGACTTGGAGAGCCACCGATGACTGCAGACTTTGGTTCCTGGGCAACCATCGACTTCGCAGATGCTGGTTCCTGGCCAATCTTGGACTATGCTGAGGGCCCTTCGAAGTTCTTTGAAAGGTGGTCGCCTGCGTTTCCGATCCGCTGCGTCTCACTTACCGATGAGCTTGCTGGCCGCATTACGGAACCAGACGCTTCAGACAGGCGCGAGAGAACTTTGCAACTAGCCGAGCGGGTGGGACCTAGGGCTCTTGAATTTGCGACCTACATCTTCTCAAGCACGGACCCGTCTGCTGGCTGCGGATCGGGACCATGCGTTCGATACGTGCGCGACACAGCTTTTCAAGTGGCCAAGCAGGTTTGCCCTGAGGGCCTTGCTTTCTCGATCCTCGTCGACCCAAGGCCAGGCCCATACCTCCCTCCTCCAGAACCCGATATGATGCGCTTTTACGATGTCTTTACAGACTCAGGGCAAGCCGAATACTTCTGGGCCCCATTAGTTGCAAGTGTCCCCGAGCTGCACTTTCTCAACCTCACACTCCGTATTCCTCCTCGGACGAATGACTTGATGGCGGTCCTCAACCCGTACATGGTGAGTATCCGGTAGCTCTCTTGGTGTATCAACTCACAGTCTCGTCAGAAAATACTTTGTGATGCTTTTAAATGTCTACCGAGGCTGACTCTCGTACGGCTGTCGGTCATATACGATACGTTCCAGAAGGATGGCTCCGCTTCGTGGCTGCCCGCATCTATTACATCAAAGCAGGCACGTATGCTGGCATCGACACTCGTCGAGACGTCTATCCGTTACGTGTCCTTGTCTTTCACCGCCTGGCGATACAGGACGAACAAGGGTAGAGCGACTCAGGAGGAACTCGTCCGGAGCGCAGCATGGAAGATCTTCGATAGGCGAGGAGTGAAGAGCCTTGAGCCTATTACACAGTCCCATGAAGAGATGGTCTACAAGCGCATTATGGACACCGGTTCCGACTTCACTACAAATTCATGATTTTTACCTAGGCCTGTTCTTTTTATGTAACCTCTGTCCTCGTACACTCAGTGCGAGCTATTTATTCTTCAAGACGCTCGCCGCCATGTGCAACACTAGAGGTCTGAGTCTGGATCGACAGATATGAGCCACGCAATTGGGAATCAGGTAATGAATACACGAAATTCTCTTCTAGCGGAGATGCCACATTGACACAAAGGAATGAAATGCACTCGTGTCTAATCGAGAAGGATCATAAGGAACGATTCTTTCTCTTGAGCGACAAGTTCTGATCCAATCTCGGGAGCTGTGCGCTTTTGTCGTCAGGCGAAAGCACAATACGCATGATAATTACTTGCCTCAGTGGAGTCGTTAAGCCGTCATAGGATCGCCTGTGTGGCTCCCATCCTGCTTCTCCGAGCTTATGACCACCCGGGTTGCACTTTGAGCACCGGAATTATCGTCTGCCACTTCGGTGGCATTCTTTGGATGTCCCGCGGCGTTGCGTGCAACGGACTGTCTCTCAGAGTCATCTGAATGGTTCCTACGGTTTGTGTAAGCTCCCTAAATTGTGCAGAGTACAGTGCGCAGGTGTATATGGGATCTCTCACCGATAACAAAAACATCGGTGTCCTGGCTGTTTGTCCCAACCAATCGCTTGGCAAGCACGGAATTGAGCAGGAAGGTATTCGTTTGAATCCATGACTTTGCATCTGTGAATGACATCCCCTCGAGCTGCGCGAGTTCCAGTGATCGAATGCTGACTTGGCGTTTGAGCTCTGCGCGGAGGTCAAGTATCAGAATTTTGTCCACAGAGGTAGTGAAGAGAGAGTAAAAGTTAGTCTGGGCTGAGAGATGCGTGCCATCGGTGAGCTTCCACAAGAAGAGAGGTGGCGTCATTGAGCCGTTTAGATGAGATGTATATAGATGTGTTGTATGCGAGAGGCCGGGCTGTACTGAAGAATGCTAGTATGGCGTAACCTTGTTCTCGATACGGAATGACCAGGACGCTTCTGCGGCGCTCCGCACACAAGACTTGAAGCTTGAAGCTTGGAAGGCTGATACAATCTTACCACATACAATCTTCCACTGTAACGCTCCACTCACTCCGACCCCGGTATGCGCTGTATCCGATGTCTATCTTCTAGAGAAGTCTACAGGAGTACGTATAGAGGCATAAAGTAGGAATTAGCTGCCCGCCAATTTGCCATCTCCAAGGTAAATAATGACAAACCCATCAGATCTCGGTATCAGATCGTTACATCCACACAAGATAAAGCAACACCGCAGGGCATCAGCTGAACTAGAGCGGGCATACCGTCTGTGTTCCCCCAGCATTACAAGTAGCGGGGACGACGCTGCTAGGACAATCTCTGAGAAAGAATCTGATGTGGACGCGTTCAACCTGTACAGTATCTGCACACGTCCGCGCATAATCTCTATGAGGCCAGAAACGCGGTACACAGGTCGTCTCCGATCAGGAGAGCACGCTACAGGATCCACGATCACCACGAGGGGGTACATATTCCTTGAATTCAGGATGATAAAGCAGCGGGATGTCAGAATGCAATTTGAGCCTAAGTACCACATAACAGGTCTTGTACCGCCCGTGGACAAAGAACTGACACAACACAGTTAGACACACAATAATTGAGAAATGAGAAACAACCCAAGTACCTGGTATATACGTCCCACAATGCTGCCAATGACACAATCCGTGGATCGCATCATAATCCTTCACTGCCCAGATGACAATATCGCATTCGGAGTGTCAATCGTCTACGATGGACTCGGCTTCGACGTGCTCTGTCCTGCGTTATCGTACAGGACCTCGATAACACCTGAATTTGCCCGTGAGTATACAGCATTTAGCGTCATGAAGCCAGACTTACCCAGGGTGACCACACGCAATACCGTGTCTGAAAGGCGTATATCCTGGTCCGGGATGGCCTTCATGAGGAAGCCGCACACCTCCTGCCACGTCGCCGCGTCCGTGAAGACCTTGCCCTGGAGAGCCTCGCAGCACAACCGCAGTGAGTCCGCTCGCTGCCACGTTGTGTACGAATTCAGATCAGAATTGAGCTTGCGGATACGTATCTGGCGTACGCCAGACTTAAACAGAGGACCGAAGTCGTTGCGTGCGGAGAGGTGAGTGCCGTCGGTGAGCTCCCACAGAAACAGGTTGCAAGACATAGTTCGGCGGACGTAGGTCTGTCGATATCGAACGGGGGTCTTTTGCCAGAATGGAGGGCGGCCGTGTCCAGTGGACTGCACCCTGCTGATGCCAAAGGCACGAGCCATCCCTGTGGTGGCTGAGAAGCTTTCGGACCCTGAACTCAAACGCAGATTAGAATCAAGGTTGGGCCTTTCCTCACGAGGCGCACGATAGTGGTAGTTTTCCACACTATTGCTGGCTAATTGCTCACTGGACGTGCATCTAGCAATACCATGCCTAATGAAACGCACAGCCCCATGTGCTGCTCTGCATATCTCAGATACACTCAAACACAACCTCGGAATCGGACGCAAAACCATCACGCGCCAGTCGTTGACGGCTCCACGGCCATGATAGGTCCTTCGTCCGGATCCGCACGAACAACAGTGCATATATCCATGCTATTACACAACTGAACAGCGAGCGAACCGGCTGACTAACGCCTCAAGGGTCCTTTGAGTCGAAGCTTGAGCTTCACCATAATGTGTCGCACTCACCCACGCTATAGGTTTGAGGCAAGCATAGATCGCACAACATACAATTCCAGTAAAAACACTTGAAGACCAGCAATCAGCGCACGTCTCGTAGATTCCTAGAATCGAGAACCTACCTCCGCACGTGAAGTTATTCAGATGCTTGATTTATGCTCTGGCCCATTCTCGCAATCTCGAGCGTGCCTGATGACATCCGGTGAGCATGTACCCTTGTAACGATCATAGCAACCAGTCTCTTACCAAGAATCAGCACGGTTGACTCACGATCAGGTACGAGCGACTGGCCGGCTGCACGCACAACGTCCATGAGGAACTTAGACACAGCCTTCCATGTATTGGACTCGGTGAAAACCATGCCCTCGAGTAGCGCCAGGTCCGACTGTTTTACATTGTAGCTGCGGTACTGAGTAGACTTCTGCTTGAGCTCTTCGTTCACATCGACAATCTTGATCCTCTGCACTCCGCTCCCGAACAAGGGATCGATCCCCTCAAAAACAGATACGTGTGTGCCATCTGTCACTTTCCAGAGGAAAAGGGTGGGCATGGTCGTGGTATGGTGGAAAGACGGAGCAAGCGCGGAGCGAACTATCGTATCGATAGCGGACACGATGCGTGCTGCTCCTCGACGGAGGCTGTAATTGAATCAAACGACCGTGGCGATCAATGACTGTATTCAATGTTGACTTCGTCTTATTCGGATCGTCGAGACCGGGATAAGGTCCGAAGCTCTGAATTGTAGACACGAGGCCCCAGCAGACGATCTGCCATCTAGCTCAGCACAGGGATGTGACTCTGCCAGTAGTTGGTGGATGAGACTGGTTAGTCGCGTTGGATAGATGGGTGGCTGTTCACCTCCCAAGAATGCTAACGCGTTGCTCGCAGCGAAGCGTGTATTGGTTCGTAGTCTATCTTGGATGATCTACGGCTATCATGCCATGTAGACGTGAGTACACTGTGGGTACAATTCGCGGCAAAGTAGCGAGGTCAGATGGACAGTGTCCATTGCGATTGGACGCACCGAGGCAACTATGAATGTGGGAGTTGATAACGGACATTCACACAGCGCTCTTCGCTGCCTCGCGGGATTCTGGTGGGAGGAAAAAGTGTGTCAGAGTTGTCTCGATATGAGCCGTTCAATTAAGGTGGTCGCATGGCTCCGCCGGCAGGGTTACATGCGCCCTTGGAGCATGTGGATTGAATTCGTCGGAACAAAAACGTTACGCATGATGTTCGATGGCCGTAGGACGAGGCTATCTGTATAGCTTGTTCGAGGCTCCCGAGGTCGAGGAATATATGCGGACCGGCCGCTTTAGATGAAGGGAGATGCTGGGCACACGGTCGAGGTTGAAGATGAATGAAAACACGCGATCCATGAGTCAGATCACGGTGGTGGATGTTGAGGACCGCATGCGCGTCGACCAGGTATCGCAGACACGGCCTGCCTACACGTGTTCCCCTCATTCGTACCACCGCTATAAAACACCTCTCGCCGGTCTCCCTGCTAGGCACGTATCCGTCTCGCACATACTCCCGCGCGCACTCAGCTCACCCCGCCCGCTCGGTCGTTGCCAGCTATACACACCATGTCCGAGAAGCTCGACTCGACCTCGTCCACCGACGCCGGCTCGGGCCCGCGCGACTCCTCCAGCTCGGGGCCCAAGGCGATCATCAAGAACGTCGACATGAGCGAGGAGATGCAGCAGGAGAGCGTCGACATCGCGTCCGCCGCGCTCGAGAAGTACAACATCGAGAAGGACATCGCCGCGCAGATCAAGAAAGAGTTCGACCGTCGCCACGGGCCCACCTGGCACGTCGTCGTCGGCAAGAACTTTGGCAGCTACGTGACCCATGGTGCGTCCCTTGTTGCTGCTGCCTGTCCCGCTCGCGCAGAGACGCGTTGCGGGGTCGCGTTTCATGCTGATGTCTCGACAAACAGAAACCAAACACTTCATCTACTTCTATGTCGGCTCCCTCGCCATTCTCATTTGGAAGTCATAAGGGGCTTCATCGTCGCTGACGTCTCGTGGTATCCAGCATCAGGAGAGGTCGAGGAGTAGGGGGGGCGCGGAATCTCGTTGAAAAGTCACCGGAAGGACTGTTCGTCTCTGTATTTCCCACTGTTTCTTGCTCTATTAATCTGCTTTCGTCTTCCGTTGAGGCTGTGTTCACATGCTAATGCCGTTCATCGTGAAGTTGGTCGCCGGCTGGTGCATGCTACTCACTCGCTGGATCTTGAACGCGTGCTGCTTCATCCTTCGGTTAGAGTCACTGTCCGGAATGGTCTCGCGATGCCTATCATTGCTGTTATCACTTAACCTGTCAGCCTGGCCAAACACACATAAGTTTCCGGCCTCGCGTTGCTCTGAGCAACTCGAACTGAGAATACGAATATCTCATCGGATCGACTTTATTCTCGCTACGCTCGATCCTGCTCCTCGTTCCATGGCGCCCACAACATCCTGGCCTGCCCGTGCGTGGTTGTTATCACTCTGCCACCCCTTTGGATGTAGGACCGTTTTTGCCTTTGGATGCAAACATCTGGTCATGTCGGAGCTCTGGGCGCACGTATGTCTATCCCCCGCTACTTTGTCTGATAGCCACGCCGCTGCTACCGTTTACTCAAGTTCCTAAGGCGAGGCGTACGCCGCGGTTTCGCTGCAATTTAGAGCGTCTATGATTCGAAATCCAACATGCTACTGAGACCTATACGTCTACCGCAGGCAGTGTCGCCGGGGATCCCGCCGCATGGTCCGCCCTCTTTCGCGGTGGTGCGCCACCGATATTCCCTTTCGAGTACGCGGTCATCATGACGCGTCTCGTTGCAGCCCCAGCGATATGCGTCAACTTTGGCTCATGTTCGTAGCAAAGTCGCCGTGGACTTCGACGATGGCGTGCGTGACGGCGTGACCAAGGCGGAGCTCAAGCCCGCATTCGCGAAAGACCGCACGGTGCACGCGGCGTCGCGGGGTGGCCCTGAAGCGGCGGAGCACCGCGAAGAAGCTCGGGCTGCCGATGCTGAGCAAGTTCGTGAGCGCGGCGGCAGTCGGGATCATGGGCCTCGGCCCGCTGTACGCGGTCCCGAAGGTGCCGCAGAAAGCGGGGCTGGGCAAGGAGCACGAGGATTTTCACGATATCAACGAGGCGTCAGGCGGTGTACTGCGTGAAGGAGCTCGGGAACGACGTTGGAAAGGTGAACGCATGGGGCAGTGCGATCGCGCTTGGGTACCCCGGGTTGGGCGCGAGTGAGTGACCGCTTCTGCGTACGTCGTGGCATTACCATTACTGACCACGACTCCAGCTGGGGTGCGGCAGATTATGACTGGGCTCAGCATCGCGAAGCAGACTAGCGGGGAAATCTTTGTTACCAGCATGTGCATCGGCTCGGGCATGGACATGGCCGCGATCTTCGTCAGCGAGCAGTGCGTGGTGAACACACCGCTTCCGGCTCATTTTGCTTGCCGCAGCACATCCCACTTTTACCAGCACCGCTGTCGTATGGCCGCGTGGTGCTGCCTGTATTTATAATTCGATGTTCTGCATATCTACTTTTGTCAGAGAGGATTGGAATCCCGTGCTCCAGCCGCTGCGCTTTGTTACACTGGTCATATATGGTGTAAGGCACTGACGTAAGTTCAAATAGCTTTGTATTCAACCTGTTAGACGTCTCTTCAACAATGTCCGGAGACTGCGGATGAGATCTTGAGAGGATAGGGCACCTTGGAATCGAACCAGGGTACGACCTCTCCTCTTCGTCACACAACGCCTTTTTTTGCGAAGCTAGACACGAGGGTCTATCCACCGTCACGCAGCGGTTCAGCGCATCTGCGACCTGCACGCGATCCTAATCGGGCCTAGAAGATCGAGATCTTGTCTGTGGCGCCTTTTGGACCGTCTATTGTGTCTGCTGGAAGTGGTGGCGAGGACATTCATTCAGTAATGGCGGCGGGTTCGGCGATTGTGCGCGCGCGATGGGCAGTGGAGCGTGGCCGAGGCGCATCTCCCATTGCCGAAGCCTCTCAGTAACACGTTTGGTGCGTCTATCACGACCCTCACCCTTGATTGCGTCGTCCTCACCTCTGCGACAATCTTTGCTGCTGTTCGTTGTGTTTCCTGAGCATCCTGTCGCAATGTTGTCTTTGAGGATGAAACCCTTCAGCCTTTCGACAAACAAGCCCGCAGTGGCATAAGACGAAGTGGGTCGACATCTGAGATAACCAATGTACCGACGAGCAGAGCTAGGGACATAGCCAGAGCAAGACATCACGTTAGATGAAGTATACATGCGTCTGAGATACTGTGCCGGGCTCTGGGGTGCAGGCAATAACTCCTCATGATCGTACGTATTACACTGACCCACGGCACAAAGTTAGCGATCGCGTATTAGATAAAAGAGATTTTAGACTAGCCTTGAATGAACGAGGCGGGGTCGAAATCGCGCGCATGGATTTTGGCCCTTATTTGCTCTGCATCGTAATGGGAAATGTGTTCCGCAGTACGTTCCTTATCCGAGTGCACAATTCTCCATGAGCCACGACGGCGTGTCATTGATCCGTCTTTGAATTTCACTTCAATAGACACATATCGGAGAGAATGTATATGTTCGATGAGCACATGCACCACCTGCTGCTCTAGTTTGTCCAGCGTCGAGGTGATTGGGAGATGGCCATCATGAGCTAAATGTGTCCGCTCGAGGAAATATGACAGTCTGATGTGGATTAGGTGGCCAAGATCATTCAGTACACCAAAACGTATGCCCTTCCAGGTGTTTTCCAACAGTCAACATTCGTGACGATGTCCTCAGATTGATTCGACTCACCAATTGTTGAGCTGTCTTGAACACTAGATCCATTTCGCTACAGAGCGGCCATATCGAGATCTCCAGACTGCGTACTTGAGGCGCTGTTTCTGCTAGCTTTGCCCAGAAGGTATCCAGCTCGGGCGTTGCCGGAACTGATAAATCTAGTATTCTCGGCGAGGTCTGTCGTACCGTATCCAGCACGGTAACGTCATCGGCGGACTCGAAGTAGGGCATCGGCGTCATCATGAGATAGTGCACATGGCAATTGAATGACCATTCCTTGAAGAGCGCTATAGGACCCTTGACGTAGTCCATGTGTGGCCAACATACGCTGCTCGTCGAAGTCAAACCTGATGATGGATACCGCACGCATAGTTCTCGCAGATTGGGGAAAGCTCGGACCGCCTGGGACATCGAGAGTCGACATCTATTCAGAGTCAAACTCGAAACAGTGGGCCAGGACAATACGAGTTGTGACCCTTGGGCATGATTTGGGTACTCTTCGTTATGCGAGTTGAGTCGCGAGAGAGTGAGACGTCTGATGGTCTGAATATGTTGGATACTAGAAAGGTCACTGAAGGACGGGATCCAGAGTGACAGCTCTACCGGCCTGCTACGCATCTCCCTCAGCATCTCTCTCTGTATTGCAAATACTTCTGCGTTTCTCTCGCTCTCGCTCTCAGCGGGGCTCAATTCTAGATCCAGAATCTCTAAGTGGTGCAATGCTGAGAGGGCGGGCGCAATGCGGGGCTGCGTTAGCAGCAACGTGTCGACCAAGTATGGGATCCGGAGAGATTTGAGATGGATGGCGTTCTCGAAGAGAGATACAAGCAGGCGTGCTGCGGTGTCGCTTAATTCGACGGCAAAGAAAAAGCAGCCGTCAATGTTATGGAAGCACACTTGAAGCTCGCGGACCCAATGTAGGCGACCAGGAATGTCGTCGAGCATGTATGTGCAAATTCGCACTATTGCGTTGCTCCGCATTGTCACGACAGAAAGAGCATGACGCTTTGCGATGGTATAGATGTCGCGAGACGTGAGAGACATGTTGAGAGCATCGTGCGTTGAGAGGTAGGACACAATGTGCGTCAGGACGTCCTCGTTCAAGCGTGGTGTTCTTCCTACAGAGGATGGTCCGGGTTCCTAGCAATGAACCTTACAGAGAGCTCGATGAATCATAAATCATATGACAGACCTCCAATACGTGAGCAGATAACAACTCTGTCTGTAGAGCTTGATTAATTGGCATTTGCTGAAGGAAAGCAAGAACAGCAGATGTGAACTTATCCGCACGCCGTCAGTTGACACCTCAAGCTTAAGGTTCAACGACGAGACACGAGGCGCGTCGGACGCAGTCACGTACGCGAGCAGACGCGAGAAGTCACGGCGTCGTCACAAGCGACCCATGTATCGGGTGATACACACGTTCAGTCGCCCTTCGTTATGTCCTGGGCGCCCTGTCGCAGTGCTATCTGTTGAAACACGCTGACCCGCGTCGTCAGGAATGAGCTCAAAAGCTTGGGCGCGCGAGTAGCCGGGGGCCGGAGGCCCCTATCGTAGTATAAAACGACCCCGCGCGATGTACGTATCGTACGCGATTGTCCCTTACGGGCATCGCTACGCCCGTGGACAAACGCGCCCCGCGCCGTTCGCACCGTTGTTCCAACACTATCCTTGAGCTTGAGGATGAAGTCTTGCGCGCCTTCGCGTTCCGTGATCTGCCTGTCTCCACCACACGACTGCCCGTCTTGAAGTCATACTTCTCAGGTGCTGCACTTTCTCTGGCTGTGATCGCATATGCTTTCACCACAATCATATTACAGCAGGACCATTCTTGGATAGCTGCGTGCTGCTGCTTGTAATCCTATTATCTGTGTATGTACTTTAGTCAGGTCAGGGAGGATTGGTATTTCATGCTCCAGCCGCCGCGATTTGTCAAACTGATCATATATGGGGCAAAGCATTGACGTAAATTCAAGCGGCTTTGGCCTATCATGTGTTCAACCTGCTAGGCGTTTCTCCAACAATGTCTGGACACTGCGGATGAGATCTTGAGAGGATTGCACCAGGATACGACCTCTCTTCTTCGCTATATAATGATTTTTTGTTTTGCGAAGCTGAGCACGAAGGTCTATCCAACGCCAGTGGCTCACCGTACCAGCAGTATTTGTCAGCGCATCAGCGACCTTCACGCGGTAATCGGGCCTGGAAGATCGAGAATCGAGATCTTGTCTGTGGCGCCTTTTGGACTGGCCCTCGCCTCTGCCGCCATCTTCGCCGAGCCACGCCGATCTCTCCGCTCTTCGCTGTGTCTCCTGGGCAGCCCTTCGCGGTCCCAGATCTGTGTGTGTTGGACACATGAATGCCTGCCTTGAAGCTATGCATTCCAGACGCTGCACATTCTCTGGCTGTGATCGCATACGCTTTTACCGCAATCATATTACAGGCTACAGACGTGTCTTTGCGTGCATCTCTATTCCCAGTCAGGATGGTGCGTCGCAACCAGCGCTCTCTCTCTTGCTTGCTCTCAGGTTCTGCACTCGATCAACCTCAACTTCGACATGAATGCACGCAGTTCGCCGTTCCCAGTCCTGCTTGCTGACACATGCACATGCTTTCCGACACGCTTGCTCCACGGACTTCGCTGGACAACTTGAAGGTGAAGGTGAAGCACCGTATGCTAGGCGTCAGATGTGTAGCGGGCCAATGTCGCAATCAGATGAGTTGACAGGTGACTTGGCAATTATGAGTCCGCCTCCCCAGCCGCCTCAGTAGGTAAGCGCCGGGTCCGCCACAACAGCGTACCTCCTATCGCTTGCCTCCTAAGTCACGAACACGTGTGCATTCATTGTTTTTCTTTGTGGCGCTGTGGACGTTTATAAGTCCGACGAACTCAGGGAGCTGGCCTCACATAAATCTCCTACCCTCCGCTGTCAACCACACTCTCCTCTGGCCCACAATGGATTTTCCTCTCCAAGCGATCTACAGGATAATCAGCTGGAATCTACTGAGTCTGATCTACAGATATCATTACTTCACGAGTTTGATCGACAGGACTTGCGCAAGGGTCCTCGGCCTACCACCTGAGGTAAGTGTATTATATCCTTCGATGCCATTCATCCTCTCACGTCACGTATCCAATGCCGCTCAGTCTGGTTTCCTCAAACTAAACGAAGACATCCTACGAGATATCATATCCTACCTTGCGCCCCTTGACGCCTTCAGACTGTCGAGGGCAACTCGCGTTGTACGAGACATAGCCAGACCCCGAGCTCTCTACTCTGTGACGATGCACAGAACCTCTGATTATGGCCACGACTACCGCAGGGTCACCAAATTCTGCGATTACATGCTCGACGATATTTGCTGTCGCCTGATTCACCTTCATGAGCTCAATCTGCACATCACTTTTGGCGCGGATTCAGACCATTCCGGCGATATCGAGCTCCAAGAGGCCCGGAAGGACGCTACGGGTCGTCTTGTGGTTCTACTCCAGAAAGCATGCAACCTTCAATCTATCCGGCTGGAAGCCTTTTTCACACTGATACGCATGGAACCCAACATAAGACCTGCTATCGTCGCTCTACCCAGCTTGCGCAACCTTGACATTTCTTTGTTCCGCAACACTATGCTGGCTGAGGACGTTTTTGGTCAGCTAGGCAACTTGCGCAAATTGCGGATTGCGAAATAGCGTGACGGTGGGATCCGGTATGATACTACGTACGAGCATGGTCGTAACTGGGTCAGCATGCGCGAGGCCATTTGCGCCATCAGAAATATGCAAATCAACACCCTTGAACTGGAAAACCTCCAAAGAGAGTCTCCTGGCGAGTATCCCGACACCCTTGATTTCTCCTTTCCCTCCGTGCGCGAACTGGTACTCGATAAATGCCACTTCTCGATGGCAATGCTTATCCATGTGTTCCCGAATTTGCGCGTGCTGCGAGTCGCGGAGCCACCGTTGACTCAATACGATGCATTTTGGGTGGACTTTGACGATGCAGACGCTAGCTTTTGGTCCAGCTTGGACCATGTTGAGGGTCCTTCGGAGTTCTTCGAGAAATGGTCGCCCACGTTCCCGATCCACTGCGTCTCACTCACCGATCAGCTCGCTGGCTCCGACGTGATGCCGGTTTCAAATCCTCGAATCGTGCGCGATACAATTTTGCGTCTAGTCCAGCAGACGAACCCTAGGGCACTTGCTTTTCCGGTGCTGGTTGACTCCGAGCCAACGCAGCCGGCCGCATATCACGATCCTCCGACTCCCGGTTCGCCGCGCTATCACAATCTCAAGGCGGACCCAGGGCAAGCCGACCACTTCTGGGCCCCGTTCGTTGCCAGTGCCTCTGGGCTTCGCATCCTCAACCTCACTCTTCGTGTTCCTCCTTCGACGGAGGACTTGATGGCAGTTCTCAAACCATACATGGTGAGTACCCAGTAGCCCTCTCCGTGCATTAACTCACAATCTCGCCAGGCGATACTTCGTAGAGTCTTCAGACGTCTGCCGGGCCTGGAGCTCGTACGGCTGGCAGTCATATATGATACGCACCAGGAGAAGAGCTTTGCAGATTGGCTACCCGTATTAATTGCTCCGGCTCGTGCAGAGTGGCTTCCCGCATCTGTCACTCCGGATCAAGTAGATAGGCTGGCATCGAGACTCCTCAAGACGTCTGTCCGGTGCTTGTCCTTGTCATTTACCGCCTGGAGACACAGGAAAGTCAAAGGAGGAACTCGGGTTATCGTCGGGTGTGCGGCATGGGAGGTATTGCCAAACAGCCAGGGAGTGAACACCCTCGAGCGTATTACAGAGGCCCGTGAAGAGGAGATCTATGGACAGATTATGGCATCCGATCCCGACCTTATTACAGCCCTATGACATTTAATGCGGACTCTTCTGTTTGACTAGATTTTTTTGCACTTGTATGAGTCATTTATACTGCCTGCAATGCGCAGCTCTGGAGCTCCGACTGTAGAGCGACGGATAAATGTGAGCCATACATCTAGCCATGTAATTGTACTGAGTACAAATTCTTTCTCTGCGTTGACGGATTTCTTCCTGCTCCATCCTTCGGCATAAATCAGGATGATTTCGCCATATCTCAGATCCCAACCATAAGTCAACCAGAGACAAATCTAGATCTATGAGATACAATACATCATGCTTATAGCTACACGTATAAGATCAGATATGCATACAATAAACACCGAGGCCCACTACGCCACAAAACACCGCGGGAGCACTCACGCGGCCCGCAACGCGACACCACTCAGCTCCTCTCCACAATCTGGATGATCACCCTCCCGACGCACCGGTCGCCCTGGCGCTCATATATCCCCACGTTCAGCTCGCCCGTGTCCCGCGCCCCCGGCGTGCCCCAGAACTCCACAACGCGCTTCTCCACGCGCGCGCCCGCGCCGCCCGAGACCGCTGTCAGATCCGACTTCACGAACGCGGGCAGCGGCGCGCCCGACAGCAGCCGCGCCTCCAGCGTCTTGCCGCGCCCGCCGGCGAGCGGGCTCCCCGCACTGTAGGACACCGGCACGCGGAACTTGAACTGCTCGCCCGTCCGCGCGAGCATGCGCGGCACGATCGGGATGCGCCCGCTCCCGAAACCCGGGTCCTGCCCGTGGTTGGACGACTCGACGGAGAACGAGCCGGTCGGGGAGTATCCTGCAGTCCACGCGTCAGCCGCAAAGCCATCAACATATGCGAACAGAAAGCGAGAGAACATACCGATGCTAGCCGCGCTCTGCGCGTCGTCCCCTAGAACATGGACGTATTGCGCACTAGTCGCAAGGTCGTCTGCGCTCCTCTCGCCGCCCTCCGCCACAGCAGGCGCGCGTCCCACCCCTGTGACACCCCGGAACACTCTGGCCACCTGGCTTGCGACTCGCTTCGTCTTCGCGCCCTGTGCGGTTCCTGCAACCGGTGCGTCCGGGTCACTCACAGGCACCTTGGGCACAGGCACACGACTCGCGCTGGTGAACGGGACGAGTCGCGGGCGGCCCGCCTCCAGACCCTTCGCGTTTGTGCCGTGGCCGCGGCTATCGCGCTCCGAGCCGAGTGAGATCCCGCTGCGCATGCTCGTCGCGCGTGTGGCCATCTGTACGACCGCCTCTGCCTCATGCGTGCGCATTGATATGTTGCTAGCCAAAGACATCGCCGAACCCACCGAGTCGACCGAACCGCGGGCTGCTTTCTTGTCCGCCGCATGTGCCTGTGGGGGTGTTTTCAGGAAACTCCGCGGCGGCGCGAAGTCCGCACGCCGTCGTGGAATCGAGCGCCCTCCTGTAGACGACGACGGGGAGCCTACAATGCTCGAGATCCCGCTCGGAGCGTACTGGCTGGCATTGCCATCCTCAAACGGCAACGGCGCACGAGCACGGCTGGGAAGGGGCAGGCCGAGCGCATCATTAGTGAACGGGAGCCCGTCGAGCGGCACGCCCGTCATCGCGCTCACACGGTGGTCGCTCGTCATGATGAGCGTCGGCTTTCCAATGACAGGTTTCCGGCGCCGACCGACACTGCGGTGGTACGCGTCGCTGACGTTGCGCGCCTTGTCGCTCACAATGCGTGCCGTTGCACGGATTCTCCCAATGAATTCGCCCTTGCGCATGACGCCAGGACTTTGCGGGCTTTGAGGGCTCTGCAGAGTGTGCGGGCTCCGAGGGCTGAGGAGCGAGCGTGGGTGAGACAGCGTGCGCGTAAGCACGCGATGCAGAGCAACACCGAGGCCTGCCGCACTTGCGTCAGGCATTCTACTCGCGCCAACATGGTGCTCCTTCTCCGATCTTGAGTCGTCGCCAGAAAGGATCTCTTCAGACGCGCGCGGAGGCCCTTCGGTGACTTTGCCGTCGACCTCGATGCCGATGCCGTACCACTTCATTTCGTCCGCAGTCCACGCGCGCGTACCTTCCTCGCCAGACATTGCTGTATCTGGAACCCGTGCGCAGCGACGGAGGAGCGCAAGACCAAAGATGAGACCAATGACACCGCTTATTATGCCGAACGCAATCTTTAAGCCGAGTAGCAGCTTTGCCTTTGCTGCGGCAGAGAGCCCGCCCGTCTTCTGCTTTGAATAGTCTGCGTTAGAGAGGGAAATAGGCAGACTAGCGTGCGAAGTCGAGTGCGTGACGTGCGAGTAAGCGGTGAAGGTGATGGTAATGTGCGTATAGCTTGAGGGGATGTTCGAAGGAGGGGTGCCTGAGAGTTGCGCAGAACCTGGATCAAAGTTGAGGTAGCTGCTCGCGCTCGTCGGGTCGAAGGCTGCGGTCAAGTTCACGTCATCCTGCTGAGAGCCGAGACCTGTACTGTTTGAGAAGTACTGAACCAGGTCGAAGTGCAAGTCAGTGCCAGGCAGAGCTAGAACGGGTTGCAGAGTTGGCGTCGAGAAGTACGAAGGCACAATTGCCAGAGAGACGTTCGTCTCGATCGTCTGGTTTACCGAAGCCGTCAGTGTCACAGGGAGCACAGGGCTGTCAGCTTCGCCATCGGCATCGTCAGGAGCGATGCCGCTCAGGGTCCTCGTGCTCGAGTCATATTTAAGCCAGTTCTTGTAACTGGATGTGTCGATATCAAGAGACAAGATTTGTGAGGGCTGGATAGGCTGTCCATCTAGGAGTACACCAAAGAAGTCATCTGGCGAGGTGAGACTGAAATTGAACGGCGTTGAGGCGGTGATATTGATGGTTGGTAAAGAGGACATCGGCAGAGATAATTCATGAGCAGCCACGACGATGTCAAACGGCACTGAGGCAGCAGAGTAGCCCTCCTGGTCAGACGCATGAAGCGCAACAGATACAGTCATAGGTTCCGACGAGCCCTGCATGGGCGTGACACCATCAAAAGTAATCGCCTTTGTGTTGAACTCGATCCAGGACGGTAGAGGAGCGCCGTCTTCCCGGGTAGCAGCATAGTATAGGTCGCCGTTAGAGGTAAACGTGTCGTAGAGGAACCCAATACTGAACGACCATTTAGGTGGGATCCTGAGCGCGGGCCTAGAGTTGTTCAATGCCGAGTTCTGGGACAAGAGAAACACAGAGGACAGAGACGGATTAGCAGCATAGAATTGATCCGTGACGGGGACGTGCAACTGAGGCGGCGCATAGGGCGTTACACACAAAGTCACGTACGAGTCCGCAGAGTCAGAGGTCTCTGGATCTGTTGCTGTAACCAGGACTCCTGGAGTGCCTTCGTCCGAGGAGGTAGGCGTGCCTGAGAAAGTCAACGTTGCGTTGTTGAACGACAGCCACTCGGGCAATGCAGAGGTCGTGTATTGAAGAGTGTGGTTGTGGGTGGAAACGAATGTATCATAAGAGAAGGACCAGGAGTAGGTTTGATTGACGCGGGCAATGAGAGGCAACTGGTCTTGGAGAGGATACTGGGTATAGACCGAGGACGAGGACGAGGACGAGGCCAAGGCAGGCAGGGCAGAGAGAATGAGGCATAAAAGAGTGTTGAGCATAGTGATGGAGTTTGCGTTGTCGGTGGGCCCGTTGACTAGTCGACCAGCGACCCTAGAGGACAAAATAGGGCGGGCAGAGCAACGAGGACAGACCAAAGGACGACGACAAACACGTCCCACTCGACGTTCAACTCCTGCAGTCACGTGGACAGCGCTTATGTAACTCGTATGGTCGATCCTTATTATATGATGTCATTAACATTGACTCTGTCCTCTTATCTGTTATTTCGTCGTGCGACCATTGGCACACGTATAGAGCAAGCAAACACAAACCTTGTACCTCCTCGTTGCTCTTTCCCTCCGCCTTCCTGCCCTGCGACGTCGCCGGGTTAGTGCGCCTTCGCTCCAGCACAACGCCTTGGACTCCCAGTTTGCATATCCAAGCTGTCCATTGTAAACGCCTCATTACGCCCCACCTATACAACTGTTAGAGATCATAATGAAGCCGCACGACTGAGTTTGCACCTGTCCAACTCCCGCGATCGCACCGAGTAGAGCGATTGGCTGCAGTGCGCTTACATAATCCATTGTTCTTTGCCTTAACCCGAACCGACTCTGCTGCCATCCGGCTGCGAGCACGCCCACCCTACCCTCTGCACAACACAAGGCAGCATGTCAAGCTCGCGGCAGCCTGGCCACCCATCGCGTCGTGTTAACCAATCTGTTTCCTCCACTACTTCCGCCGTTTCCGCCTCTTCCTCCCGCAGCGAGCGATCCACCCGTTCCGCCGCGAACGTACGTCCCTCTTTCTGTCCTGTCACACGCTCATTCTCACCTCCGCGCAGCCTGCAGTCGAGTCGGCCGTCACCCGCTTGCTCGTCTCCATCAAGCAACTTCTCGAGTCCCTGACCAAATGGAGCAGACAGGAGGTGACCGAGAACGACATCAGCGACGTCTATGTTCGACTGGGCAATGACTTCAATGCGGCAGTCGCGGCGTTTGCCCAGTTCAACATTCAGATGACGTGCGTACCTCCTCCCTCTTCACCCGCGTCTCGTCTTACACATGTCCGGCCCGTCAGCGAGCTCATGGGAGTACCTGAGGAACTGCGTGGGATTCTCGAGACGTGTCTGTCTGAAGATGCAACATCCGAGAACCTTGAACTGTATCTGCCTGAAGTGCGCAAAATCATCACCAGCCTGCTCCAGGGCCTGCGCACAAAGCAGTCCGAGTATCGCCAGATAGTCTCTGATCACAAACATCGTTCCTCGGGCACCGATCGCAGCGACCGCGATAGCCGTTCTTCGCGTGCAGACCGCGCATCCCGACGCGAGGTGGATTCAGTGGCGAGATCACAACAGCTGTCCCGTGGCTCGCTCGAACCCTCGGACAGCCTCTCACGGAGAGTAGCAAACAACAAACGGCGGGAGCCTTCCATCAGTCAAGGCCGCCCGCCGACGAATGGTGCTGATTACAGTGACGGCCATCCCAGTAGGTCCTCTACTCCAGTACAGCCCCATGCGCCAGAACCCAATGGAATACCCGTTTCGCGGTCGCGCTCCGCGTCTGTCCTCGACGCGCAGCCAAATGGGCATCACTATCCCGCCGGCGACCGCGAAGCTACACCGCGACACCACTCTGTGCCCGACCCAGAATCCACGCCAGTCCCTGCCTCCCGACCACCTTCGCAGGTGCCGTCACATGTAAAGCGGTATTCGCTTGTCGACCGTCCCGTGTCCTCACCCACGCCTCCGCCCATGGTCGTCGTCGATGAAGTCCCAGCCGAACCCTCCCCGCCATCCTCCACACCCGAAGCGCAGGACTCACCCGCGCGTACTCCTACCTCCGAGAGCCCGCCACACCGCCCGTCCGATGCGGCGCCGACGCTTGAGACGCCTGGCGTGCAGACGTCGCTTGCCGCGCTTCGCAGCCGCGATGCGCTGGAGCGTCGTGCGTCGAAGCGGTTCTCCACGTACAACATCTCGAAGATGACGGGCGGGTCCCTCCGCGAGCGCAATGGCGCAGGCCCGAACGCGAACCGTCGGTCGCTCGCGGTGTCATCCGCGCTCAGCCCAGGAGAGCTTGCTGTGCTCACCGAGGCGGACGAGGAGCCCGCCGCAGCGGCGGCAGCAGGCGCGGGGTCGCCTGCAAAGCGCAATCGGAGCAAGGCGTCGCAGCGGGCGCGCAACCCATCGCCGATCAATGAGGAGGACGAAAGCGCGCCGCCAGTGCCGCCATTGCCGTCTCGCGATCCTTCGCCGATGGGGGTTGCGATAGTCGACGTCCCACCGGCACCTCCGGAGAAAGGCCCGGACCAAGCGGCGACGTCTCGCGCGGCATCGCCCACGGAGGCACGGCCACGGTCGTTCCCCGTCTTCTTGCAGGTGGGGAGGGAGGTCAAGAAGGCGGTGATCGAGCCGGGGCTGTCGGTGTCGAGCCTGCGGGTGCTGTTCGTCGACAAGTTTGCGTATAACCCGGGACAAGAGAACTTTCCGGGGATCTACATCCGGGACCCATCGAGCGGGGTGCAGTATGAGCTCGAGGATATGGACGAGGTCAAGCCAAAGTGCTTGCTGTCCTTGAATATCGAACGTGCGTGCCGCGCTATGTGCTTGCTGTGCTTAAGTTGACCGTTTTACCGTAGCCCTCGACCAGATCAAGCAGCACATCGACCTGCAGATATCCTCTTTGTCGCAAGACATCAAGGATTTGCGCTCTGCCGTGGCAACCAATCGCCGAACATCACTGCAGCCACCACCCCCAATGATCATCGCGCAGCCTCTCGCTGAGAGCTCACCCATGACCGCGCGTCCCACGGATCGTCAGTTCCGTCATGTCGCCCGGCGCCTATCACGTCTGTTACCGGAGGATAGCACGCCGTTTGCGGAGGAGGAGTGGGTACAGCCGCAGATGACGGGCGCGTCTATCCAGCCTCAGATGACGGGAGCGTCTGTCACATCGGAGTACACCACGCGGGTCGTGACCGACCTGAAGACGCAGTTCGACGAGGTGCAGAACCTGCGGCGGGACCTGGGCATCATGCGGCAGCTGTACACGGAGTTCATGAAGCAGACGAAGGAGTCCCTCGGCACGCTGCGCACGCAGACGCAAACGGTGAAGCAGCTCGCGAGCGTCAAGGTCGGCGGCGCGCGCGCATACATCGACGACGGGAAGGCGAAGCTCGACAGCCGCAGCTCGAACGTGCTCACCAAGATGGAGGAGCTGCAGGACTCGGTCGAGAACATCAAGGACGACGTGCTCAAGCGGAACGTGTCGCCGAAAACGCTCGTGCTCAAGGCGGTCAAGGCGGACATGGAGGCCGTCGCGGCGGAGCTGCAGAGCCTGAAGGAGCACATCCAGACTGTCAAGCCGATGTGGAAGAAGACGTGGGAGGAGGAGCTGCAGAACATCGTCGAGGAGCAGCAGTTCCTGCAGCACCAGGAGGAGTTCCTGAGCGACCTCCTGGAGGACCACAAGGCCGTGACGGAGGTGTACAGCCACGTCGAGAAGGTGATCTCGCTGCGCGGGTCGACCGCCGCGCGCTCGGGGCGCAAGCCGGGGTTCAAGCCGCCGCCGATGGACGAGGGGCACACGGGGATGAGCACGGTCATGCTCGAGATCCGCGGGGCGGCGGTCGACCCGGAGCGGCGGCTCAAGGCGATCGCGGCAAACGAGAAGCTGCGGGAGAAAGAGCTGGCGAGCCGCTCGGACGAGTTCCAGTCGGAGCTGACGGGCTTCGTCTCGGGCAAGAAGCTCAAGATGACCGGGGGCGCGGACGAGGTCGAGCGCGTGCGGCAGCGGCGGAACGAGCAGACGCTGAAGGCGATGTTTACGGGCAACGGGTCTACGTCGGGGACCGCGTCGTCGCCGAGTTCTGCACCGAGTTCTATCCCGACATCACCGTCATTCGCATAAGACAGGGTGTGCTGTACGACCCCCGTCGCCATTGTCGACGGGTCCCTCCGTCGTGCACCGCGCACGCAAGACGGGCTGCGCCTAACAAGCGCGCCAGGGGTCATCTCAGGAAGGTCGGTGCGCACGCTTTTCTGTACCCTCGTAGCCGGGGGAAAGGCGTTATCTGTGTCTGAGGTGGTCTTTTGACGATGGACATGCTGCCTTGTATACATTCGCTGTTCGCATTTCGACATTCACTTTCGCATGGATCATTCCCTGATGTGCACATGTTCTGTTAGGCTATTCGATATAATTGTATCTTCTCAATGTATTGCCGCTTTCCACTTGCACCCATACCCATGCACTCAGCGCATGGCAGAGCCGACGGACACAGCTTGATGCATGATGTCTAATTCTGCTGCTTTGCGGTCGAGCAGACAAGTACTCACGATGCCTGGCGCAGATGCCTAATTGAGAAGATATCACCATATGGGTAGGTAATTAATCTAATATCTCCCTGAAGACGATCCCCAGGAAATCTCTGCAAATACACTTGTTGGCGCGGATGATTCCGCACTCGCATTGTTTCTCTTGCGGTCAATGAGTCGCTTGCACCCACCAGGTGGGCCGTCTCGCCACTGAGCTATCTTGTAACCTCCGGTAAGTACTAAGCAACTTATTAGACTCAGACATTCGTTGCTGCTTTCATGACAGCAACCTCCGCACACTCATATGTACCAGGGAAGAACTGTCCTCAAGCGGGCGCATTGCCGTTATATACCTGCGATACAAGATTGAGCACCTTTCTTGTCACCGCCACGTTGTGGACAAGAGCAACTCTCGATGCCTCTCAATCTGACCTTCGATGATGCGGATCAAGATCTTGTGAACCTGTGGGAGCTCACAGACGGCACCTCTCTAGATACCCCCGCTGGTGATGGCGGGTCGCTTAACCGACTCCGACCATTAAGCCATTATGGGTTTCCTACGAATTTCGATGCTTGCATCTGAAAACCGTACATATCCTGCGGGAAGGCATCCACTCCGAGAGCACCTGCGACATAGCCCAAGCGTCCCGCGAGCATCTTGCAAGCACCGGTAAGGCGTCAGTATAGCCAGCGTCAGTTATCAGTATCAAAAAGACCGCGCCCGACTGCGATCGATGAAGACAAATCTCGGGCTCACTAACCAAGGGGCCTGAGCGGTAAAAAAGGCTTGATTGTTGATCACTGCGCAACGCACCTCCCAGGTATATAGGGCGTATACTGGATATATTCGGCATCTGTCGTGTCGGTTCAGGATGCCGCCTGTATTCGTCAACAGCTACTCACTCCCCACACCACAGAATGTCGACCCCTTTGCAATCCTTACTTCGACAGAACCTTATGATATCAACTTCGCGTTCCCGCTGCACCCAGTGTCTCTCAGTTCTCCCCGCATCCACCTCACCCGTTTATACCCTGCCTGCATGCTCGGGACTTCTGGAATGCGATCTCTCCCAGCGTGGAGAGCCATTTCCGTTACTTTGCATTCGTCCCGCACACCCTCATCGAGTTCCTAATTATGCTCGAAGAGTATCGTCAGGATCCCGGCTGGTGTTCGCGGTTATGGACCGCACGCAGTCGCATATAATACCGTCCGAGTCAGAGGATAGAGCCGATGAAATGCACGAGACCCTTGCGGGCATGATTGCGATCGGATATACTTCGACCAAGCATCTCCGAGCAGATATCGGCCTCATCATGGTCCTCCCTGCGTTTCAGCGAACGCACGTCGCACGCACTGCCACTGCACTCCTCCTGCGCTACTGCTTGGAGCTGCCAACGGCATCTCCCCCGGGCCTCGGGCTTCGCCGCATGTCCTGGGTGGCGCACCCGAAGAATGTACCTTCAATCAGGCTTGCACAGCGCTTAGGATTTATGGAGGAAGCGCAGCTGAAGGCGTGGTTCGCGCTGCCAGAAGACGGTGCTGAGGACAAAGGCGGATACGCAGTGAGACGGCGCGACCGGCAAGACCACGAGAAAATTGTGGTGGGATAGGGTAAGGACGCAGTACTGTTGTCGTTATGTTGGAGCAATTGGGAGGACGACTCAAGGGAGCAAGTGGCTCTCATTCTTAATTCCTGAGAACCGGATAACGGCAGATTTAGCGTCTTATAGTCGTTTGTCCAAGGAACTAATTCAATGCACGAGATTATATGCTCTGCCAAAATCTGCTGTACAACTTGTGAGAAGGTCGACATACCAAGGACATAGTCGAAGTGAAGGCCTGGAAACACATCATTATGTTATCTACAGAACCGGTTTACTCACGAAAATTCATGGCATGCCACACTGTCTACATTGCTTGATTCCAACGACATCTGTGATGCTGAGCGAGGAACGGAAGCTATCGCTGGGTAAGAAGCTGAACACAAAATACTATGGTTCCGATTGCGAGAATTCATAAGTAGCGGATGCAAGATAACTACTTACAATTGAAGGCCTGTCCTGTCAGTTGAAAAAGGCTGAGACTGCACAAAGGGCATTATTTGTACTTCCAATTGTGTGGCTCATAGCAGCTATCGATTGCTCCTGACTCGAGCTTGTAGCGTTGCACATGGCGGTCAACGTCTTGATAAATGAATAGTTTACATCGAGTATACGAGTACAGAGGTTACATAAACGGAATAGTCCTCGGCAAAAAGAAATCACAAATCGGTACTGTAGTTGGAATTGGGTGCTATGATGCGTTTGTAGATCTCCTCTTCATGTTCCACCGTGCTAGGCTCAAGTCTGTCCACAACCTGCCTATTGTCTCTTCTCCATGCCGCGCTCCGGACAGGCACCAAACGCTTTGTACCGGCCATGTCTTGCCAGGTTGAAAATGACAAGGACGCTACACGGATAGACTTCCCCCCGAGAAGCGTCGATGCCAGCATATCTTCTTGCTCCGAAGTCATAGGTATGGGCAGCTTCGAAGCAGGGTCCACATGATATACGACGGCCAGCCGTACGAAAACCAGGTCCCGCAGACCACCAAGATCATCAGAGAGTAGCCTCTGACGACATTGTGAGTTGGTGGATGGAGAGGGCTACTGGGTACTCACCATGTATGGCTTGAGGACCGCCATCAAGTCCTTCGTCTTACGAGGAACATAAAGAACGAGCTTCAGGACGCGCAGCCTGGAGGCACTTGCAAAAAAGGACTGCCAGAAGTCTGCTTGCCCTAAGTATGCGTTGCTATTGTCAAAGCGCAGCGAATCAGGAGTAGGAGAGCCGGACGGGGCTGGCGCCGAGTTCACTAGAATCGGGAAAGTAAGCACCTCAGGGCACTTCCGCTTGACTAGACGTAGAGTGTTTTGGCGCACGATTTGGGGGTCTGACATTGGTGACCGACCGGTGCAAGCGAAACGATCCGTGAGCAAGACGCAGCGGATCGGGAACGTAGGCGACCATTTCTCAAAGAACCACGAAGGTCCCTCTGCGTGATCCAAGCTTGTCCAGGAGCCAGCGTCTGCGTCGTCAAGGCTCACCCAATAGTCATCGCGATAAGGCAACTTTAGCCCTGCGACTCGCAGCACTTTTAAGCTAGGGAACGCACTGGCAAGCATTGCCATCGAGACACGACACTTCCGAAAGGTTAGCTCGCGCACTGACGGCAACGAGAAACCAAGGGTGGTGGAATGCCCCCTAGGAGGTTCCCCTTGAATGTCTTCCAGTTCGAGGGTGTCGATTTCCATGTTTCTGATTGAGCCGATGACGTCGTACACGTTAACCTTTTCGTCGGTCCAAAGGGCCTGAATGTGCAATTTATCCAGCTTGTGATGCATAAGCGAGAGGAAACGCCGAGCCAGCGTACCGTCGCTGAGCCAGGAGATGCTGAAGCTGCGCAAGCTGGGTAGAGCAAGGATGGCGGGTGCTATGCGGGGTTCTACGGATAGGAGTGCGCCAAAGGAGCCGAGATGGATGGTATGAAGGTTGACAGCCTTCTCGAGAAGATCAGCAAGACAACTCGCCGCGGTCTTCAGGTCGTTGTGGTCCTGGAATCTGCCGGGACTCGAACCCGCGCCTACGGCGATGTCCACAATGAGTTTAACGACGCAACTCGGGCCACCGTATTTGCCGCCGAGCGCCTGTTGGCATTTGTCGGTGACATTGCCGTAGTCTCTGCCATCATTGGAGAATTTGTATACCTCCACAGAGGAGAGGATTTGGGGTGATTTAGACTGAGCAGCGTTGGACATGTAACGTGAGAGGATGATTAGATTCGAAGGATGTAATACACCTACCCCGAGTGGTTGGGCAGTCATTTCTGCGGGCATCCTTGATGAGAACTGTAGGGAAAGTTTGTTGTGGCTTTGGTTATTGACAGGAGAAGGAAGGAGAGATGCGTTGCTCCAGAAGACGGCGGGTTCGATGCTTGAGGGTAGGAGGGAAAGTGGAGAATATAGCTCACTGCTGAGTTCGTCCGGTTTATAAACCTTCAGAGCCACAAAGAAGAACATCAAAGCACAAGCACGCGTGGTCTTAGCTCAGGGGGAAACGGATAGGAGGCACGCTGATGTGGCGGCCCGAAGCCGTGACGGCGCCTATGTCACGTACTGGCTTGTGGCGGAACCACATCCGTCAAGCCACCTGTCAACTCATCTGATTGCGACATTGGCCCGCTACACATTGGACGTATAGCATACGGCTTTGACAATAAAGCGATGTCAAGATAGGGTGTACTCATACAGACTATAAACGTAGTGCAGGCGTGCGAACACGCACTTGACGGTAACACGCACTTCTGCAAAGCAGCCATATCAGCCATCACACCCCTCTCGTAGTGCGTGTCGCCAAACACCTTATTATCTTCCGCTTTTCAAGCTTGGGGAAGCAGCCCCCTAACCCGCGAGGCGGCCCCAAACCTTCCTCGTCTGTGTGATCCGGGTGGCCAACCTTCACCTCGACGTTGTCCAGCAATGTTCGTGGAGCAAGCGTGTCGGCAAGCACAGTATCGAGGACGGGGAACAGCGAGCGCTCCAGGCTGTAATGGACGCCGACGCTGCGCGCGCTCATGTCGAAGTTGAGGTTGATCGAGTGCAGGACTGGTGAGGTGATGCTCTCCAGTGCGCGCACAACCCAGGCTCCATCGGCCTGTGGGGAAAGAAGCGAAACATTGATGATCAAGCGCTCGAGGCGATCGTGCGCAGCAAGCGAGAGGACGCGGTCTGGTACACAGGTTGGCGTGGTTAAGCAAGCAGGAGCGAGTGGGCCGATTGTGACGCACCATCCTGATGGGGAATAGAGATATTCAAAGCACGCAAGGACACGTCCGCAGCTTGTAATATGATTGCGGTGCTTGTCCGTTCTGCAAGGGCCGCCTGTGGCGTCGGCTCGTCTTCGAAGTCTAGGACATCCCATGCGATGTCAATCGCATCCGCACGTGTCGTGATGTCGACTGCGCGCAAAGCGTATGCGATCACGGCCAATGAAGGTGCCACGCCTGATATATATAGCTTCAAGACGGGCACTTTCGTGGCGGAGGCACGCAGATCAGGGATCGCGAAGGGCTGCAATGTATCATCCTCAAAGACGACATCGCGACAGGACGCCCAGGAGACGCAGCGAAGGGCAGCGAAGATGTTGGCGAAGATGGCGGCAGAGGCGAGGACGACGCGATCGAGGGTGAGGGTTGCGATCGACGCGCCAAACGCGACACTGAGAGGCTTCAGCAGTGGGAGATGTGCCTCGGCCATGCCCCACTGCCCATCGCGCACGCATAATCTCCGCACCCGCCGCCATCTGTCCATGACTGTCCCCGCCAGCATTCCCAAATGACTCAAGGTCAGGGCTTCCGAGAGCACGTCGCCATAGACCGTGACGGTCTCGGGCCCCCACCACCGCGCAGAGACGGTCTGCGTTAAGTCAATGACGTCCCATAGTGTACGGAAGGTCATGTCGAGACGGCCGTACCATAGAACGGTGCGATGGTGCCAGGCGCGGCAAACCAAGGCGCAGTTGCGGAGGGTCTTGATGTCGGTGGAGAGGCAGTCAATGATCATGTCGCAGACCTCAGTGGGGAGCCGTGGCAGCCTTCTTCCGGCGTCCGTAGCCATTGCAAAGAGCAATTGCAAGCTGATCTCGACGAATGGCAGACAGGGCGCTACAGACAAGGTCGAAGAGGTGACTTCGCTCGAGTGCGGTCGAGCTTGCTGCCCGATGTTGGATGGACCCTTGCGTCCAGCTTTGTGTAAAAGCCGTTCTATAGGGAAGAGGAAAGATCAAGCAGAAGCACAACGTACTTTCTCGTCAGTTATATTCGATCGTTGAGCGAGTGACTTTTCGTTTGCTTGTAGAGGATGCTTATGTGTTGGTAGGAAGACACACATCCAACGAGACAATGCAGGCTTGCGCACGGAGTGTTTGCACACGTGCTGTCAGAGTCTGGGGGACGAAATCAACCGATGTATCAGTAAGGCCATGTGCAGGACGAGGACATGAAGTATTCACGTTGAGGCGATGCCAGATAAGGAATGGTTTTATGTAATAGATATCATATATTTGCCACTTAACGAGGGGTTTCGTCACTTCCGTGCTGTGCACTGCGACTGATGCAGAAAACAGTAGCTTTGAGGATCTGAAACAAACTGCTGCTGATGGTCATTGTCGCCTGCTGATCGCAAAATGCGCTGAACAGCCTTGGGACGGCCTTCTATAAGTCGCCAGTTCGGCGCAATTTCACTGACTCGCGAACTAACCACTGACGCAGAGGAAGTCACAAGACATTGACCAAGGTGATTATGATTCTCCTTCAGGCTGGTTTGCTAGAAATTAATGAGTACCCCCGCTAGATATTGACAACAATTTGCACACAACTATGAGCGCCATGGACGTGAATGAACAATCAGAGTCGCCCCTTCAAACCAAGGTATGATCCAGATTTTGTTTGTAAGTAATACTGTGCGCCTTACGACGATGCAGGCTCCATTTCTATCCTTGAATGACGATGTTCTTTCCTTGATCCTCTCCGACCTCTCCACCCACGATGCCCTCCAATTGTCAGCTACGGCTCGCGATGTTCATTTCATCGCGAAGCAACGTGCTCTTCAAGAAGTGAAAATGACAACAAATGCATCCGCAGCACGGATATGCACCTATCTGCTCGGCGACATCCCGAATCGCCTCCATCTGGTCCGCGACCTCACCGTCCGGCTTGATTTCACGACGTACGTCAATCCAGACGGGAAACCCTTCTACAGCGAGAGTGCGATCACCGCCGCACACCTCTTCGCATCTGTCCTTGGAGATGCTATTTATCTCAGATCGCTCCATCTGACCTCTGTCGGCATTCTGCTACAAGTGCAGCCCCGTATTGGCCCGGCGCTCTCGGCTCTCACCAATTTGCGTCTTCTGGACTTGCAGCTCATAGGGTCTACTGACGGATTCACGGTGCTCCGCGAAATTCGCTGTAGGCCAGAGGAGTTGAAACTCAGTGTGGGCACTGCGCGCACCGCAGGCATGCATACTGTGGACGTGAACGAAGTACTATCCTGTCTTCAAGATATGCAGACCATCAAACGCCTTACTTTGTCGCATATCAACGAACAGCGCTTCGACGACAGGCTTGTTCTCAAGTTCAGCGACCCACCGAGCTCGTGGTCGACAGTGCACGATTTGTCTCTGCTCCGGTGCCGCATGCCCATGCGGTTGGCGGTGCTCGCTTTCCCAAACTTGCGCGTGCTCCGGGTCAACCAGCCTATTTCCTGTCCACCTCCAAAACCTGACTCGGAGCAGACGGTCTGCTGGTCGAACTTGGATTTCGTGGAGGGGCCCATCGAGCTCCTGTACGAGTGGCCGTTCACCTGTCCAATCCACCACCTATCACTTCAGTCGGTGCTCGCCATGCCATATCACGGTTCTACGTGGGGGCGGCCTCCGCCGGGTGCTGATCTCGCGGCCACCTTGAACCTAGTGAAGCGGGCATCCCCGCGCGTGCTCGAATTGTCGATCATGGCATACCCGGCGCTGGGCCCTGCGTTCTGGGCAGAGCTGGCTAGACAGGCTCCGGGATTGCGCAGTCTCGCGGTCAAACTGTGCTCTTTCAGTGATGACGAAGAATTCTTGACGCGTACATTCATGGATTTCATGGTGAGTATTCACGGTGGGCATAATGGACTTATGCGCTCATGCCATCTGTAGGAAACGCTGTCAGCTGCTCTCGGCTCAATATCAACCCTAGTTCACGTCCGACTGTGCATTCTGTCTTCTCTTTTGCCAGATGATCCCACGCATGTTCTCCCAGAAAAGCTGACATCGACCTTCATCAAAGCACTTCCGTCCCTCTGCTACGTATCGTTGTCTATGAAGAGGCATCAGGACTTGACAGAGTCTCCTTGGGAGGGCCAGGATTCGTGGAGAATTATAAGCAGTGATAAAGAACGGAAACTCGAAAGTATCGAGTCAAAGTTGGAAGAGCGTATGAGAGAGCGTATAGTCGCGCTGGAGTTCAATCCAGCTGTTGACCTTGATGGTGAGTTCTGCTATGACCCGGCGTGTGCCCTAGCTCATATTCTGTTTCTTCAGAATCACGGATTTGAATGCCTACCTCTTTTTTTGTAAGAGCTTCCCTTACCATTTGATGACGGATTCACGCTTTTTCTCACTGTTCATTCAAGTCTCTTTGTCGGATAAATTATTCACTTCGGCTCTCATTGCATGAATTTGTGCACATGTGCCTCAACATAGATATGAAATCACCTTACCTTGGCTTCCCCTGATTGGTACATAACGGTTGTGATCGGGTCCAGCAGCGTTCAGTCAATCCCGCCGGCTTTGCAGTAGTCTGAGTCAGTGATATGAGTAGAAATTATCTACGAGGCTGCTTTTGTGCGACTCTTCACCCCGCACAACCTCGACATAATACTGTCGTCACTAAAACTGGCGTTGGTCATACCGCCAAGTTTCATGAAGCAAGCCTAGCTCCTGCGCTCTAAGTGAGTTGATTGTTCTCATCAACTCTAGATGATCACGATCGATACGTCCCCGACCAGGCCCGGCGAGACGGAGACGGCTCTCTGGGTAGAGATCCTGGTCGTATCCAGCTAATGATACTTATCAGACAGCGCAGAATGTTGAAGTCCATACCTTGTTCGCAGACGCCGGATGTGGTGGCACGATGTCATTCATGATGCGGTTATGATTGACTTGAGATCAGGAGTCTTGCCGTTAGCGAGTACGACTCGAACTCGGCGGTAACTCGTCGGACGGCGCGATCCCCACGAGCTATCATTGTAGCACTGACCTGATCCCGAATCAGATCTTGTCACTCGCAACTTGGGTAACACCCACCAATCACCAATTATGTTGAACCTGGATGGGCCTACGTCGTAGGTACTCATAAGATGAATCTTCTATAACAGCAGTAAAGCAAGACTCCACACGAATACCACCCTTCTTAGTTAGTCACCGTTTAGCTTTGAGTTCGCGCACCTCGACCACACCGTCCCATACCACCGCATCTACAACAAGAGTGAGTTGCTCGACTTCACGCTGACCAATGTTTGCGCATAGGCGCAACGGCATCTGTGCAAGGCCTATGCCAGCCTCAAGGCGCCTTTGCAGAGTATCACAGAGCTCGTGCAATGCCCCACCGAGGTCGATCTCGCAGAGCTCGAGATGACGAAGCTTAGGGAATAGATACGTGTGAGGCGCATGTGGCTCAGTGCGTATTGCCCCCAAGAGCTCCGTCACGCGTTGGCGCGGCACGTTACACAAGCAGAGAGTCTCTACATTCCGCATAATCTCGAATGGGTGACACGTCATGGTCCCATGCGACGGACTCCGTAGGAGGTGGCCGGAAACGCGCAAGGTCCGTACGTCCGAGAGCTGTAGGACCTCGCAGAGCATGGTGAGGGAAATGCGTGGTTGCTCATATTCAACAGCAAGTGCCAGGTGAAACATATCCTCCACTCCATCCTGGTCCGAGCCTGTGACATGGCCGACGAATAATGACTCGTGCCGCAGATGGACCGTGCGCAGTGGTTTCGTGCCTAGCTGCAGCCAGTCTGCCATGCAAGATATCACACGCCGCTCTGCCTCTTTGTCGAGCCTTGGCCAGTGGACGGCCATGTTCACCGCCATGTGCATACAGCAACTTATATTAAGATGCGTGAAGAGGAGACCGATGGCCCTCGCCCTTCCCACGACCTCAATGTGGCGGAGGTCTGGCAGCGCAATGGAGTTGGCGGGCAGGCCTACGGTGGTGTTCAAGGATAGGCTGCGAATCTTGAAGACCTTGAGACGAGGCAGCCTTGCTCGCGTACTTAGCACCTCCGGGACTGTCGGGTCATTGTGGCAGTGATTAACGGAGAGATTACCCAGGGCACATCGGCGCCCCAGGGGAAGGCAGCAGTCTTTATGTCGAGTGTGCGCAGTTGGCGCATTCCGTTTCCAAGAAACCCTGGGTTTGGGATGATTCCAGCATGGGTGTGTCTGTGCGCCGCGTCTCCCCGTATCGTTAGGGATTCTAGACGGCTGGTATCGGCCGTGTCGAAGAAACCGAGGTAGGTGTCTGCAGAAGCCAGACAGAGGGATCGTACTCTTGTCATGTGTTTCCGCAGAAGAGAAAGGGCCGGCGTGAACCACCTCGTGAACAAGGTCAAGTCAATCGCTATGTCGAGAGGCAGCCCACCGGAACGTGCGATCACAGTCGTTATCCACTCGTCGGAGCGCGCGGCAGGGACGCGCGACCACAATTGCGTATAGCCAATCAGGATAGCTCGCCAACGGGTGCAAACGTGGCACAGCTTAACCCAGGTGTCCCTCGGTAGTGGACTTGGTCCCCAGCTGGGGTGAAGGGGGAGCTGTCCATGTGGGCGTGGAGGAGGAAACATTACACCTATCGTTGGCTCGGATTCGTAAAGAAGAGCAACAACGGTGACGAATATTTCCACCATTATTTCGTCGGGAAGTACTGCGATTCCTGACCTGTCATTTTGCCGAATCTGTACTCCATGAAGACCGTTGTGCTGTGCATTCTGCATTTGTGCAGCAAGGTCCGAGAGGGGTTGACCATTTTCTTGTGAGGTGTCGGGTGTCTTGTGGAGTGTACCCCGCAAGAGCGAGACAGAGCAACTGCACTTCCGATCAGCCCGTCGAATATTAGACCGTCGTATTGAGCACATGCCTTAAATCCTCTGCACTCATCTTGATTTTGTGACTATGGAAAAAGGGGGTCTAACTACAGGACGAGAGGGTCCGTTGCGGGGTGTAAAGGCGACAGAGCGACGGAAGGTGTGCAGGGGGGAGTTATAGAGGCCAGGATGAACCACTGTTACTGAGTGTGACATCGCGGAGTAACGCGCTAGCCATGGCAAGTCTGAGCGGGAAACAAAAGCGTGAGCAACGTGGCTGTTGGAATATCCAGACCGTTATGCTTGTACTCATTGAGGGCCCGATATGTAGCTGGCCACGAGCTTAAACTTCACTGTTGAAACGTTAACCGCAGGGCATGACAGAGAAAAGAGGGCTCCAGCGCTTCATTCCCCGAGATAGAATATACAGATAATGCCCATGCATTTCCCCTTCGCGACGGTTTGAGACGGATATTCAAACAGAGTAAGTTCACGACGTACAGATTGCGCATGACACAGTGATCAGCATCTTTACCCTTTGGTACCCCACTCTACAGCATGAGCCGAGGGAATCTCGTTCAGATCTGAATTACTCTCGAATCAGAAATTCAATTTTATCGACACTTCATGATGCGTAAGCCCGACTTATGAGGAATACATGACAGTGGCGAAGTTTCCAGGAACGTCCCACGACCTACTGGCAAACAAATGAGATCAAGCGCAGGCCTACTTTTTCACGCATACAGTAGGGATGAAACACACCTGCTTTAATGGCCGATGTGGAGACACACTTCTTGCCTTATACATGCTGTATCATGCCACGAGTAGCCTCACCACGAAAACAAACATAGTGGAGTTATGTACGAGCCGCTGATCTCGGACTTTGAAGCTAGCTCGAAAAAGTTATGAAATTTTTGTTGTAGGAATATTTTTAGTCGGCCGCGCAATAGGACATGATGATATAGGCAAGGAAACTCATGCGTCCCCTTGTGAGCTAGTGTTCGAACTTTGAGGTGAAGGCATAAGGGCAGAAGTCTCACCGATCGATCGCCGGTGATCTGCACGCGGCTGGAGACACCATCTCGGTGTCCCCAGCCGCGTGGTTGGCAACCGCCACGAATGACCATCCTTGTTGGAACAACGGTGCGAACGGCGCGGGGGCGCGTTTGTCCACGGGCGTAGCGATGCCCGTCAGGGACAATCGCGTGCGGTACGTACATCGCGCGGGGTCGTTATATACTACGATAGGGGCCTCCGGCCCCCGGCTACTCGCGCGCCCGAGCTTGCGAGCTCGTTCCTGACCGCGCGGGTCAGCGCGTTTCAACAATCCTCCCTTCGCCCAAAGGTCATGCATCATGCATGCATAGCTCAAGTTTTGCGTATCATGGACTAGTGCTGATATGCGACCTAATTGGATGTTGTCATCTTCTCTTGTCGCGCGATGCAGTTTATCGTGGTGACGTTGAACGCCTCGAACTTGTTAAAGTTTCCGGTTCTGCTTCCTCTTTAGTTGGCTTCTCCTAATGCTTATGACATTTCTTGATAGCATTAGCTCGCCAAGTATGCACCTACAAACTACGTGAAATCAAATATGAACATCTCTCTTCTTACAATGCAAAAACAATGACCGCCCGGAGCAAACCATGCTTCTCCGAGATGTCGTATAAGCCTGTGTATTCCATTCAATCTTTCAATCTTGAGCCTCACTTGCTTGGCTGCTGGGCCTCTTGTGCATCTTGATTCTTTGCTTGTGATGCTGTGCAACAGGTCTTGGCTATGCTATTTTTCTACGGCGCAAGATAGGTCTGCTCGAACTTCACACACTTACATCCTCTTAGTAATCGTCACTCGCCCCGACGCGATGCCATTAGCCTGAGGCGCTGACGCCAAGAGGTGTCCATGGGCTCGACGTCCACGAATCAGGAGTACATTCATATTGATCATTGTATCCTAGATTGCGGAATTTGCTACTGGCTTCGGATCCGGGAGTACCTGCGGTTGTGGAGAAGAATCCGAGAATGCTCTCTATGACTTATTTCAATCGTTCTAGCTGATCGGATAAAGCAGGCATTGCCGGTAGATCTGCGCACATTGAGACACAGTGAGTGCTACTAGTAGAGCCGTGACGTTCGTGAATCGTCAGACCTACGCTATGTTGACGCGAATCTTGCGAGATAAATGCGTTCTTCTGGTGCGTACATGTCCATGCTTTCCAAGTATTGTGCGCTCTAGCTACTACATTACGGTCGTGGCTGATATACTGTGGATTGTTGATATGGATGCTCATAGGATGCTGACAATTGTGGCCGGATCCGCTTGTTCTATCTTTTCGAGCAGCTCATACAAAACTGACGATACAGTAGAATGACAATCAACCCTGGCGATTGACATACATGTAGCAGACCTACATGGTACGCTACGAGCAATCAAACAATGCCTTTCTGAGGGCTGGTTCAAAACAGCTATACTAGTCCCTGTCATGTTAACCGAGTGTCGACAGTCAGAGGTGCCAAAATGTCAGGGAGGTAACACAGATTTACCCACGACGCCGTTCTCCGCTGACCAAACGCTGGCCCACTCAATGGTACGCGTATTGAGCTACATCATTTAAAGAACCCAATTACATCAACACCACACCCGTCGGAGGAGCTCATCTCAATGCTTTTTAAATAGTTCCCCTCCTGTCGGTATGTGTCACTTCGGTTTGATAACGGGTTCGAGAGCATTGTATCAGACGATGTAGCCTTGTGGACGATTTCACGCGAAAGTACTTCTTTCTGAAACCCAGACCATAGCATGTTGCAGAAACAATACAAAATCAAACCAATGCACACGGCCTTACTACGCCTACATACCACACCGTGACACGTGTAGCCAGACGCCATCGTATCCTGATTTCCCACATTGTGACACCGGTATCAGAAACTCTAACGATGTCTCCTCCCCTTTGATAATCAGTATGGCAATGTAAAAATGACTCCTAACTCCGGTCTCTAATTAGTCTTTTTTGACTTGCTTGCGAGGCGTATGGAGCTGCCGTAGCTGCCGTAAATTGGACTATGAGATAGACAGTCTTCGCAGTCTAGCGATTTATACGGCAGGAACTGTACCTTTGCAAATGCGACCAGATCTTCGAACGAACACTTGATTTTACAGGCTTTGCTATGTCATCCTCAGCACAACTTGCTGCAACCTGGACTTCAGAATCCTTCTGTGTGTTCGTAGGCGGTCTTATCATGTCTCTCGCGGTCTGGGCTCCCACGGCAATCGACCATGCGTGATCGTAAGTTAAGAGCCATGGTCCGGTTTCTTTCCCTGTGATTGAGGATCAGCAAGCATTACACGAACATCATTAGCTTCATCCGAGCGCATGTATGTGTATGATGCGAGGCAAGGTATGTAGTCACATCACTGAAAGCCTCTTTCCTCGTAACAACGTTTCATTGTCGACAGAGGCATCGCGGACAAGCTTGAAAGCGGCACTCACCGTTGAGATCCACCTCTGGGTCAAAATCGAGTGCATGGATTCGCGCTTTAACGTCCTCTGCAACGTGTCGCGGTATAGGCACCAATGAGCAACGGTCCTCAGAGTACCCGATCTTCCAAGATAATGAGATGCCGGATGTCGAGTAGGTCGACAAGAACGTAACATATCGGAGGGAGGGAATATGTTCAATCAGCGCCGACGCCATTTGATCTGCTTCTAGTACCGTTGGAATGAATGGGTCTGGTATCGTCGGAAAGCGGATGGGGTAGGTGATTTCTCTCATCAACGAGCATCTCACAGATATCCTTATGTGTACCAGACTGTCGATGCTACCAATTATAGCTGACAGTGCTCCCTGCGATCGTTTTAGCTACAAACACACCGCAGTCATCGCAGAGCGTGCCGCGAACTCACCATATATCGAATGAGGCGAGGGATCAAGTCTGTCTCGTCTTGAAAAATGCAGAGCTCAACTTCTAGGCTACGCAGAGAGGGCACAGCCTTCGCAACGTCCGTCCAGAATGCTCGGTTGAAATCGGGCCAAGGCAAGACCGGCAGCGATAACACCTTTGGACGTGTCTCTCGTAGAATCCGAACAATATGTCCCGCGAAATCGCTCTTGAAGCCGTGGTAGATGTCAGAGTCGCAATGGCCCGAGTCCGAATGTACCGATATATGGTGAACAGCACATGGGAGCGACCAGTCCCGCAAGAATAGCACTGGTGCATCTAGGTAATCCAGGCTCGACCATGAGGCACCTTCAGGGTCTCTATATGGTGATGCTACTTGTAGCTTCCGCACATTTGGAAACACACGAGCGGCGAGAGTGATCGGGAGACAAGACCGGCGAATGGTCAGTGTCGATACCGACGGCCAACGAAGGCAGTCGTCCAGGTCATCGCATGACGCCGCGACACCGTCAGGGGACAAAGTGAGGCTTTTGATGGTCTGCATGCCTCGGATGCTGGAGAGTATATTGTTGATGCTCTTCGGATGGTAGTACACAGACAGTCCTACCTCCTCCGGCCTGCTGCGCATCTCCTCCAGCATCCTACAGGTCTCCGCGTCATCCATGAGACACTGTAAGTCCAGATAGCGCAGCTGTGTGATAGCCGAGATGGCGGGGCCAATGCGGGGCTGCTCGTGTAGCAGAATGTCCATGGGGCTTAGTGAGAGCGACCTGAGGTTGATCGCATTCTCGAGGAGAGGTACAAGGATGCGTACAGCAGGCTCGTCGCTATGACGCTCATTCCATACGGACCCCTCGGAGCGAGTCACAATCGGACTGCGCTCAACAGTCGAGGTGGCGAAATCAACGTTGATAGTAAGTTCTCGAACATAATGTAGACGGCCGGGAATGTCGCCAAGCATGTATGTGCAGATTCGTACGATTGCCGCATTGGATCGCGTCGTCACGACAGAGAGAGCATGCCGTTTCGCAATGAGGTGGATGCCGTGTGCTGTGACAGACAAGTTGAGGGCATCGCGGGCGGGGAGATCCGATACGATGTGAGATAAGACGTCTTCATTCAAGCCCAGGAGGCCTCTCTGGTCTGGAGCGGAGGCCTGAGGTGCCTACATAATGAGCGAGTTGTACAGAAACGTAGCGGTGCCGTACGCACCATGATGGCGTGTACAATACGCTAGTGCTGTCCTGTGATTCCTGCAGGAATTCCGGCACTGGAAAGGACCTGCAGAAGAACTTGCCTAGGGGTAAAGTCGTAATAGACGCGACACGGTTGAAGATGCGATGGCATAATACGGAATCCGGGACAACGACGTTGACAGATCGTCATGATCCCGCTGTTAATCACAAGATGCACTTGAAATAGAGTCCAAAATACGCAAAATGTAGACGCGAAAGCGTTTGTCCGGACGGGGAAAAGTCACCGATGCATAAACAACAACTACATAACGGGCTGCATTCATGTAGAGCGACCAGGGGCGACCGTGCCCGTACTAGCATATTACCCTACGGAGTATGTAAATAAGGTCCGTCCACGAATCTCCACGGATTCGTCCGAAGCGCAATTTTACCACGACCACTCATCGTGCTCCTGAGAGCAGAGTAGACAATTCCTCCAACGTGCGCCGGCTTGGGATATCCTTGTCTGACCCCTGAATGCTTCTCAGATAGGTCCGTCGTCAAACATTGAAATCTTCGTTGACGGTGTGCTTATGACTTTGCGTCTGCCTAATCAGTGCTTATCTTGCTTTCTTCAGCGCCATCACAATGAACGAAGCCTCACCGGCAGATTTGTTATCTGCTCACGAATTGAAGGTCTGTCATATGAATGACGACTCGTTAAACTCTCTGTGAGGTTCATTGGAACTTGGTAGGAATCCGAAACATCCTCCGTAGAAATAACACCACGCTTGAACGAGGACGTCCTGACACACATTGTGTCCTACCTCTCAACGCGCGATGCTCTCAACATGTCTCTCACATCTCACGACATCTATCCCATCGCAAAGCGGCACGCTCTTTCTGTCGTGACAATGCAGGGCAACGCGATAACTGTGCGAATTTGCACATACATGCTCGACGACATTCCTGGTCGCCTACACTGGGTTCGCGAGCTTGAAGTTGTGTGCTACGATGTATGCAACACTGTAGCACGCCTGCTTGTACCTCTCTTCAAAAACGCCATCCATCTCAAATCTCTACGGATTCCATACTTGGTCGACATGTTGCTGCTAACGCAGCCCCGCATTGCGCCCGCCCTCTCAGCATTGCACCACTTAAAGATTCTGGATCTAAAAGCAAACTCCGTTGAGAGAGAGAGAAAGGAAGAATTGTTTGCAATACAGAGAGAGATGCTGAGGGAGATGCGTAGCAGGCCGGTAGAGTTGTCACTCTGGATCCCGTCCTTCAGTGACCTCTCTTGCATCCAACATATTCAAACCATCAAACGTCTCACCCTCTCAAGGCTCATCATGGATAACGAAGAGTATATAAACAATGCTGAAGGGCCACAACCCCTATTGTCCTGGCCCACTGTTTCGCGCCTGACTCTGGATTGTTGTCGACTCTCGATGTCCGAGGCAGTCCAAGCTTTCCCCAATGTGCGAGGACTACGCGTGGAATACCCAATGGGTTCAACTTCGATGAGAAGCGTATGTTGGCCACATATGGACTACGTCGAGGGGCCTATGAAGCTCTTCGAGCAATGGACATTCAATTGCCATGTGCACTATCTCATGATGACGCCGATGCTCGAGTTCGAGTCCGCCGACGACGTTACCGTGCTGGATACGGTACGACAGACCTCGCCGAGAATACTAGATTTATCAGCTCCGGCAACGCCCGAGCTGGATACCTTCTGGGCAAAGCTAGCAGATACTGCGCCTCAAGTACGCAGTCTGGAGATCTCGATATGGCCGCTCTGTAGCGAAATGGATCTAGTGTTCAAGACAGCTCAACAATTGGTGAGTCGACTTAATCTGAGGACATCGTCACGAATGTTGACTGTTGGAAAACACCTGGAAGGGCATACGTTTTGGTGTACTGAATGATCTTGGCCACCTAATCCACATCAGACTGTCATATTTCCTCGAGCGGACACATTTAGCTCATGATGGCCATCTCCCAATCACCCCGACGCTGGACAAACTAGAGCAGCAGGTGGTGCACGTGCTCATCGAACATATACATTCCCTCCGATATGTGTCTATTGAAATGATATCTATACACGGATCAATGACACGCCGTGGTGGCTCATGGAGAATTGTGCACTCGGACAAAGAACGGACTGCAGAACGCATTTCCCAGCACGATGCAAAGCAAATAAGGGCTAAAATCCATGCGCGCGATTTCGACCCCGCCTTGTTCACTGAAGGCTAGTCCGATATCCCTTTCATTGAATACGCTATCGCTAATTCTACGCCGTGGTACAGTATAATACACATCATCACGAAGGGTTATCTCGCACGCCCAGAGTCTGACACGGTATCTTTCACATATATAAACTTCTCCCAACGTGATAACGGCAGCCGTATATATTCCTCACTTGCGTACGTATGATCGATGCATGTCGGGACATTTGCTTCTTGAATACGTCTGGTGTACATATCTGAGACTGGTCGAGAGAGCTGACGAGGAGCGAGCGTAGCTTATATAGCTTCAAGTTCATATAGTGGTTCATTATCAAATTCATTCTCGCGCTAGGCCATCGGATTAGGTGCTGCCAACCGCAAATTTGAGGATAATGACTCCAGGAGAGCAGTTCACAACCCTCCTCATCGCCCTCCCATTCGATATGATGGCTGCCTTTCAATGACACTGTCTGTTTTCACAAGATCGCGCAGAACGATCGAAAGCGAGTATGAATTGTTACATCATGAGTCGCTGATCCTGCGTTCCGTACATACATTCAGGACCCTAAAAAGCATGCTCCGAGAAAAAGCCAGATATGATACGAAGGTTTGACCTGCCATCAAATTAGAAACCACAAAGCTCCAGTGGGCAGCTGCGGCGCTTCCCGACTCCAAATCAGTATACCATAGGTAAGTCGTCGAAACGGGAGTTAGGAGATAAGCAATGGTAGCGCCAGCTTGTTCATCCCCCGCCGACTCAGCAGAATGCACAATGCTCATGGTGGAAGCCACCGCCACCAATAGTCATCGCGCGGGTCGAGTAACCCGTTTCTATAAGCATGAATGGCTTGCTGTCGTTGAGAATGGTAATACGCGGCCTCAAGCTGCCCGTAGGGCGCAGCATCGTCTGTTGAGACACACGAGTAAGTGACATGCGCAATGTGGGTCGGGTTCCGAAAAGCATGACACTTACTTGGACTCTGTCCTGTGAAGAGATACCGCTGGGTGTCATCGCTCGAGAGAAAAGTATCGGAAGTCATCGCTGCCATTCTGAACTCGTCATCTGATTGAGGCTCCTCGGGCATCAGTAAACGTCGTGCAGTGACAACTACTGCGGACTGAGGATTCCACATCCTCGCGGACGGTGACGGGGGACGGATACCTGTATGCTGAATGTTGTGCGGAATGGCGGGTGGAGGAAAACCTGTCAAGATTGGGGACGTGTGGGGCACAATGTGCTGAGTGGCCGCATGCTCCGGAGGGAGCCGGGGCATAGGCGGTGGCGATCCCGGTCGATCAGCAAACGGGACGGCGCGCGCACTGCTATGTTCCGCCTCTGCACCGTCGTCGACGTCGGAATTGTGCAGCCCTGTATGTTCCAGCTCGTATACAGACGGGGAAATGCACAGCGGACCACTGCTTCGCGGTGACGACGGCCCAGGCGCTGGATTTTGACGCACTGCACTGCCACCGGTCTCCCGGCGATCTAAGAGAGGAGGTTCTTGGCGAAGCGTGAGATGCGCTTCGAGAGCTTGCCCGTATCCGCATTGAGCCTGCCGAGATTCGGCGATGCCAGTGTCTCTCCTAAGTTCTCCGGATCGGAATATATGGGTGTCTTGTGTAGATGGGTTATCATCTCCCTAATATCCAAAAATAGGGAGCTCAGAAATGTGGGCTGCATCCATGTGTACAGAAGGACTGACTGGGCTTGTAGGCCATTCGCTTAAAGCATCATCAAGGGCCGCAGAGCGGTAACTTGTGGAGGCCGGCGGCAGCAGTGCAGTTATTCCGGGTCTTGCTTCCAGATGTTGTTCACCGTACGCGCGCAAGCTGCTTGTACTGGCTTCCCGTAGGTCGTCGTTGGCCACATGTCGACCGTCTCTAGGAGGGCCTAATGGCCCGATGCCCCCCGTCGATGGCGTCACTCGTCTGTGTGTCTTACGCGTCGTCGTGTCTGAGGTCGAATGTCGTCGTCGTCGTCGAGTGGGCGAGGGAGTATCGCTATTCGGCGACGTCTGCTGGCTGCCTGATTGCGGAGTACCAAAGAGGCGTGCACCACGATGCAGAAACTATGCAAATGGCTGAATTCAGTCCGCTGTACTTCGTGAGACATACAGGACGCTCACCCCCGACTGATCCTCTATCCGCCTCAGCTTCGAGGGGAGACGTCCATGGCCTCTGTCCTGGTCATCATCATGCTTACGCGGATTAGGGTATTCAGGTTGCATGACAATGAAAAAAGCACGCGAGTGGCGTGTATAGTGGCAGAGGAGATGTAGATCATAGAGCGGTGATTAAGACGTCGTGTAAATACGGAGCCGGGGCATATATAAGAGCGATTTTGGCTGGCACAGCCCCTGCACATTGAGCGTCGCCAATGCGGTCGCGTGAAGACATCTCTATATGTTCAGATGAAGTAATGGATCGGTCTTGTCGATCGCATGCAACAAATCTGCATATCATACACGACTGTTGGCCTGCTAGCATGACACTGTGGAAATAGCACGCTAGACTAACTGATAAACGCTGAAGAGGGGACGAGTGTATGAGATTTGGACGATCGATGGCGCTTTCGCGGGACCTTAATAGACAGATACAGCATCAATGCTGCCGCCTCAGATGATTTACTCCAAGAGATTGTATTGACACAGCATAAGTAAAACGTCGGGTGCCTAGAGGCGCTGTAACGATCACTTGCCTTCGGTAGCACTGGTCTTACTGCGTCTAGGCACCCCGACGAGGTCAAAATTGCATGACGGGGCGGTGTGAGCGGTGTGGTACACACAGGGAAACGTACCTTAGAACCGTATCGGGCGGTTCATCAACAAGTGCGCGGGCGATGCGACCATTGCGGGAATGGTAGCACGCAGACAGTCGGTAAACCCATGCGTAACGGGCTCTATGCCCACAGCTACCTTATGTAGTCACCACAGTGCATTGACATGTGCCATCGGTTGTGCGCGGCCGGGTCGTGTGTGTGAAGGGAGGAGACACTGGCGGGCCTTGGCAACCAACTGTTCGAATATAGCATAAAATGCGTTTCGCACGGTTGCAAATTGGAGTCTTGAGAGCCATAAATCTATATTAGAAAGCCATATGAAGCCGAGCTAGAGTCAAGCACAGTGAAGCACAGTGGCGAGAAGCCAGAAGATTTGAAAGCTCAATGTTCAAGACCAGTGTGAAGGCAGGACGAAAGCGGTGGCCGTCGTTATAGCGGCGCGGTGCAACGCCGACGCGCTTGTGGCGTGCACTGATCAGTACGTCACGTGATGGCGCTTGATGGGTCGACACTTCTGAGCTTAAATAGCTGATTGACACCGTAAGTTGTCCACCTTGCTGCCCGCCAACATTAGACGGTGGCATAGGTGGCATAAAGACGAGAAACTGCTGAGCCCGGGACATCGTTCACGAGCCTCTCACTCGGTTTCCTTAGAACTACAATGGGTATTTTGGTTATGAATGGGAGCCAGATAGCTAGTGTAGATAAAATAGCGACGAAACCCGATATCCGAAACTACATGAAGAGGTCAAGCTGCTGGTACGGCCGGTGGAGGTAAAGAGGGATAGTAAAGATCGTCTGTCGAGTCTAGATCAAGGATGCACTTCCACTCTGCTGTTGCGGTTGTGAAGAGTTCTGCCCGATCCCGCCCCCAAGACTGAACGGTCCCGAGCCAAATGACGGGGCTCCTTGGTTCGGGTTGTTTGTCGAAAAGGGCGAGTTTCCCAGACCAGGCATGGATGATGAGTTAGGGAGTCCGCCGCTGCCGCTACCAAATCCGCCCCCTGCCATTGATGGCGCAGTGGTGGAGAACATTGTTGCCCGGAACGGATTCGCCGCACCTGCCGCACCTGTCATCTGTGGGCGCAGGCCGCTTCCAACGGTGTTACCACCAAAGCCACTCAACGCTCCTGTCGGTTGACTTGAGAAGGCGCCAGTAGGTTGTGAGCCGAACGCGTTTGTCGTCTGTGCACCCGACGACTGGGGGTTGGATGCTGTAGGCTGGCTAGCAAACCCACCAAAGCCCGTCGGCTGCGTGCCTAGCCCGCTTCCGATCCCTGTCGACCCCGGTCCAAACGGACCGCCAGACATTGAGTTCTGCCCATACGCAGAGCCATTCTGTGTCGATGAAGGAAAGCTTGGTTGCGGCGACTCGCTCGGCGTCGTTGGAGCCGATGGGATGGGAGGTAGGGACTCGAAGAGCGCCGCGCCAAAAGAGGACGACGGCTTGAATGGTTTGAGGCCGCTAAAGCCTGTCTTCTGCGGTTGTAGTGGTGCTGCTGGCGACACCGAGATGGACGGGTTTGACGGGTTGAACGAGCCCAGCGAGGTAGTGGTCGCTCCAGTCGGCTGGCTAGCCAGCGACGAGAAGAGCGTGTCTGAAAACATTGAACTCGTGCCGGTCGCCGACGGCGCCTGTGGGCCTGCCCCCGCGGGACTGCCGTGGCCGGACTTGTTGAACGAGAACTCGGATGCGACGCTCGCCATGACTGACCCCGTCTGTTGCGGCGCGACATGCGGCCCAAAGCCATTCATACCAAGGCCCGAGTTCACTGGCGACGACGGCTGCTGGAAGCCATTCTGCTGGAAAGTTTGGTTCTGCCCGCCGCCCATTGCGAGCTCAAACATTGTAGGTGGTTTTGGCACCGGCGGGGGCGCAGTGACGGGCGTACCGAACGGATTGCGCGAGCCCGTCTGGTGCGTCTTCACAGGCTCCGCCCTCGGCGGGCCCGAAGACGACGCCGAGGGCGAGGAGAGGGCGGTGAGCGGGGCCGACCCTGGGCGTGCGGGACCTATGTTCGCGGTATTGTTCAATGCGGACTGCGCGAACGGCTGTGCGATTTGGGACGAGCCCGCCATCACGCTGAACGCGTTGAAGTTCGGCGCGTTCGAATCGCCCGGGAAGCCCTGCGGCTGACCATTGTTTTGCACAGGGAACGGATTGGTACTTGCGGGCTGGTGCTGGGGCGCGCCGGTGGGCATCCCGAAGGGCGACATGCCCGTCATCTGCGGGAGCATCGTGCTCTGGCGGAACGGGTTTGCACCCGTAGCTTGAGGCTGCAAGAAGGCAGTGTGCTGTGGTTGGAGGAAAGGAGCGGGCTGCTGTTGTATTTGCTGATGTTGTTGCTGCTGGAGCATACCAAAAGGATTCGTGGATGTGTACTGAGGGACAAGGAAGCCCGTCGGCTGCGACTGCACTTGAGGGGCGACTTGCATCTGTGGTTGGGCGAATGGCTGGGAGGCATCGAACGGCGCGCCGGTCATCATGGGCATTTGCATCTGATGCATTTGCTGGGCAAATGGATTATGCACCGCATGCTGTTGAAAATACGCGGTGGATGGGCTGCCAGACATGTCAATAAAATGACTTGGTTCAAAGCCATGACCACAGTACCTTCCTGTCTGAGGGTTGAACATGGTCTGTTGCTCCTCCTCTATAGCTGAGAAAAAGTCAATGAGGGCCTGGTTCGTAGGTGGCTTAGACTGGTCCGCTGGTTTGTCTGTTGTTACACCTGACTCCGGTGCTATCGGCGCAAATAACATAAGCTACCTAGCTCACCGAGATACGAATGTATCCCACCTTTCTCTACAGTCTGAGCTTGAGGAGGAGGAGCACTGATTCCCAACCTCTCTGCTCGCTCCGCGGCCTCCTTATTTGTCCTGTACTCGATTCGGTTCTGCTCGAAATTCGGATCCTTCAAGTACTCCTCGAGAGCACCTGCGAGGGAGACAGGTGCCTGCAAGCGCATATAAGCTCGTGGGCCAGGTGCATCAAGAACATAGACTCACATGGCGGAGATTCGGGATAGGAACGTTCAGGATATTCTGAAGCTTTTTGGCAACACCCAAATACTCAACCACCCGCTCTGTCTCCTTGCAGAAGTGTCGGTAGAGGTTGAGGGCTTCTTCTGCATCACTCCGGAACATCTCAAAGTAGTGTTCTGTACTTCCATCATTGACCAACACGAGACAGAAGCTACGCCTGAAACGAACCTAACACATTGATCACACCTTCGTTGCATGCCTGAAACAGAATAAGCAGGTCCTTCGTTAGCATGCGGAGCGCCGTGATATTCAGCTCATTGTCCAGGTCGTCGAGGTAGAACTAGATGAGTGTCAAGCTCCGAGAACGAATACGGCATGCTTGGACGCACCCGACACTCGACAAGCGCGTCAATCATCTTCTGTACGACCCTTGTCTCACGTAGCAGGCCCTTCTCCACCGTCATGATACGTAGCTTCCTGCCGGCTAACGTCTTGCTCCGTTGCACCCCTGAGGACGCTGGGGGGTCCTTAGGGCGTGAGGACGCTGGTGGCTCCTTAGGGCGTGAGCGTCGTGAGCCGCCTTCCCTTCGATCCCGATCCTCTTCTAGCGCCTGCGACAAGCGCATATCCCGGTTGTTCTCGGACTGCACGCGGACTGCGTCGTGCTTGAGGTCGCGGAAGGCACGGATACGGGTATCCAAGTAGGTAGAATAGTGTTGGATGTTTTGCGGGGCGGCGTAGCCTGTGTGCGTTGAGTGACGCCTGACCGAGGCCGAGCCTGGAGCTAGGCGCACCTTCCCAATTCCCCGTCGAGACATTCTTGAGCCTCAGTACGTCCGACTGTGATAGATAGGAAAGAACGTTGTCGGTCGAACCGTTGCGAATCATCGAGTGCAATACGATGAGCGCCTTGAAGACAATCTGTGTGGCCGGTTGCGTGAGCAATCAATTGTACAACAGCGACGACGACCTCGCAGTCTCAGAACACAGCACGCACTAGGACATTTGGCTCCTTGAATCGGGGAGCCAGCGCCCTGCAGACATCGTGGACCGCTCCATCCTCTGACCAAGTCGCAGCGAGAATCGGGTCGAGGTACTAGGGGTGAAGTTCAACGCCAGCACATGTATACGGGGCAGCGTACGCACCTTGGCTTTGGGCGGGTTGGGCTTGGGCTTGCAAGCACCCTTCATCGCCTTCTCAAAGCTGGTCATGGCGGGCGAGGAAGAGAAGGAAGACGGCCGCGGGATAGCCGACGACCGACGAGGCGGGGTAAGGTGAACGGAGTGTTTCCAAATTAGGGAAACGGCATGTACCTGCGAGGGATGGCCATCATACGCTCTCTCACACCACGACGTCGACGCTGTCGTTCTCGCTGTAGCCGTCGTTTTCCTGGTCGTGGACGACGTCTAGCACGAGTTCAGAAGCAAGAATAGACGACTGCGCAAATCAAGCTCCCAGCGCACGCGACATTGTCAACTGCGCTCGATGACCGCCGAGGAATTTCAATAATCTCAGCTTGTTCGGATACACACCCGCCCACACTCTATCCTCACAACCCATCGCTCTGGGCTGGACTTCTGACGATGCTCCGCTACTTGCCAGACTCATTCAAGATCAGGCGATTTACCACCCGCCAGCTCGTCGCAGTTGCCATCGCCCTCCTCGTCGTTCTCGCGCTCTACTATAATGCGCTCCCACACTACTCAGACGGCAGACGCTGGACACCCCCTCCCGTTGCCGCTAGTCGCACCCCTCCCGCAGAATGGCAGCGTCGCGCCGACCAAGTGAAGCAAGCCTTCCTCCATGCATACCACGGGTACGAGACCCATGCAATGCCGCACGACGAGATACGGCCGCTCTCGAATCAATTTAAAGACAAGTGCGTTGCATGCAGCTTTCGCTCGTATACCGTGCAGAGATATCCGGCTGTTACTTACTCGCTGTGTCAATCTACGTCGTAGTTTCAATGGCTGGGGTGTTACTCTCTTTGACTCACTAGACACCATGATCCTAATGGACCTCAACGACGAGTTCCGACGTGCACTGCCCGTAGTCGAGAAGGCGGATTTTATGCCTAGCCCGGTACGTCACTCATGTGCAATTCTGCCGCCAGACTTGAGATACGCTTTGTTGTGGTGGATTCTATGAGATTACAGGCCTCCGTAGTCCGTGTATGATCGGCTTTCTCGGCATGCCACCGTCACCAAACTTTCTTTCCTGTTGTTTGGGAGGGTGTATTCTTCGATTTCAACTGTTCATCTCAGATGATTGCATAGGCTCGGCGCGGGTATTGCATTACTCAATGGGGCGCAGTTTCCGCTGCCCGTCCTTATTACCCAGTTCTGCTTTCATCAGCCGAACAGTAGTTGGCACATAAAGCATGATGCTAGTAAATCAGCCAGAATCCCAGGACAGGATCTCAATGCTACATCGTAGAATCCATCGCAGAGACATTATTAGAGGTCTCATACATGACAATGCTGAGACGACACATAGAATGTCACCAACAAACATGTTGGATACGCACCTTTCTTTGAGACGGTCATTCGCTACCTCGCAGGGCTCCTCTCAGCGTACGCCCTTTCGCACGAGCCTATCTTGCTCCAACAAGCCGAGAAGCTGGGCAGTATGCTTTCGCCCGCCTTTGATACGCCAAGTGGGTTTCCGCTGTTTGGTGTAAACATTGCCCAGTATGTACTCTCTGTTAAGCCGATGTGGCTGTGAACACGCGTTTCTGAGCTCTCTTTTTCGCATCCAATTCAGGGCCCAAGGCATTGGGTCAACCACCGGCATTCTCGCCGAAATTGCCAGCTGCCAGCTAGAGTATACCTATCTTGCTCTTCTAACTGGCAATAAGACATATTGGGACAAGGTAAGAGAAAAGGCACGCGGCGGTACTCCAGTTACTGAGTCCTGTTGCATTGCGAAAGGCAGACGGTGTCATGCAAGGCCTCGCTCAGGCAGATCTCACTGCGCTCGGCGGGATGATGCCCCGCCGTTGGAACGTTGAGACCTCAGAACCAACAGATCGTGAGTTTGTCCCCTCGATGTAGGGGGGCCAATTTGACTCAAATTTCGTAGAATTCCTGTCCGTTGGTGCTGCGACCGACAGTGCTCACGAATACCTTCTTAAGCAATATCTCATGACCGCGAAATCTGACCGAACAAGTTACCAGATGTGTCAGTCTGGAATACACAGTAACCGCACCTCAGACTGACTTACTGGTACAACAGATCTCCGCGCTACTAACCACATTCTGACGCACCTGCTGTATCTGTCGGACAAGCGCGGCCTCCTGTATGTCACCGACGTCTCCCGCCCAGGCGGCGGCCCTAGTCACCGATTTGAGCACCTATCGTGCTTCTTCCCCGGCCTGCTCGCGCTCGGCGCAGACCAACTCGACCTGTCGCTCGACGACCTGGACCTCTCCACCCTCGGGTCGGAAGGCCTGCGCTCGTACGAGATTCTGAAGCACTACGACCTGCGCGCGCTGCACAAGTGGGCGGCCGAGGGGCTCGCGACGTCCTGCTACCTCTTGTACGCGGACCAGCCGTCCGGGCTCGCCCCGGACGAGGTGAGGATGCGGCCCGAGTCGGAGGACCCGCGCTCGCACCGCGCCGGCATGAAGCCCCCGCCGTCGGCCGGGAACCTGTGGATCGCGGCGCTGGAGCGGTGGCGGGAGGGCGGCCAGCGCGGGTCCCCACCTGGGCTGGGCGAGAAGCCGACGGTGCGGTTCACGGAGGAGGAGCTGAAGAGTGTGAAGCTGCGGGCGATTAAGGCCGAGCGGCGGGACTATTACTTGCAGCGGACGGACTACCTGCTGCGGCCGGAGGCATGTGTTTATGCTGTGTAAGGCAGGAGCAGACGCTCACCGTGGTCCTTTGCAGACTGTGGAGTCGCTATACCTGCTGTGGCGGACGACAGGAGACCCCATCTGGAGGGAGCGGGGGTGGGCGATCTTCGAGGCAATTGAGCGCGAGACGAAGACGCCGTCAGCGTACGCGTCCATCAAGGACGTCCTGAAGTCCCCAGCCCCTCAGCTAGATGACATGCCTAGGTAAGTTGGTCATGCGTTCAGGTCGTACGTTGGCCCTTATTCTCGTCGTTGTGCACAGCTTCTTCTTAGCCGAAACGTATGTACAGCACTTCCCGCAGCTGATGCATGTGATTTGGGACGGGATGCTGACCGAAGACTAGGCTCAAATACTTGTACCTGACGTTCCTGGACGAAGATCCGCTGCCATTGGACCGATGGGTGTTCAATACTGAGGCGCATCCATTCCCTGTCTTCACGTGGTCTTCGTGGGAGAAGGAGAAGTTTGGCATCGGGAAGCTGCCATCGTAGAATGCCGCCGGATGTGGTGCGCAATGTACGTGCTTCGTTTCTGCTTCTGGAAGCCGGGAAGGCTGCCTTCGGTGCCGGTAGATAGGCGTGTAGGGTTTAGAGCTCGGCTACACGGATACCTGCGCTGAGACATGTCGACCGGGTCGTGTGACGGACGCTCTGCGTAGATAAGTGCATTCGGTCAGACTTGCTGACGTCGACACGGGTGTCGGCAGTGTAGCATCCGTATGAAGCCCCGCCCAATAGCAAGGAGCCCCTATAATGACATTGTGTTTTGCTGTCGTGCGCACCCCATGTTGTGTCACGCATCTGTTATATGCAACCGCCTGACCAACGCCTGTGTAGGGGCTGTGAGTCGTGAAAGCTTTAGCTGAGGAACGAGATCCAGACCTCAGCGAGCGCGAAGACGGAGGGACAGGGGAGGTCACTGGTCCTGCTTAATGGTGGCCGGTCCTGCTGTGCCTGCCCCGCACTTGGCGCTTGGCGCGGCTGTGATCGTGATCGGTAGGAATCAGCTGACGCCCCGGACACCCCGGACCGCGCGCCCCTCAGGCCAATGCGGGTGTTGGCTAGCGTCATAAGAGGACTTGATGTTTCTACGCCATGTCTTCAGGCATTCGACCCGCTTCTTCTATCCCCGCTACCGCCACTACTCAGCCATGTCTGCGCTCAAGCAAGGGGAATTCGTCGGTTCTCTCGACTGTGGTACCACGTAAGTCGCCCCCCATTTGGCGGCTGCGAGCACACCTTACGTGTCTTGTGTTTTCCAGGTCATCGCGATTCCTCATCTTCGACAAATACGCAGACATAGTGGCGGAGTACCAGACTGAGTACCCGCAGTACTACCCCGAGCCAGGGTCAGTCCGCCTGGCGTATTTTGCTCCTGCCCGCCCTTACGTGCACAGGACGCGTCGGCGCGCTTGCTGACCCCTGTGCGCAGCTGGCATGAGCAGGACGCAGACGAGATCATGGCGAGCTGCGACGTCTGTATCACAGAAGCTTGCAAGGCGCTCGAAGCGGCTGGCTGGTCGAAAGATAGCGTCAAGGTCATCGGTGCGTCCTTCCCGCAGAACGCCGTCACGTGGTCCTGATCCATCGACGACGCGTCGCGCAGGAATCACCAATCAGCGCGAGACGGCGGTAGCGTGGAGCCGGAAGACTGGCAAACCGCTGTGTCGCGCGATCGTGTGGGACGATGGAAGGACGAAGAACACCGTGGCCCACTTCGAGCGTAAGCTCGACTATGTGGGTCTGGAAGTCCAGCCTGGCGTGTTCAGGAAGGCCAAGAACGGCGAGGCCGCCCTCAAAGAATTGTACGTGCCGTTGGCGAGCATTCAAACCATCTGGCTGATAGTAGAGTAAGGACCGGCCTGCAGCTATCCACATACTTCTCCGCGATCAAGCTACGATGGATGATAGAACATCACCAGCAAGTCAAGAAGGCACACGAGGAGGATGATCTCCTTTTCGGTACGGTAGAATCCTGGATTGTCTATGTACGCGACCACAGCCCTCCGAACGATGCGCGCTGACCTCCCATCTCAGCGCCTGACCGGTGGTGTACACGGCGGGCTGCACATCACCGAAGTCACGAACGCGTCGCGCACGCTCTTAATGAACTTGCGCACGCTGGAGTGGGACCCCGTTATGTTGAACTTCTTGGAGATCAGGCCCTCCGTCCTCCCGAAGATAGCGTCTTCCTCAGAGGTCTACGGCGAGGTGTCGTACGGCGCCCTGCAGGGCGTCAAGATCGGAGGTCTCGTTGGAGACCAGCAGGGAGCGCTCATCGGCAATAAATGTCTGAAGCAGGGTGAGGCCAAGTGTACATATGGCACTGGCGCGTTCCTGCTTTTCTGCACTGGTGCGGACATCGTCTCGAGCGCGCATGGGTTGTTGAGTACGGTGAGTCCCTGCGATAGCTATTGGAACAAAATCTCACGTCACTCTGCAGGTCGCGTATAAAGACGGTCAGACCGGGAAGCCTGTCTATGCTCTTGAAGGAAGTAGTGAGTGACCTGCCGACTCCATTGATTCGGCCCCTGCTAATTCACATATATAGTCGCGGTTGCAGGGAGTGCTATCAAGTGGTCAGTGATGTTTGTTCTCCTGTAGCACCTTTCCGCTGACCTTAGTTTCTTCAGGCTTCGTGACTCGCTGGGCTTGATTAAATCCGCTCCCGAGATTAACACACTTGCCGCCTCCGTCCCCCGCACGGGAGGTGTCTACTTCGTACCCGCGTTCTCGGGTCTCCTCGCCCCGTACTGGGACCCTGGTGCGGCAGGAATGCTCATCGGTGCGTCCGGTTGCTGCATGTGCCCTTTGCCCGACACAGCTAACCCCGTCTGCTCTGCCACACAGGTCTGTCAGCATACACGACCTCCGCCCACATCTGCCGTGCGACGCTCGAGGCGAACGCCTTCCAGACGCGCGAGATCCTCGAGAGCATGAAGCTCGACTCGAAGACGGACCTCAAGCACCTCATGGTCGACGGCGGCATGACGAACGGCGACATGGCGATGGAGGTCCTCGCCGACATCGGCGGGTTCACCGTCGTGCGGCCCGAGATGCGAGAGTGCGTGCCGCGCTTCGTTGCCCGAATGTATGCGCTGATGACACATGTCCGCGCAGATCGACCGCGCTGGGGTCCGCGCTCCTGGCGGGCTCCGCGGTGCGGCTGTTCGGCTGGGACATCAGCAAGCCCGAGACGCTCGCAGAGGTGAACACGAAGGGCACGCGCGAGTTCAAGCCGGGCATGCCCGAGGCGACGCGTGAAAAGAAGTGGCGAGGGTGGAAGCGGGCGGTGGAGCGGTCTCTGGCCTGGGACGAGGGCGTCGACGAATGATCGTCTTGCTTGTTTTGGGGGGAATTGACGATGTATGTTATTAAGTTACAGAACAATGTGTACAATAGGTAGTGTGCAGTACTAGTATGATACGCGAGGAATAGTGAGATACCATGGACGCGGGGGCCAGTAGGATGCCGCTAACTAACGTTGTGTGTCCTGGGACCTGCATAATCCTGAACATATCTCACACTAGCGAGCGAAGCCGGCGACGGGCCTGTCGTGGCTGATTTGGCTAGCCGCATCCGACAGCGTAAAATTGTACTTGGGGGCCTCGCCGGATGTCGGGAGTTCCAGGGTTCCGCACTTTACAATACAGATCAGAGCAAGAAACGCGTATCGACTCCCCTCAGTACTAGTACGGCGTACTCGGGATACGAACACGAGTTGAGGGCGTCCGAGCACCGTGGATGTAGAAGTACTTAAGACGCACCAGTGCGACGTTCAGACAAAGTCGGGAGGGGATGTCGCTGCGCAGGAGCTAAATATGGAAGGCAGCATACGAGACGATCGGCGGGTGTACAGTAGAAGGAGCGGCGGGATGCACGCCGAGCGACAGGCAGTACTGTGCGTCCTAATCCTTGAGTGGCCTTCCAAGTCCCCGAAGCCCCGTCGGGTTGTCTATTCCCCAGCTTGTCCTCATGCTCCCGAACACTCGCCACAGAATCGCCTCAGCTCAAACAAGTCCCTCTGATTTTTGAGAAAACGACGACTGCCGCACGCCTCCTTGTATTCTCCCTCGGAAATGCCATCTCCAGTCGCTCTCGTTGACCCCTGCTGGTGTTTTGCTACTGGAGCAACCTCGTACTGGACCTGCGCTTTCAGCACTCAGCCGACCACACTACAGCATCTCATGGGAAGCGCGGAGGCCCGCAAAGTGCGCAGTAGGCCGAGGAAGTGCAATTGTGGGTGGAGTCTGACTTCCAGAGCTTGAGTGATGTCTTTTGGGGTGTGCAAGCTATGCAGTTTCACCCTCCGGATTAGAGCCTTGTTTATTTTCACTAAGCCTGGCGGTCAGTATCGAGACTGGTCCCATATGCATGCTGTCTGCTGATGGGCATCGCTGCTCGAGCCTTGCCAAAGGCACAGAAGCTATGCGTGGTACATCATGGCTCAGGCACGTCTTTCTCTCGTGGTTCCTTGTGGTCAACCCTCGATTACTTGAAGAGACCTCTAGCCCTCCTTGCAGATTGGGCGTATACGCGCCACGCCCATCGTATACCTGTGAACACAAGCATCGGCATCCACAAGAACGCTGCATTCGGCTTTATCCCGCGGATACGTAACCGATTCGACTCGATGCTACTTGCCGTACAGGTGGGACGTCCAAACGTTCTGATAATTTCGGCAGTGGCATACTCTGCATTCGACTGTACATTTTGGAAGGGCCCGGAAAATATTGCGCCAACTCTGCGCCACCCGAAGGTGAGATTTCATGCCTTCTGGAGCACGAGACATGTCGCTCTCTTGTCCACGTGCTCTGCATATAGCATTGTCTACACTCTCTGGGCGCTAAAGAACCTTTCGTGATCGTATGTATTACACTGAACCACGACGCAAAATTCGCAATATCGTATGCAATGAAAGAGACCTTAGACTAGGCTTAAATGAACAAGGCGGGGTCGAGATCACGCGCATTGATTTTGGCCCTTATTTGCTCTGCATCGTACTGGGAAATGCGTTCCACAGTCCGTTCCTCACCCGAGCGCACAATCCTCCACCAGCCAGCATCGAGTGCTCTGCTTGTGGTATATTGAATAGAGACATATTGGAGGGAATGTATATGTTCTATGAGCACGTGCACCTGCTGCTCTAGTTTGTCCAGCATCGGAGTGATTGAGCGATGGCCGTCATGAGCTAAATGTGTCCGCTCGAGGAAATATGACAGCCTGATGTGGATTAGGTGGCCCAGGTCATTCAGTACACCAAAACGTATGCCCTTCCAGGTGTTTTCCAACAGTCAACATTCGTGACGATGTCTTCAGATTACTTCGACTCACCAATTGTTGAGCCATCTTGAGCACTAGATCCATCTCGCGCCAGAGCAGAAATATCGAGATTTCCAGACTACGTATTTGAGGCGCAGTTTCTGCCAGTCTTCCCCAGAAAGTACCAGCCAGCTCGGGCTCTGCAAAAACTGACAGTGCTAGTATCCTCGGTGAGGTCTGTCGTACCGTGTTTAGCACGGTAACGTCATGGGCTGAATCGAGGTAGAGGGCCGATGTTATCGAGAGATGGTGCACGTAACAATTGAATGACCATTTCTCGAGGAGCTCTATAGGTCCCCCGACGTAGTCCATATGTGGCCAACATACGCTGCTTGTCGAATTCGAATCGAATCGACACTCCACGCGCAGCTCTCGCACATTGGGGAAAGCTTGGACTGCCTCGGACATCGAGAGTCGACATCTATTCAGAGTCAGGCTCGAAACAGTGGGCCTGATACAACGGTCTATACTCCTATATTGATGCCTGACTCGTAGACGACGAGCGAGGACTTATGGACAGTACGTCGTCCTGAAGATCGAGCGAGGAAGTCGAGAATGACCACTACCCCAAGCGAAGAGGAGCAGAGACTTGAATGAATAACCAGGTCGAACTTAGAGTTCGACCGACTAATGGTACAACTACTTATACAAGCACCGACTACGCACGGACCATTGTGTCTACGTGGTCGTGTTAGTGAAGAAAGAAATGTAGTGGTACGATGTCGAGTACGAAGTGCGCACGGACCCCATTATGTAAGCTACATAATGTTCAACCTGCGGGTGAGCGCTAAGACAGGCGCCAGTATGGGCGCTAGTAGTACAAGGAATAGAACGGAAAGACAAATGTTTCAGGGCCAGGACGATGGGAGTTGTGACGCTTCGGCATCGTTTGGATACTCTTCGTTATCCAAGTTGAGCTCCGAGAGGGTGAGACGTCTGATGGTCTGGATATGTTGGATGCTAGAGAGGTAACTGGGAGATGGGATCCAGAGTGACAGCTCTACCGGACTGCTACGCATCTCCCTCAGCATCTCCCTCTGTATTGCGAATACTGCATTGCTCTCGCTCCCAGTGGCTGTTATGTATAGATCCAGAATTTGTAAGTAGCGCAATGCTGAGAGGGCGGGCGCAATGCGAGGTTGCCTTAGCAGCAATGTGCCGACCGAGTATAGGATTTGGAGCGATCTGAGATGGATGGCGTTCTCGAGGAGAGGTACCTGTCACGAGTTGATACGGCGCCTAGCCGTTTTTTAAATTTTTCCTTTTCGCGGGCTCGAACCCGCGACCTCTGTACTACCTGCCTGATATGGACACATCGTTATCTGCTGTACGATTAGATTAGATAGGACGGCAGTGCACGGCACAGCTCGGGCTCCGCTGACACAGCCGCTCTGACTCACCGGCCCCCGGGGCCGCGTCGGCATGCTGCGCACGGACCAGCTGCGCACGGACCAGCGCGCACAGCCTCCCCTAAACTTCCCCTGTATATAAACCTGCCTCTGCTGCCCTAGGGACCTCAGTTTCGACCTCTTGTCCCTAGGTCAGTAAGCCCCTGTACTTACTTACTTATTCAATACTAACTTACTTGTCCCTAGCCTTAGGTTTGAGCACTGCTCACCATCGCTTCGGTGAGATCTAGTCGGACGCCCCCAGCCTTCAAGTTTTCTCTAGTCGCTTGACCTCAAGTCGCGACATTAGGTCGAAACTCCCCAAGCTGCCGGC